TTGCCCCAAAAACGTTTATTCCATGAAGTTGTTATTCAGTAAAAATAATATGTATTTGATGTGAATTTAACAGTTTCTCCGATTTTTAGGAAATAAAACAATTCTTTGTAATCAGTACCCAATATCGATCTACAGTATAATAACTGAAAGTTGGTGGCATTTGAAATAATATCGAAAACATGACTCTGTCTTCCCTCAAAGTATGCTTCTATATGCTGATTTCACTAGCGTTTATTAGCCTTGCCGCCCTTCTCCTAATTGGTAAAGATGGAATGACAATGGAGTATAAAACCATAAGTGAAGAACATCAACATGGTAATCGCCTTCACGAGAAAAGAAATGAAAATTCTAGGAGATCCGTTTTGATTATATACTGGAGTAAAATATTTCGTAAAATACCGCCCGTCAATTTCAACCCTGTACGTTGGCCATATTTCTTTGCTGGACAAAATTGTCCGATTAAATGCGAACTTACAAAGGACAAACGTCGTGCCCATGATGCATCAGCCTTAGTCATTCACTCCAGAAACACAAATGAACTTCCTCCGAAAGCTTTCAAAAATTTAACATGGATTTTACACACAAACGAGAATCCTATTTTTACACCTTCCCTTCGCAACCCTTACATAATGCGGCAGTTCAATTATTTGACCAGTTATCGACTAGATTCGGACTTTCCGTGTCCGGGATTTTTGAAGCCAAGTTTAGAACCGCCGCAGCCGTTTTCAGAAAAAACAGGATTGGTAATCGTGGCACTGAGTCACTGTGAACCTACACGAACACATTATATTTCTGCTCTTATGAACTACATAGATGTAGATTCATATGGTGCGTGTCTCAATAATAAAGAAGGGTTGAAGAGGAAAAAGAGCAATTCAAGGCATGCTTTCATGGAAATGCAAAGGAATTATAAATTTAGTTTGGTTTTCCCAAACGCAGACTGCGACTATTATATGACTGAAAAAATATACAGTGCACTTTCAGCTGGAAGCGTACCTGTTTGGTTAGGAACGGATAAAATTGACGAGGTTCTTAAGTGGGGTAATTTGAATAAATCCGTGATTAAAGTAAAGGATTTTACTTCACCAAAAGCATTAGCGGAATATCTGCTAAGACTGTCACAGAACGAGAAGGAGTACAATAAATATTTAAAGTGGAAGTACGAGGGTTTTCAATTCCCAAAGGAGTATTATACCTCGCCAATAGGGCAGTGGTGGGACGGACTACCGCTGTACTGTAGGATATGCATGAAGATTGCGCAGGATCCACAAGGACATAATGGATTGCCAGTTGATAAATGTGATGGACAGCAAAAGCGAACGATTAAAAAGTGGATAAAAAATTGACATGCGGTGTAGCAAATATAAAATTTTCAAACAGTTATAAATGCTCGAACGTATAAAAGTATATAAGCTATGAAAAGTAAAAAAATCACTTGTTCAAGTCTATTTATCAATGACGAACTAACGTTATTTGCTAATGCGTCCAACACGGAAGACATCTATCAATTATTTCAAAATAATTTTCCACAAGCTAATCGCACCTGTATACCTAAAATATCCACCAAATGAGTCAAATGGCGACTTTCGGGGAAATCTCTTTCTTACCAGACATTGGGGAAATTCTAGAGAAGATACAACTTGGACTAAATGATAAGGTTATTACACTACGTCAGTTTCACTAACCGTCGTTTGGCATTCCGCAGCACATCACACACGCGTGGTAAAATGCTATCAGGGTAGTGTCGCAGCTCCTTCAAAGAATGATTTTCATTGGCTGAAATTTACAATACGTTTCTGTTTCAACCAATAGCATAGCTTCGTTCTTTAGAAAGCATAGAAAAGCATTATCCAATTGGACGAAAGCTTCCGAGCACTGCGACATGTCCCTGCTATCATGGTCTATTCATACGTTCTAAGGGCGTTGCGCTATGAAATTTTCCTTGCGACTTGAAATGCATGCAATTATAATTTTGACGGATGTTAATATTATATAGTAAAGAATTTTCGAAATGCTAAGGAAAGTTAGCAAATCGTAAACAACTTAAGGCGGATTTCCACTTACAGCGAAATCGTTCGCTGGCGAAATATTTGCATATTTTCTTTTGAATTGAGAACACTCAAGTCGCACTAGTTTATTTATGCTGTTTAAATTCAAAAGAAAATATGTTAATATTTCGCTAGCGAACGATTTCGCTGTAAGTGGAAATCCGCCTTTAAGATGTCTCAGGGGTAGAATTGCATTGTGACTCGGCAAGGAAAGTTGCGTAGTGTAAAGGCCGTTTTCCACTTCAACCGTATCGTAGCGAAACGTAGCGTATCTCATTGTTTTAAAGTCATTAGTTCTGGTCGAATACTTCGGAAACAAAGAAATACGTTACGTTACGTTACGTTACGTTACGTTACGACACGGTTGAAGTGGAAAACCGGCCTAACACTACCTTTCCTCTTTGTGGCGTTTAGATGTAGTGTTGACTTATGGCTTTATGCACGAGACAACTGTTCTCTGCCAACTACGACAGATTCCTACTTCAAAACACACCTTGCTGGTGTGTATGGCGAACAAGTTTTCCTTGATTTAATTACTGGTGTGTGTACGCGAAAAATTTGACAATTTTTTCTTGATAAGTTTTACGATAGTATATATATATGTCGAGTATATCAGTTTTACGACGACAGTATGAGCCATAAGATGACGTAAAAGACCGAATCTCAAAACAAACAAAAATGATAAGACTTCCAAAAATCGCTCTGAATTGGTTCTAAGATATTGTTACGCAGTTCTCATTGACAAGGAAAACTTGTCAATTTTTCGCGAACACACCATGCAGCTAATAAAACTTGGCGAGGAAAACTTGCCCGTCTGTACGGGGCTTTAGTCTAAAGGCATTTTTAAACTTAGTAGATTGCACGTAAAATTCAAATATATATTTTTTAAATATTTGTTGCATTTCAAGGCAACTAGTTTCTTAGGAAACAGGGAGTCGTCTTTAAAATATTTTCCCTTGGAACAGCTTTTAAAAACAGACGAGTTTTACGGTCAAGGTACACGGAATGTCATCGACGTACTTCCAGCAGTCTTGGTAAAATGTGGATTCGACATGTGTTGCACATGTCATTAAAATTCGGAGAAATTTGGTGCACGCGTTGGCAATTAAACGCGAGATCTTTGAAACTTTGGATTTTTTACCGTTTTGGGAAGCCGAAAAAGTTTCCTTGCATGGCTTGCAGAATTCAAATTTATTCTGTACATGCACGAATGAAAATTAAAGCTAAACTATTTTAATGTTAGCGGAGCCAGAAAACATTAAAGTAGCTACTTTGGTGTTGCTGACAGAAAGTTTCTACAAATATTACCTGATAACATGGAGTATTTTCAGCCCGGTTTGAGCTACCCGGGCTGAAAGCCCAGTATAGACGGGCAAGTTTTCCTTGACAACTTTTCTTGACCAGTTCACTTAACTTGCATGCTCGTCAGCTCGTGTGTATAATGCGAACAAGTTTTCCTTGCCAAGTTTTATTTGCTCGTGTGTACGCAAAAAATTCGACAAACTCTTTTTCTTGACGAGTTTTACGATAATATATATGTCGAGTAGATTTTACGACAATATGATAAAATAAGTATACGCGACCGAATCTCAAAACAAAAAAAAAAGGTGATAAAACTTCCAAAGACCGCTCAATTGGCTCGAAGATATTGCAGCTTCTTATACTGCGCAATTCCTTGTCAAGTTTTCCTTGACAGTCGTACACTTAAAGAATATTTATTTGTTGAAAAGCTGGCATGACTAGCTTTTGAACAAGGCTCCTTGTCAAGGAAAACATGTCAATTATTTCGGGTACATGCACACTAGCATAAAACTTGGCAAGTGTTGTTGTCATGTAATCGTAAACAAACTTAAACCCGTACAGAAAACTTCGCCTTGACAATGCTTTTTCGTTTGTTTATTTCATTTTTATGTGCAATTATAGTCCCTAAAAGGTCAAGCTATTGTCATTCGGGATTTTTAAGCGCTCGAAGAATCGAAATAGGTCTACTACCAGCCTTTACAAACTCAGCCTGTTCTTAAAATAATTCAGCCTGGTCTTAAAATAATCCTGCTGAAACTTGCCATGTAATTGAAAAATACTTTAGGCCCAGTTTGCCTGCCGGCTGAAAAGACACCATGCAGTTAGCTCCTAAGGGTACTTTATAGAAGAATATACTTCAAACCCCCCCCCCCCCCGCATAGTCATCACACTTTTTTTAATGACTCCGCCTGATATTGCGCACATGAGTGATATGTATCAGTCGGATTTAGAAGACACTCGAGTGGCTACATAGGCCTGTTTTTGTTTCGTAATTCAATGAATCGAAGTTTTCTTTTTAATTCAATGAATCGGAAGCTTTCCGGCGTTACTAATCAATCAATTCTTTGAAATTAGCAAACGCGACCTACGATAATTGATGCAGTTGAAGATTTTTAAATGTTTACACTATAATCTATATACATGTCTTGGTCTGCGTTTAGAGTGACATTTTATGGATTGTTTTTCTTGGCCTTCGTCGGTATTTCAATTTTCATCTTGGTTGCGTGGGAAAGCAGTATTAAAAGGGCTATCGGACTGAATATAAACGAAAGACAAGGAGATGGAGGAGATGGAGAAAGTCTTCGCGAGAAAGGTAAAAAACATGGCAAAATAGAAAATAAAACACCGTATCAAAATTTCGAATCAACCAAACAACAAAAAGTTATGGTTTTATACTGGAGTAAAATATTCAGTGGAAAACCGCCCGTCAATTTAAAACCCGGAGATTGGCCATATTTCTTAACTGGACAAAATTGTCCAATTAAATGCGAACTTACAATAGACAAAAGTCGCGTCCATGATGCATCAGCCTTAATCATTCACTCCAGAAACACAAATGAACTTCCTCCGAAAGTTTTCAAAAATTTAACATGGATTTTACACACAAACGAGAATCCTATTTTTACACCTTCCCTTCGCAACCCTGACATAATGCGGCAGTTCAATTACTTGGCTAGTTATCGATTAGATTCAGACTTTCCGTGTCCGAGATTTTTGAAGCCAAGTTTAGAACCGCCGCTGCCGTTTTTTAAAAAAACAGGATTGGTAATCGTGGCACTGAGTCACTGTGAACCTGTACGAACGCGTTATGTTGTTGAACTTATGAACTACATAGATGTAGATTCATATGGTGCTTGTTTGAAAAATCAACAATGGTTTGTAAAGAGGGAAATGAGTCATGGAGAAAATTCCGTTATGGAAATGCAAAGGAATTATAAATTTAGTTTGGTTTTCCCAAACGCAGACTGCGACTATTATATGACTGAAAAAATATACAGTGCACTTTCAGCTGGAAGCGTACCTGTTTGGTTAGGAACGGATAAAATTGACGAGGTTCTTAAGTGGGGTAATTTGAATAAATCCGTGATTAAGGTAAAGGACTTTACTTCACCAAAAGCATTAGCGGAATATCTGCTAAGACTGTCACAGGACGAGAAGGAGTACAATAAATATTTAAAATGGAAGTACGAGGGTTTTCAATTCCCAAAAGAGTATTATACCTCGCCAATAGGGCAGTGGTGGGACGGACTACCGCTGTACTGTAGGATATGCATGAAGATTGCGCAGGATCCACAAGGACATAATGGATTGCCAGTTGATAAATGTGATGGACAGCAAAAGCGAACGCTGGAAAAGTGGATGAATAATACAGAATTGAAAAATTTGAGATAATTAGTTAAACGGGGAATTGATATAAAAATAGACGCATCATCATGACTCAGACCGCTCAGTAAATGGTATAGAAATACGATTAGCCAGGTAAAGCCATGGGCCAGTTTATGACAGCCCAAGGACTCGTTTCCATCGCATTTAACAAAATCTTTGCGGTTATGTAAATAAGAATGTCAGTTTCTCCCAGGTATTTCCCCTAAAAACAGAAAGGGAAATTCCTTGGAAACGAGGTTACTAAGAGTATGGAATTTACTTGAAAATATTTAAGTACCACTTTAGAATATATAATCAGATACGAATATAATACGTAGGTCTTTAGGAGAAGTTTGATGAGAACTCGATAAGTTTGATGACATCTTAGCGCCTACAAATTTAAGTTTGTGCTCCATCCACGCCTTGAAGCCTTGCGCTGGTCGTCTCTCATACAGTTGCCGCGGCCAGTCACTGGCCGTACTGTATAGCAGATGTGTTGTTAAAAACATTTCTATGTATATTTATACGCACAGCAATATGTAAGCTAATCCATTTATCGGTTGCAAGTTAACGCTGCTGCAAACGACAGCATAATTTATAGCCATCTAGTTCGTACATTTCGAATAAAAAGATAATAAATAGTCGGGTTTTTCAGTCTGCGGAATTCGACATGCGTGGTCGTGTGCAAAAATTCCATTGTGGTTGATCTTTTCTCCATGCACGTGCGTGGATTTGTAAGCTCGGTATATTAAATGAATTGAGAAGCCAATAAAAATACGTGCTTTTATAATGTGAGTGTATAATTCGATGAATATATCTATAGATTTCCCTTCATTGTGAATTAATGCTAAAAAACAAAAGCTCTCGCGAGTCTCGTCTGCGGCAAACACATGCATGCATTAGATCTGAGACTGTTGAGCGAAATGCCATTAATTGGCATTAGTCCAACCAAAACCCACGTCTGCTGCGGTGGGTCTGTGGGTGGGTTTAACAGTCAAGCACATACATATACACTGATGCACTGAAAATTATTTTGTCACCGAAACCGCATATTAGAAATTGCCAAAATCAATTTGATACCTGTTGAAGTGATGCTGATGGAAGACAACGTTCACTTGACTTTCTAGTTTCTTTCATGACTGCATGAAAATAAATTTCTAATGAGAAATTTTAATTCCCCATTTAGATACTTGTTTTGTTATCTTCTGTTACGATTTCCCAGCTAGAACAATCACGTTGTATCAACGTGTATTAATGTTCGTCGAACGCTTGGATAACGTTGTTTTTTTAACGTTGGGTCAACGTTTTTTTGTGAACTCATAGGAACGTGGTATATTAACGTTAGGATTAACGTTAAAGCCCGACTTTAATACGACGTCCGTACAACGTTCAACTCAATGTTCATATAACCTAATGTCCGACGTTAATGCAACGTTCGGCCAACGTTTAAACAAAACGTTAAGATAACGTTGGATATCAAGGTTGACTGGACAACGTTAATTATTTCGGGATATTTGAAAATTCCTGCAAATTCGTTTGCGAACTTGCGAATAGGACAGATAATTTATAGTGATCAGCCGTTTCGTCAATTCACTAGAAATGTTTCAATCAATGACATAAACGGTCTACATGTATTCACAGGGAAAAATGTCTCCAAAAATGTCTCCAAAATTGCAATTTAATTTACACAACACAGTATATACGTTTTCATATTTCATTAATTTAATTCAAATTAAGACAATTTAATAGAGATGTTAAAAAGAAATTTTTGTTCAAATTTCTTTCACTACTTGGTCAGTTGGGTAAAATTTGAGTAGAAATTTGAGTGGAAATTTTACATTATTGGATAAAAATCATAAAACTGTCGAATTGATTGGCTATATATTGTTATATAACTTCAGGATTTTCAGACTGATCACGAGTACTTAGCCGGTTTAGTTGACGCGTGTTTATAATATATATATTATATTTTATATATAACATTTCCAGTAATCATCTAGCACAATTAAGTCAAGATACAAAACTAGCGTTTGTACAAGAATGCTTTGATACACCATGCAGTTGATTTCAATACACCACAGTACTTAATAATGATCTTATCTAAAACCTTGTTGGTAACTGAATTTTTACTTAGTATTCACTGTTAATAAGAAGTATACTTGTAACTCACGTATAATGATGGAAACAGAACTGATCTTGCTTTGGTGGGAAATGTTACGTCAGTGATCACCAAGGACGGTCAAAATGGAAACCAAGCAATTGGTATAAGTTAATAAAAGGTAGAATCCAAAGAAATAGCTGCATATGAACTGACTTTCAACAACAGAGCTAAATTTCTTTATCCATCAGTGACATCTTTTTGACCAGGTAATTCTCGCAGAACGAGATGGAGAGAATTGAACTATGTGCTTTGAACATTGCATGTGAACATTGTTTGGCCTCCAACACAAAAAATAGCCGACAAATGCTTCAACTCTTTTTGTTTTAGATGATTTTAGATGAAAATAAATGAAATTATTGTTTTTAAAGTTCCGATGCAGTCATCCAGCTTGTTCTGAAAACTATATACTAAAAACTTCAACTTGAAATATTTAAGTCATGCAATATAACTACTTGAAAATCTTATCATAGGCATTATAATAAATATATAGTATACAATTTATGAATTTGGTTAGCGACTTAGGGGCTATTTACATAGGCCCGGTTACCGGAGATTCAACGAAGCCGTGAGAGGACTTTGAGGTATTGAAATAAGTCTTTCTGACACCGAACAAGGACATGTTATTGATGTGGTGATTATACGACTTCCAAGTTCCAAGATTATGTTATCTGGTCATGAAATACGTCTTTCTGACACCGAACAAGGACATGCTATTGTTGTGGTGATTATACGACTTCCAAGTTCCAAGATTATGTTATCTGGTCATTTTGATACCTCAAATCGTCTCACGCTTCGTTCAATCTCGGGTAACCGGGCTCATGTAAACAGCCCCTTATTTGGCTATCACTGCATGCGGCAGTCATTAACTCATTAATATGTTAAATTTGAAATATAATAATTGCTCAAGAGGACCGGCATTTTGGCGTGAAATGTCCTGCCTTATCACATCTTCAATGCAGAATCAGAAGGTTTGCCAAGAAAAACCACAAAAAAGTTAACAAAAGATGTGAACCATGGCACTCCGCAGAACCACCGTCAGCAGATGCGTTCTTCCAAGTGTCAAATGTCACAGGCGACACTACACAGAAACGAAAGTTAAAAACTAACCGAAATTACGTAAATATAACTTGCATCAGTTGTAAAATGTAAAACCAAATACGAAAGAATGAAAGAACAGGCTTCTCAACCTTGTTCCAAGGTCCCCCATGTAGAACGGTCTAAATGCGTTGCAACCACTGAGTTGCAACTGATTGAGTATATACTTCTGGAATGGATTTTCTTTTCAGTGCAGTGAAATGGATCGCAGATGGAAAGTCATAATTTCACACTAACTTCAAATAGGGAATGCGCCCATCTTAGTTTTCCAACCCCCCGTGTTTTGGCAAAAAATCATCAATCATCAGTAAAAAATCATTCAGTTTTGGGCAAAAAATCCAGTTTGGTTATCGGTTGCACGGTTTTGAATAGTTTATGTATATCAAGCATGCATATATATATGCAGTAATATGAAGACACCATGCAAATGATGTAGTTACGGTTGTATATGCATAATGTAATTATATATCCATGGTTTGCATGGAGCAGAATTCCCACTTCAGGTTTATCGCTCTCTCCTCCGCAGAGGCTTCGAATGCAAATGCGCTAGCTAGATTTTTAAAGATGACCGCTGAGGGTTTATCGTCGTCACGTTAGGTAATTAGCATATGCAATCATGTGAAATTTGATTTATAAGGCTTTTACACCAATTTCATTGTTGAGCAAAGGTATCCGTTAGATAAGGTGATTACCAAACCAATTTTTGGAGTAAATTAAGTTTTTTTGGGAAAATTTATTTTAGTGAGGGTGTACTGTTTTAAGAGAGCACACGTGAGGCCAGTTTTGAACGTCGTTTTCTGCCGCCTGTCGCATTAAAAAAATAAACAATCAGCCGAGACATTTTATCAACTATTGTCAATTTTAAACTGCTTCGCCGGGCATCAGGAGCAATGTAGCCAGTCCAAAATAAGCGGGAAGGTCTAACTATATATGAAATACACAAGCGCTATAACACAACATAAATTTTGTGTGGCGAGGATGGTGCATCGTTGGACTCATTGCATCAGAAAACATGCGAGACCCATTGAGGATGGTGAAACCGAATTCAGGTGGTGAAGTGGTAGAGTGCGGACCCCTAAAGTGGTAGTGTCCGAACCCCTATTCCACCCATGACTATGCCCGTACACGAGAGGAAAGATTTTTTTGAGCTATTTAAAATTTCATACCTGTTACAACCCTGCGGTTTAATGTGTCACTTGTTGATGTTAAATCGCCTTTGAATTGTTCGGATTGAGCTAAAAGAGATTATGACAGATGATAAATATAATGGTATACGTAATAGAACGAATAGGAGTGCAATTAAATGATAAATTTGTACGCGAGAAACTACAAAATGGCATTAATTGCACGATTTAATTCGTTCTATTTTTATTACTTATTATAATTATAACATAGAAGCAAAAAGACAACGGGGAAGGGGGGGGTGTGGGTGTAGTATTGTTAATATTCATATCCTCATTGGGATTAAACGTATTCAGTCTCTTGCTCTCCAATGCCAAGGATAGAATATTAACTAGAAGTTTCACACGGTGAAGAAAGCCCGATCACTGTAATTCCCGCTATACACGACGCAACTAGCAGAGCTAAGCTTGATAGTTTTGTTTTATATCCTTTTATAACAAGCCGATTATGATAATTTGCAAAATTTAAGTGCTGATTGGCAGATTGGCTAGGAACTATGTGGACCATCCCTCAGTGTAGAATAGATAGTTGAGGTGAGAAGCGGCGTTTCCTCTTCGTCACCGCATCATCGACCGACCTTATCTGCTCTCAGAAAGGTTTGATAGAAAACAATAGATTGTACAGCTCTTGTTACATTTCAGATTTTTATGTTGAAAATGATTGTATTGTTCATTTTTCTTTCTCCACCTCTCACTTTTGTTTTACTCCACCCCACACATTCCCATTTTTTTCATTTTACCCCAACATTCTCTCTTCAGCCTCACTATAAATAATGACCTGACCCAACCTATATTGAAAGACCCGTTCACACGCGTTTTTTGTTGCGATTTATGTGCCATTTTCATCTTTTGATAGATGTGAACGAGTGATTAGTTACGAGTGCTCTAATGTGTACGAGCTCTTATTTGAACATCCGTAACTAATTCACTCGTCCACATCTATCGAAAGTAGAAAATCGCACATAAAATCGCAGCACAAATTGAAAGTGTAAACGGGCCTTTAAACTAAAAAATCTTCTAACCTTTCACATAAAGCCTTAGAGATTTATTCACACCATGGCCCAGATCGGTCTCAGGTACACATGTATAATTTCCAGAATCTTGCAATCTAACGCTCGATATCAAGAACACGCCCGTGTTGCTCTGTTTCATCATTAGTTTGCCATTGCGATAAAGTTTATAGCTTTGAATTGGCAAGACATGATTACGCGCAACTTCACATTGCAATTTAAGGTCTTGGTATTGCCAAACAACACCGTCCAGTGATCCATTATGAAAGAATTCTTGTATACGAGGCTTCTCTAAAGAGAATAATGATATCGTAGGACCCGAATTTTGCTGCGATTTTCTTCTTTTGATAGATGTGAATGAGTGATTAGTTACGAATGCTTGGATATGCACAAGGTTCAATTTGAAGTTTGAACACTGATCCGTAACTAATTCACTCGTTTATATCTTTCAAAAGAAGAAAATCGCAGCAAAACTTGCAAGTTTAAACGCGCCTTTACTCTACAAAAATTATGTATACAACAGTTGATACAGTTTTAGATTGCTAGCAAATGAAAACGGATTAGATTGCAGTCTTAAAACTGCACGTGCTAAGTGTCAAGCATCCCATCTTAATTATAATGTATTTTAAAAGGGACCTCTCTTTTCATTTTGGCAACACGCCCATGCTCTAATCCCGGAGTGCCCAAAGCGTGACATGGGTCGCTTGCTTATTTAGAATCGGAAAAGCTTCGCGCGATCCAAATACCTATACGAGTCAATATAAAAATCTCACATCAAAGCCCCGTTTACACACGGGTTTACACTACAGTCAATTTATATCGGCACGGCCAAAACGGGTTTCCGTGGCCATTTCATCCGTGCTTGCATGAAAACTTGTAAAATTGGGTGTACGCCGGGTACCAATCTAGTTTAGCTGTTCCAAAGTCAATTTATTGATTTAAAAAACTTGATAAATGCTTTGCTATGAAAACCATCATCATGTTGCAATGGAGGAACGACCCTAAATTACTTCGCTACTGCTTGCTTAAGTAAAAGAACAAAAATACTATACATGACAATAACGATAACACTAATAACTAATATAATGGCTATGTGGAATTAAAATAGAAATATTAGAACATGGCGGCCGGACTGTATGATTTTAGCTGTGAGGCTATACTTAGGGATCCGAGCTATTTACTAAAACTATCTTGTAAAGCTCAATTATAGCGTCTTATAGAACCGTAAAATTTTAGTACACGAAGCTCTAGTGCATCTGTTGACTTACCATATACATTTATCCTTAAAAATCCTTCAGCGACGCCCATGTAGTTTTCAGCAAGGCAAATGTACTCGCCAGATTGGGATGTCGCTACATGCTTTAGTTTCAATAAATAGCTTCTAGCAATAAGACGATATTGACTTAAGCCAGCGTGAATCCAGGAAACATTAGGAGATGGTTGGCCTTGTACATCACACGCAACTTTAACCGAGCTTTTTTCGAGGACTGCAATATCTTTTAACGGTTTGATTTTCGGAGCAACTAAGAAATAGACGTAATAAATTAGAGCCTGTTATTGTTTAGGTTAATAGTCGCATTTTGCATGGTCGCGTCGAATGCAATTCGAACAATAGAGAATGAGATGTTAATGAAGCTTAATAAGGTTTATCAGCTCATTACCATTGTGTATTCAATGCATTCGAAATGCATTCGACACGACGAAAATGCGACGTACAACCATAACCTGGGCCTAAGTCAAGTTCTCATTAGTCACCGACAGTCGGCCATGTATTAGTTGACGAATAAAATTTATTCAAAATAAGAATGCACTTCTCTATGTAACAGACAAAAGCATACGCCGAATGTCGCTGACCTACAGGGTGTCCCAAAAAAAACGAAAACTATTGAAATCACCCATAACAATGCAATTGTTGGAGTTTGAATGCCTAAGCACTCTGTTGGGACCCACAGGTGTATAAATGTTTACCATACTCATTTTTACGTATGCATACATGATGCAGTAAAATTTGCTTATTCGCAAAAATGATATTTATTAATCAACAATATTTACAATTTACAAATATGGATAACATTATTTAGATGTGCATCTCAAGGACCATGACCTTCGACATGTCCCCTTTCTCTAGCAACACAAAGCATTTAGCATTTTATAAGTTGCATTAAATCCCCACGGGCTGAAATTCGTTAACACGGCATTCAAATTTTAACAATGAGTGATTTCAATAGTTTTCGTTTTTTTTGGGACACCCTGTACAGGGTGTATCAAAAAAAACGCAACCACTTAATATTCATGAATATCCTCTTTGTTCTACAACACAAAAGACGTTTGGCCCCTGGAATGCGAGAAAGCTTGTAATCATATTCTAGCGGGACAATCGTCGGTAAACAAAGTCGGGTGCGTAAACCAACGAGCAGAAATGAAAGTATTTAACGAGTAAAATTTTATTTACAATTTATTTTACAAGGTCGACAGTTAGCATTCAAGTTATCATGCACGACAATAAAAGCTCGTTGTTCGGTTGTAAGCTGCACCATTATTAGTTTAGCTGATTAATTTGACCATTAGCAGTTGAACTGTACGATTAGAAGCCATTTTAAAATCCCAGGGGCATAAAATCTATTGAGCTTATGAACAATATGAATTTTAGAATATTAAGTGGTTGCGTTTTTTTTGATACACCCTGTATAGATGAGAAACAGACATTTACAAAAAAAACATACTTCAGCTGTTTATCTATGAAGACTATTATCTTTGATCCCTTGACACATTCAATATGCACTATTAGTTTAATACTTTAGTGCATATTTCATAACAGTCCTAAGTAAAGGTAATACCTTTGTTTGTGGTGAAATATGAAATGTTTGTGTCAGACAACGGATTCTCAAATAAGTACTAGTTATACGTCGCGTTTTGTTTGCGTCGAATGTTATTCAAACAATAGATAATGAGATGATAATGAGGGTTGCCATATGGGATCGCTCATTCTTCAAGCTAATATCAATCTGGAGTTTTTAAAATTCGCGACTGCGCGAATTTTCTAAAGCCGTTATTTGCTCTTGGTTCAGCTAATCACGAGCACAACGACTATAAACTGTATGCATATCAAAAGCAAGCAACCTCGTCCCAACCATATTTTGCCCCTACGCGATGGTCGCTGGGTCAGCCTAGTCCCTAGGCCTCTATACGTTCTTTAGTACGCGATCTCATTAATATACGCACGGAACAGCGTGCAATGAGGCCTAGCCAGGTGATCTGGGTATAAAGCTCAACCAATCAGAAGCCAGATCTTCGACAAAACTGAATGATAATTTCCTTCATTGCATATGGCTTCGACACTCGAATATATCAAGTAATTTTATTTTATTTATATGAAAACACGTTTATTTTTTCCCAACTGTAAATTAGAATTTAAATTTTTCACCCTTTATACTATTAGTTGGAAGAATAGGGACAAATAACACCAGGAACATGATAACTCAGTTTTGTCGACACGCTTTATGACGTCATGATCTCAGATCAGCTGGAGGGACTAGGTTGTGTGATGGCACCCAAGGATCCCAGTATCTTCACTATAGTTTTCGGCTCCTTCCTATGGCTACGCATTTTACGGTCATCGAACATGAACTAACATAAATTATATATGAACATGTCCCCGCCCCATTGATTGACGCTAGCTATGCCTATGGTAGATGAGTACCTCCAATTTTCAAATGAATTCTGTAGATGTCATCTGAGCCGTTTTTAAAATAAACATTACATACATAGAATCCACTATCATTAACTCTGACATTCTGCAAGATTACTTTCGTTGAATTATGAAGTGCGACGCGTCCTTTATAACTTTCGTAAATCTTGAAACCTTGACCTTTGAAGCGGTGCATAAGAAGTGTTCTTTCGGATAAGTTAGGAGCCGAACTATAACGGAGCATTGTGGATAGACATGAATCGTCGCTGATACAAGGGATTTCTACGTCTGAACCAACCGTCTCGGTTTGAACACGATAATCTGATGAAGATAATGCTAATACTAGAAACATGAAACGAAAAATTAGTCATATGGTCAAAACGGGATGAGTGGCAATCTCGGCCGAATGTACTTCATTGACAAATGAAGTACTTTATTGTTTTATTTATTTTTGGTATATTATTTATTTATTGAAGTATTTTATTGTTTTTCTTTATTTCTGAGCACCAACATCCATCACCGACTGTCGGCGACATACGAGAACCAGTCGTTAATTGTTTGTGCTCAGAAATAAAGAAAATTCCTTTAAAACAACAAAGTACTTCATTTCCCTTAACTACATCTTTTGTAAATTTCGGCCTTAAGACCAGTATCGACAATGCGGTTCTACCACCAGTAGAGGATAATGGATCATAAGATACGAAATTTAAACTGCGACATTAAACTGAAGCCACAATCAGTTTCAAAAGTCTTGTGACATGTAAACAAACAACTCCGTTCTGCAATAATTTACTTTCCCTCCCCCTAATCAATGTCAGTATTCAGACCTATAAGACATGTGCAGATGTTGCTAAATGCATCAATAACATTGAATGATGGGGAAAACGGGGGGGGGTTAAACTTCACCCCCGGCCCCTTTCCCCACCATTCAATGTTATTGATGCATGTGAACAAATGATAGTTTCGTATTCCGTAACTTCCGTTCTCACTATTCTCGCTTTGATTACAAGTGACCAGGGTGCGTTTAAAATTGATTGTAGGATGGTCCAACGAGTGTGATTAGCGCAAACTTTAAACCGTCTGTAGTTTTTAAAGACGTCAACGTCCAGTACTGGCAGTAGTCAAAGCAGGAGTGGATCCAGCACTAGTGCACTAAATTGCATCACACAAGAAAACTGCTAAAAATAACCACTTTGTTTTGTAATGCAAATTTGTGCACTAGCGCTGGATCCACCCCTGAGTCAAAGTTGCATGCAAGCGCGACTTGCAACTTGCATCGTCTTGCATAAAATAACGCATAAAATTAGTCTATAGATTCACGGGACGCGAAAATGAACTAATTCATTCCACTGTAACATTTTAGAAAACAGCATGAAAACATCAATGCTAATAGCACTAAGTAACTTAATTTACTGTTTTCGATGTATAATTTTCTAGATAGGATTCCAATTATCCAGACGCTATTAGGCTCGGCTTTTAGAACTCCAAATGGAAGCTAAGCTGTAATTCCAAATTAGAGGCAGCTAGTAAATATTTACTTATGAAAAACTTCTCACGCTTTTTTTATTTAAATGAAAAGTCATTTTTGGTTTTAGATGTTTTGATTAGTAGGAGGTGGAGCACTTAGCGGCCTTTTACAGCTACGGGAGACAACTACATGCATGATAACTAATGGTAAAACGCAGTGAACAGCTGGTGGTCAAGTGACGTTTATGTTTCATTAAATTTTCACATTGTTGCAAGACTAGGATCATGACTATATACAGATCCATTATTTATAAGTAGTTATCTTCATGTGTTTCCCAAAATATTCATAAACTGGAAACGCATAGCTATAGATGGGTATATAACGCATTTAGGGTTTGTGTGGACTATAGATCAAACTTAATATATTATGGATTCTTAAGCGAAGACTCGTCGAAGGAGAGTGTTTAGAACAAATACTGAACTTTTGCTAGAAAGTAAAAGTTTATTTATACTTATTATTTCAATTTAGATCGTCTTATCCGGTAAAAGTGTATATAATATATATCCCTCCACCGTGTTTATTGCGTACACTGGACCACCCATTGCCATTGAAGATACTGCGTGTTGATAATCCGAATAGATCAACAATCAGTCTGAAAGATCACTGTTTCTAATGTAAACAATAGACAACTCAAAATAAACTATATAGTTGAAATATCCCTTAACCTTATTAGCTAGGCATAGGGTTGTAAAACAATGTATATGATCACGAATAAGTTGCTCATGTATTTGAACTTTACATCTGCAACCCAGTGAGTAGTCGTGATTTTTCATGCATGGTTTGCTTAGAATGTGTATTGCCATTGGCCATTGCATTGTTCGAGCTGAGATTAGTCGATCACTCGCCAGTATCACTCAGCGATTATTACTAAAGTGCTGAGGATAACATGCAGTTGAAAATTATAATAGTGACTTACCGATGTAAGAATTGTAGTGAGCGAATCATTGTAATTTCAGCGGCGTATATATAGTGCAGTATAATCACGCAAGTTGCCGCAGACGTGGTCACAGAAACAGGCCATGGTCATGGAATCAACTATATTATAGACAATATAGTTGATGTGGTCATCTTAATCAACTTTGTTCTTGTATACAAAAACAACGAAGAAAAAGAGTACTTTTCAAGGAACGATACTTACTTTTTAAGAGCAGAACAATACGGAGATAGTCAATGAAAGACAATATACTTTAATCACTAATTTTATATCATGCATGTAAAAGATAAAACATGCGCAAAACAAACTTGAAAAACCGCATGCGTATTTTATCATTAAACAAAACATACCTGCAGCCGGAATAGAACAGATTATGAAAGGAAACAGAAGAGAGATTTTGCCGTGAAATAATCGCGCCATTTTATGCTTAAGGAGTGCCGATGTTTTGACAACAAAATAAAAGGGCTTAATGACCTCTTTATGAAAACCAAGATAACCTTCGCTGCCAATCAAAATGACGACAGAATCGCAAACTTGGTCTAACAGACGTCGCTGGAGGAAATAAGGAAAACCTATATTCAAGTGGCAAGAACGAGTTATGCAATTATTAATTAAAGTGCCCTTATGCAGCTTTTTGGAAGCATAATAATTAATGATTTATGTCTGAAGTTTTCTACTTTATATTAAACTTTCATAGAGCTTTTCTGTCCAGGGGATTGCTTCATTTCGCAATGGGATTCACGTCCTGTTAAGCTCATTTTATCAAACATGCATTTAACAGGACAAATCGTAACCTGTTATCCCTGTGTGTTTAACGTTTAAAAGCCCAGAAATAAAAAAAATTTCTTGCCAATTAAAATATATCAAAAGTTTTTCACGCAATAAGCAAAGCCAAAGGACTGATCAATAGGCCAAAAAATTAAAACGTAATATTAATAAGAGTGTACAGGGAAGTATATGATGCATAAAGAAAATTAACACTTAACAATTATTCGCCGAAGGCGAGGTGATTATCGAGGAATATTCACCTCGACGTATTTTTACACAAGTGAATTGACACAAGAACTGCATTTGTTCGCTTATCTCTTTGTAAGAAATGTCCACAAAACGGCTAGCCGCCATTTTGAAATTAGTTATATTCACCATATCACAGCGGACAGGCCGATAAGAAACGAATGAGAGCATACTAATGATAGAAAGAAGCTTCAGAGAAAGCCGAGATATATCATAATTGATACCTCAGGAAAATATATACATTATTGATATAAAAGCTGAGGAAATTTAAATACTCTACGACTATGTTATCATAAACAGTCTCTTTATTACCACATGAATAAAATGGTGGTGTAAAATCATTTGGATACAATCATATTCGAGAATTCATACAATCACTGAAAGAATAATATTTACATAATATAAGGTACACGGTAATATTAGCTTACAACACGATTATTGGTTTTTGAGATAAACTTTCCTATTTTTATACAAGTTTAGTTACTTGTCATGGTCAATATATATGTATGAAACTAGACACACTGACACATTGTATGGACTTAGAAGCCTAATAGTTTAACTAGATAATGGAAAATCATTCTTAATTTTCAATGCAAAAATTCCCAATATCTACAATTGAAACTCTATCGGATAAAGTTACACATGCACTCGTGCTAGTCCACTTTAATAATCAAATCTAACTATTCTAATTCGGTTAAACAAATTAATGCACACCTCGCCATAGTCAAACTGTGCTCTGGAAACCGGCTAAATTCCCTATTTATGAAATTATGCAGTGGTGAATGGAAATGGTTTTTACATGACATCGAAGCGGCCGTGTTGGCGGTGCCACTTCGAAGTTCTACAGCTCAACAGACCATAAAACTTACAGATTTCCTTGTCGATTGTACCAAATGAATATGGTGAACATATGATGTTGGTAAAGCCTGATTCTTTGTGGTCGTTGACGAAGAAAATTTATATAAAATAACAAAGCAGTCGCCGACCGTCGGTGACATATGAGAATCAGGCTTAAGAACCATCATCAAATTATTCAACCATACTGTTGAATAATATATTACCAAGCAAAAATTACAGACGCTTTGTATAGTTTGCCGGGTTTTCAGATGATATCTCCATTGACTATGGTCTGTCAACAAACCTGACAGAATGAAGTGACGAAAAGTAGAAAACTTACGCAGTTTTTTAGTCTCTTTACTACTTGAAACGGTTTCGAAGTTTCAAAGCAGTATTTTACGCCGCTCAAATATAAACGCTTTTTATAGCGCAAATAAATCAATTTTAAACGTCTTTGACGCGCCACAAGTTGAACAAAAATACCCTCTCGATATAGCAGGCCCTTTAAGCAAGGACTTAGGATACAACCACTCTTTCAATCACGGAATGTTCTTTGCTAAAACTGTATTTTGCAATGTTCCTTTTTATTGGTCTGGTGCTTGTTTGGCCACCTCTTAGCTTCTTAGGAACGCCAATATGGTGATTGCGATGACACAGGTCGGCTGTTCAATGGTGTCTTTCGTTCATAGTTTTGTACGTGGGTGCCTCCACCCGGAAACGGCACACTGAACACTGGTTGATGAGGCGGGAACTGCGTTAGTCCAGATTGGTGGCCCATTGCAGTGAAATCCGATGACATCGAATACTGTGGACGCATATCTTGAGGGGGATATCCATAGGGGTACCGAGATCGTACCGTTTGATCGCCCAAAAATTCTGAACGCCGATTTTCGCCGGTGAAATTATGCCGAGTAACATCTTGGAATTCTGGTATCCAGCGTTGTTCAGGTACGCCAAGATCCTGGCTAATAACCGACTGTCTGGTGACTGGGCTGGGACTTTCTGAAACGCGGGGGGAACCAAGGCTACCTTGCGTTTCCATACTACCACGTTGATATCGATCAGCGGAATCGATATTTTCGGTACCCTGGTGGATTTCTTCACTCGGTGGACTCATTTCTCTTGGGTGCCGGTCTATATCCATACCGTGCGGTTGCAAATCTGGAGGACTTAGGTCATTGGTTAGTGGTTCAATTACAGCCGAGTTTGTTTCTCCGATATTCGGGGTCGCTTCTCCGATATTCGGTGTCAAATGTGCGCTGTTGCCCATCATTTCTGGGTTTTGAACCAATTCTCTTGAGTCTATAACGGAAGGACTATTTCCTACTTCTCCCGGAGTAATTCCGCGAGGTGTCACATCTCGAGGGATATACTCACCGGGGTTTCGTTTCGTATGGTAAATTTCCTCGGGGCTAATGTGACTAATACGTGAACTAATTTCCTGGTTCGGTGAAGATATTTCACGGATAGAGGGGTCAATTTCTCGGGGGGACTGTATGTCTATGGGAGACTCGTTGGCGTTTGTAGAGGCCGTTTCATTATGGTTTGCCATGGAGGGGCCCAGAGCACTTTCAGACCCATCAGTCGACAGAAAAAGGTCTGGGTCGAGCTCGTGTTTACTCCGTATGTGTATTTTCAAGCGCTTTGCTTCTCGCGTGCCATAGTCACACAAGGTGCAGAGATGTTTAAACGCTCGTTTATGGACATGTCCAATGTGTTTCGTGAGGTAGTCAGGGCGGGAGAAGTTTTTACCACATTCCTCACAAGTGTAAGGCTTGTCCAAGGTGTGAGTTAGAGCATGGCGTTTCATTGAGTCATTGCGATAAAATGTACGCTCACATCCGTGACTCTCCTTGCAAGTACATGGTATACAAGGTCTGTCGGGCGAATGAATTATTGTATGCCGTTTCAATTTATCAGGGCGGGTGAAACCTTTTCCGCATTCCTGGCAAAAGTGTTTTCGCTCCTTCTTTGGCGGAGTCTCTTTGGGTGGTTTTACTTCAACTTGTGGTAGGAATTGAACTCCGTGCTGTTCCTTGACGTGAGAGCCTAGTTCGCAGATGCTTAAAAATTTTCCCGAGCAGTTTTCGCACCGCAGCACGTCATCGGCACGTCTTTCTTCGTGCGCGAGAAACTCCATAGACGTCTGAAAACGGGTAAGGCATTTCTCGCATTCTTGACTTGTCTCTGACTTCGACAGGCTACCCGAGTCCATCGTTTGATTGTCATGTCCGTCAGTAGAGTTTTCATGATTGCTTAAACAAAAAGGATCAATGTTAAATAGATGAAATATAGAATCAATATTGCTCATTAATACGTATTTAAAAACACACGAATGCAGAATAAAGCATATTTTCATTTCTTGATTTTTGTTGCGATCTCTTTAGATGGATGTAATCGAGTGGATAAGGTATGGATGTTTAAACAAGAGAAATTATACACAGAGCATTAACAACTATTCACTCGTTTGCATCCGTGGCTGACTACGCCACTTGCTCTCAGGCACTCTAACCCCGAATAAGATTGTTCAGTCTTCTTCATTAATTCGAAAAAGGACGTTTTCCTTTCGAAGACATCCGATTCTTTTCCCTCAAACGTTACCTGTTAGTAAATCCGCTTGATTCAGATGAATAAGCTATAAGTGCAGAACCGTCATCCAATGCATCCGTTTTTCGAAGGACATCCACCTCGTTAGATGCTGTTGCATTCAAATGAAGAGGTGAGGAGTGGGAGTTGGCATCGCCAGTGGAAATTTCATCCGTCCTTACAACTTCAGTGACCCCAGTTTCATTCGAAGAGTGATATAGAGCTAAAGATCCGGAGGTCTCTTCATCCGGCGAGCTTTTCAACGCTAGGGTGTTAGTCAGTGGGGTTTTTACCGCACTTGCTGTTTGAGATGGGGAGAGTGGGCCTGGTTTCAAGGATATTCCGTGCGTGTTCATGTGCAACTTAAATTTATCTAAGCGTGTAAACGCACGAGAGCATTGCGTGCAATGGAAACGTTTTTCCACTGCGTGAACGTAACGTACATGCGTTCGCACGTCTTCGGCGCTCTTGAAAGACTTCGTGCACCCGGGTTCTTCGCACCGGAAGTTCTTCTCGGTCACGTGGCTCAACTCATGTTTGCGCAATTTGTATTTGTCCGGGAAAATTTTGCCACAAACCGCGCAAAGGTTGTTGTGCTTTGCACGCACCATATGCTGATTAAGATCAGCTTCCGTGTAAAAACCACGACGACAATCGACGCATTTAAAAAGACGCCCGTTCGTATTGGGAAATTCTGCATGACACGATTTGCACACATAGACAGGATGCTTGCATGATCGTTGCATTTCTGGTGAAACCAGAGCTAGAGCGTTATCAGTTGAAGTGTCCTGAGCGGTAGACGTGTATAAAGTATTTACATTCAGTTTTCCCTCTGGGCTGAGAAGTTGTTCGCTCTCCAATTCACGAATCGTTCGCTTGATGAGCTTTTTGTCTTGCTTCCTCGGATATTTTCTCTGGGAGTTATCTAAAATAACAGTTCTTTTGTGTAAACGAATCGATCACATCCGCAAACAAACAGCATTGAGGTGCATCTGGTTATTTACATGTACACCAAATTTTCAAATTCTCCACTATCTTCACCAGACACGTACCAAAGAACCCTTAATTCACCTAGAATAACGACTGTCCGGTTTTTTAGCTATATTAACTTACCTTCAGCATCATTCAGTGTTTCATTCATGTTTCCTGCTGTAGCATTTTCATCTGTCTCATTCTCCTTCAGTAAAACGAGAAAAATAATTCAATTGACGTTTATTTATCCTTTGAAAATGTACACTGCCCCCCACCATCGCGCATAACTTCGGCATCGGAAGTAAAACACTGGATAAAACGGTGCAAAAAGGTAAATACGAGGTACTCAGATTGGAACTCAAACTATAGGTGCTGCAAAAGAACCTCCTATTATCAAAAACAGTGACAATTTTAAACAATTACTCTAACATAGAACTTCATAGCATAACAGAGACCTATGATTTAGTTTCAATCAGCTGCAATTATCTATAATCCAGAAATGCCTTGGCAATACACAGTTATATGGCAACCAAAAGATCAACTGGTAGACCTTAGACCTTAGTAAAACTGATAAATATAACCTTAGATAACTGTTTAAAAAAAAATCTGGAGTTACCTCAGATGTTTCTTGAGCAGAATGTTTCCCAACTATGCTATCTTTCAATAAAACCCCTCCAGGTGATTTTTTCTTACATATGTTTTCTTTCTTGTGTTGTGAGAATGCTGATAATTGAGTGAAGTATCGTTTGCATGTTCCACACACAAAAATACACAAATCATCATCACATTCTAAACATAAAAAATAATTATCCTGTTTAATCACCATTAAACTTTGTTCTGTTCTACGCACTTATTCATGCAGTAGAAAATGGAATATTTGTTGGTGAATAAATTATCAGATATGACAGATAATACCAGATAGTGTCATAACAAAATCAACTTTGTTAAAATTTCCACAAAGTTAAGATTCAGTTAAGTTAAGATTCAAACAAAATTTGTTGTGAAAATGTGAATATCGTAACATAATATCTCCATAATAGACCTTCTAATATTGAAGAAATAATGGTTAGGTCAATCTAAATTTGAAATATAACAGTAATCAAAATGTTTTGACCTTTGCTGTAGATAAAATACAGCATTCAAGGTAAAAATATATATTAGCCAATCATCAACATTATTATTTATCAAAATGTTATGAAAAACTCATGCAAATATGAATCTCATACCAGAAAACATCATTCAAAATTGATAGATTCTAAAAATCGGGGATCAATTCAAGATATCATAGATGACAAGAAAAAACACCTAGAGAATGAAATATTAGTAATGAGATTTTAGTAATTTCAAAAATACACAATTTTTAATATTAATGGAGATGGCTGTTAGCCAGTTATTTAGTCATAACAAAAGGAAAGATCTGTATTGAAAGTTGACTTACTTTTTCCACCTTAATACTACACATTGATTGACATGCATGTCATGTTATTAGAAAATTATAAAGAGGCACCCTACATAATACACAGGATTCTTATTGATCTTCAGTGCAAAGGATAATTAAGGTAACATATCTCTTGGATGGAGTTTAAAATCATATGCCAACAATGGTTTGTGCTAGTAATTTGGTCATATGTTTTTTGGACCAATGACCTCCACAAAACACTTTGCTTTCCATTAGGTCTGAGCAAAAAAGTGTTTTTTTATATGGTTAGTAACAAAGTCTTTCTGTTTGTAAAACTTTTAAAACAGAAAACTGTTAAATGAACTTGACTGTTGATGTGCATGAACACCATGTTTCTCTATTGACAGGTTACAAAATGTTTCATTGTAGACCGTTTGCCCCAAAAAGCCAGTTAACATGACATGATGTTTTGTGCACTGGCAACGAAATGGTTCAACTAATTGGCAAACCAAAAAAAATTGACACTAACAAAATAACAGATCCTAGTTGTATTATTTTGTGATCTTGAAAATAATGTTTTATGATTAGGACAGCATCATAGTATATTATTATGAATTTTATCACAATCAAGGTGTTCATTACATAACAAGTGATCAATGACCTCTATCAAAATTACATGTTTATTTGGACACATATATACTTATGTTGTTCATAATATTTGTAAATTAATTACACATCACATCTCAATATCATTTTTAAAACGATATATAAGGCGACCAGAATGTTAGACAAAAAAGTAACAATTATTTCATGTTGAAATTTAATTTTAAAAATCACAATAATCATTTACGCTATGTTTGATTCATGACAACATAATGATAGCAATTGTATACTTAGTGATCGTATACAATCCCATGCTTAAATTTTTCAAGTTAGCCAGAATCAAATGCAAAAAGCTAGACTGTTTATTCTATTTTCGAATAATTTCCAGCTCGATTTTTCACAAATGTTTTAGCGCCTTAGATGACAAAAATACATTAAATTGCATGCTCCAAATAAACAACGCACGGTTAACGCGATGCAAACTTTCGTCAAAAAGATATTTCACTTACCGATCATGAAAACAAACAAGAAATAATCCAAGAAATAAAATCAGAATTTCCTAGCATTTAATTCTGCCATTTTCAAATTAAAAGAATTGATTTCATCAATTAGTACCCAGGGCTAGGTGCTTCGTGCATGTTTGCATGATCCGGGGGGGTTAAGAAGAAAAAAGAGGGGAATTGGAAGGCAGTGAACTCAAATAATGACCCCGCCTTGCGAAGTGTTCAGCCTAGGAAGCATATTACTGATGTCAGTGCATGATGAGAGAAGGTAGAGGAGTAGCTTGCGTGTGGCCCAACTTCCAATTTGCGGGCAGAACACGCAACAACATCCCATCTCCAATTTGCGCGGGGAGAAAGTTCGCCGGCTCAGTGGTTGGGCTCCATAGCATACTCCATAGCCTAAAAAAGATCATGCACAATTTTCCAGATTTGTAGATTCTTTTTAGACAGCGCAACAAACAATATACCACAAATCTCATGGACAACACTTTGGATGGGGAGGCTGCCCAGATTACTTACCCTTCCTACAAGTGGAAAGGAGTGGGGAAAGGGACACAAATAACATCCCTCAAAATTATAATTGCATTGCAAGTTGCAAAGAGAATTGAATAGTGTAACTGAAATTAATGAATAAAAAGAACGTTCGGGCTTTTAATACAAGCATAAAATTCTCCAAACTTTCTTAAAGCAATGTATATGCAAAATATTTTTTAGATATATATATCTTCATTAGACTCAGAAAATACCGTGAAAATATCGAGGTTGGTCAGTGGTAACTACCATGAGCAAAAGGAGCCAGTGGCGTCAATCTGGCGTCAGTAAAGGCTAAAATCCGCCATGTTTTTTGCTTCAAAAAGATGGTACAACCAGCCGTACAACACAAAGTTACAGAGATAGGAGGAGGACTTTCTCCAAGAACTACTATATAGCTAAGTGGTCGCCATCTTGAAGTCAATTGTATCTTTGAAGTCGCCATCTTTGAGATAAATAAGCCAAACTCTAAATAGAGTTCACTGGAAAAAAGTAGCGTAAAACCCCAACAACAAAGATAAACTTTTTATATTACTATACACTATGTTACAAAAAAGACTAAGAAATAATTCTAAGTAGGATTTCTAGAATAGTTTCCTTGGTAAAAGTTTACAAGGGCTTGGTGTATTCATGGAGGGTTTTTTTAAAGGTGAAATCGACGCATATTTCGTGAGATCCACTGCGGAATTATCAATGTATTCCTCATCTATAATACTTAAAATATCATGAGTGAGTTCCGGATCACCATGTGATGCATCATAATGTTCTTTTGTAGTGCACTGACCATCCATATTGTCATATGCAACAGCATTTTCCTACAAAAATAAATGTACAATAATTGTCCAAGATTGGCTATAGGTGAAAGCATAGTTTAACTTGGAACATAATACGCGAGTTTCCCAAACACAGATTGGTTAAATAGATAAAAATAGAATAAGATCTATATAACACATTTGTAAAAATAACTTATAAAGGAAAGGTAAAGGCTGAAGGAAAGGTGAAGATAAACAAAAATACTTATTAACCCTAATCCTAGACAAAACAGGGAATAAATTTTCTGTTGATCTTTTTTGTCGTTCACCTTTATGACTAGGAGATAATGTTTCTTGGGTTGGTATATTGTTTAAAACATGACATGGAGTTAACACGCTCCCGTATTTATCCTGTGTGTAAGAATATACGTTATTACCTGTGTAGAAATTTTTTTACTATCTAGATCTGGATTTTCATGAAGGAAATTTACAGTCGACTTTTCAAGATCGCGAGACATACAGCCAATTCTATTAATAGACGACGGGAAAAGTCTTTTTCCTGCATTTAGAGTTTTACCAATTTGAACTAAAAAGCAATAGAAGATGGATTTGGCATCGACATTATGCTCACTACTTTTTACTGATCTTAGTATGCCTATCAACTTCGTTCCTGGAGCATGCTCTTACCTGTAATTTTCACCCGTTTTCGTGCGGCAGAGTTTTACACACAGCTCCATAAATGTTAATGACATGCATAAAAGGGTCGGCTGATGTCATTCTCCAATACTAATCCTAATGCTAACCAAAATTTACTACCACTAGCCCTATTTAAACTCAGTCAATGGACAGAAAGCTTTGCAGTAATAGATATACGTAATATACCTACAAACTAATCATTATCAATAATGTATATTTATACTGATTGCTCACCTGGTGTAGTACTTGGATTGTTTACGGTGTTCAGTAAAATATGACCATCACAATAATCTTGCTGTAATGTCCTATAAAATGCACAAAAAACAGCGAGTTCTCTTGAATGTATGATTAGGGTTAGTCGAGATTAGACCTATGAGGGAAAGTATATAATCGCTGGAAGGAATGGATAATTTGCCGCCGGGAAACTTTTGGCAGCGACAACAACGTAATCAATTTTTACGCGAATATATGGTTCGGAGACAACTTTATTTCTAAAGTGCGGATTTCACCAATTTTAGTTTTAGAATACGATTCAGGGAGGGGTTTGAAAGTGCTTTTGCACCGGCCAAGTTGGTAAACTTAATCAAAACCCTACTTCCTTCGCAAGCGCTAGGGCGATATCACCGCCCGCCATATTTGCCCGAAAAGGGCCTGCTAAGGAGGTAGATCAAAATCCTAAGTGTTTTCTAACACCCAAATTTGAAATAATGCAGGCAGGATCTTTGTACGTTTCCCGGCGGTGTGTTATAAGACACTGGGTGCAAAGTTGGTTTGGAGACTAGACGAGAGCAAAACACTAATAGTGTTGTTTGAGTTATCAAGTTTAAAAGGAACGTCATTAGTTAGGTTGGAAAAATTAATTCAAATTTATCTAAAGAAATACAATGGTTACCTCTTGCGATAGTATTCTTTAAGTTCACTTCGGATGTCTTGCAAATGATCTAAAAACAGTCCACTAATTATCATACCTCAAAATTAGGCAGAATATGAGCTGATAGCCGAGTAAGAGCCAAGTTAGGCCTGTGTTAGACGTCGCATTTTAGTCGCGTCGAATGCAATTCAAACAATAAATATTGAGATGATGATGAAGTTTAATGAGTTTTATCATCTCATTATCTATTGTTTGAATTGCATCCGACGCGACTAAAATGCGACGTCTAACACAGGCCTTAGTCTACAGGCTAAGAAACACAAACATCGTGCTTCTCATGTGCCGAACGCAAAAAAACAATAGATAATGAGGCATATTAATATCATTGTTATTGTTTTTAAAAATGTTTCGGCACATTACCATTAGAGGTTTGAAACAGGCCTAAAAATTTAGCAAACAAAGTTTTGTAGTCACAGGGGAATATGTTTTGCAGATTTCTATTGTCCATTGCAAGTGATTAATAAAATGCCGGCCAGTAAAGCGACCAATGAATCTTTGATTCTTGTCAAAGGCGGTGTTACACTATGCAACTTTCCTTGCAACTTGCAATGCAATTCCACTCCTTACGTATATCACAATGCAATTCTACACGTATATCAAATGTAATACTATAGCTAATTAGCTAAATAATTCAGATTACAGACGTCGGATTCAATTTTAAGTGTTTTCATTTCGTGTGGAAATCATACTCAACTCAAATTCAATACAGGAGGAGTTGAGAAAAATGTATCAACTATTGGTCCTCGAGCAGGAATGGAACCTACGCCTAATTACGATGCCAGTGCACTGGCAATAGAGGCACAGCTGACAAGAGTGAACGTGCTCTAATCTCTACTCAAAATGATTACCTTTCAACCTTTAGAAAAATTATCTTGCTCATAGCGTGGACCAGGTAACCTCATTAATGTAATCAATAACGAAGATTAACGCACAATACAAACCTTTACCGAATGTCTCGCTAGGTTCTATGCTATTCATTAACCTGCTGGTAATGTCTTCAAGTTGAGGCTATGAACAAAATCGAGAACAATTTTCCCAATTAGTAACTTGCGCAGACATTTTTTCGGGGGGGGGGGAAATTGAATATTTAATCACACTCGTAAAGTTACTCGCAAAGAGCTTGCGAGTCACTTTTTGCGATGAGTGGGTGAGAGGCGTAAAGCAAGAAAATCATTGCATACACATTTCATATTCCTATTTATCCACCATATATTACCAATAAAGACTCTCCTGCTTATAGTGGCTGCATCATCATAAATAACAATAACAAAGTTTCTAACTAACTAACTAAATTAAACTATTACTCTAACCCAGCCTCGTACCCAGGCGTCTTTTGCTTAAAATGTGGTTTTAATTAATTCAAACGTTTGTGTAATTAATATTAGTACGAGCGCGCAGGGGTGCTTGGGGAGGACGCGACAGAAAAACGAGATTCTCTCGTCCAAGCATTCCCACGCTCTCGCTCAGCCGAAGATCTATATAAAAAACTGTAGTCGCCTATTTTAATGCACCTGGGTACGAGGCTGACTCTAACCTGTAATTACCTCACTAGCTAGTTCAATCCTTTCTGGAACATCATCGACCATGTTACATTTGTTAATAGTAAAGTTATGCGCGCTGTTAAAACAGTTATAAAACAACTCGTATTAGTATATGTACAGTCACATTAGAAACCCACAGCCTTGACTCTTGACATGGACACAAGTGTCAAACGTTTTTAAAGAATTACCTTCCTGCCGATGAGCTCTTTCGTTTTCCTTCCAAATCTACATAACTTAATTTGGAAATCAAATAATTAAACCGAAGATCGTTTTCACTTTTAATAATGGCTGATAATGTGTCAGGATGAGCCTATCGTATTTGAAACATGAGCAGGTGTATTTTATTATGCAGATAGAGCAATCTGATTTATCCAAGGGAAATTCAGCGAAAATAACTAACGCATACCATATCGGTTCTTTTTGAGAATAGTCACTTGATTCTAAAGTAAAGAATATGTACATGTAAACTATGGCCCGATTTGAACTAGAGACGGATTATCCGTCTGGACGAATGACGGATCGTCTGTGTATAAACACAAGACAAACTACCTGGACGAACTATGTAGACGAATAGGTCAAAAGAAACAAAATCGCTTGTTTAGAAAGTGCACGGGAATTGGGACATTGTTTAAGTGGTAAAAAGAGAGCAGAAGAGCCGTTTTATTACGAATTTTTCAACTACCCATTCAGATTTGTCTAAATAGACGAACTATCCGGATAATTCGTGTTGAGGATGGTTTGTCTGTTTGCCCGTATTTACATACAGACGAACTAGAAGACGAACTATCTTCCGCCTGCCCAAGTTCGTCTAGACGGATGATCCGTCTCTAGTATAAATCCGACTAATGATATAAGCAAAGGGCATAATAACGGTGCGATACAGTTCCTAATCATGCAAGATCAGTTGGAATAGAGGGAGATGTCGCCATCATCCAGACCAGAAAGAGCTTTGAAGATACTGGACTCTGAACAGTGAACATTTCGCGACTGCCTAGAAATAACTTCTGATTTTCAGCAAAGTGGACGTAAGGGTAACAATTTAACCCTGGAAACGAGTTTAGAACAAATGGTTTAAGAAATGTTACAGTGAGCATAATATATTCCACCGGAAGATGATTCACTAAATATGCCTAATCCCCACACTGCGGCAAACCCATGCAGATGCGTGACTTATTCCGTATTCCGCACGCCGATTCGGTGTCAACAACGACAAGTGGCTAAAAAAGGTCCAAGACTGAGGGAACTTTTTTTATGACGACCCGCGCAGGCACAGGCTAATAATAGGATTAGGTGTATGCATGTAAAGTGTTAAGGTTAAAATATACAGTCTAACTCGCATCGTTTCTGGAGTTATAGATATGGTAAAATTTGGGAATACATGCAATATACCTGAGTTTGGGAGATTGAAATCATCAAATGTTGTTTCTGTGATACAAGCTTGCAGTGGTTCGATTTGAAACGAAGAACAATCAAGAACTTTGGACATATCTTCCTTTGTTTTGTCCTTTGATTTTTTGGACATCTAAAAGTCATGAGAACTGCACATGATGAAACATGTACAAAACGAACTGGCCAAGTTGATCATGATTTGTAGACATCTTGTGAAAAATGTCCGAACAAATTCACAGTGGTCAGATGCAAACACACTCTCAACGTCTGCTGCATCTTTTACTTTAAGCCATTGGACAATTAATTCAACTCTCTTAGTAACATAAATAACATAACATTACTCTATCGATTAAAATAGTAGAAAATGAAATTTAATTATTAGTAATTGGGACTTAATATTTTTCCCCAAGAGATCTTTGAATACTCTCCCCAGCCTTAAGGTATAATGACAAATTTGACCCATTATGATAGCAATCTCGACTGGTAAAGGGTATACAAGGTTTATGTCTAGGAATACCTTCTCAAAGACTCCTGATAATCCAGATTCTGAAGTGAATTAAACACATAATTGAAGTTAACTTGTGATGGTAAAAAACTGGGAATTCTTTGAAAATTTTAAATGTTTTTATAATTTAATTCTTCAAGGATGATGAAGCATGATGGGCAAGGAAGATAACAAATAGGGTTGGTTTTTGCATTGCATTTGTTCACCAACCTCTATAGATTGTATGTGACTGTTTCCCTTGGTTGTAAATTCCCATCTGTAATAAAAATGACAATAATATTATGCTATCAGTAAAATTGACTTCAGTGTGTGACAAAGTACCTTTACTTTGTTGGAAACATCAAGTGCTGTGCATTACTGGTAAAGGGATTAAGGTGAAGTAAATACTCACAGTTAGTCTGTTTTTAGAGTTGATAAAACATCGTCTCTCTTCTATTTTTGACATCTTTTTTCCACATTTTTGCTCCTTATTAAGAAAACATGATACTCAATGTTACCAGACAATAGACAATACATATATATATATATTATAATATATATATATATATATATATATATATATATATAATTAATATATATATTATTTTTATGTATTATATCTATTATTTTTTCTTACATGTTGTTCTTTGGTGAGTTTGGTTTTTCTTCTTTTTTGAATAAGTGAACTCTCCCTTTTCTTTTATTGCAACATCAAATGAATGAGGTTTTAGTAAACTCAACAAAACAATATTCATACCACTTTATTTCAATATACATAAGTAACATAACATACCTTATTCATTTCTACCTGTCTATCTGAGTGATGCTTTGATGATTTTCGAAGGAATTTTGTTCCTGGTTTTTTCCGTTGTTTATCTCTTTTTGTTATGTGTTTAGTATCCGAATCTGAATTAGACTCCATTTCATCATGCACAGGCAATTTCTCTTTCTTAAAAATTTCTTGTTTTTCTAAATATATTTAAAAAATTGGAGGTTATTATATAGGTATTTATAAAGTAATTTGTCTAAGGGATTTTAGGGCATGCCTGCCTACAATAGACAAGACACTAGTACCCTTTTGTGTAATAAATAAGAAATATTAGTATGGGATAATAAACATTGATAGCGCACGCTTATTTTTGGGCTGCCTTAAGCTTGACTGCCTACAAACCTATTGAATAAAATTGACAAACAGAGGTTCATGCAAAATAAATTGATGACTTTGGATTTCTGTCTATATAATTTATTTATACTGTTCACACTACTTTTTACCTCTCATTCTCATGAACCTAAATTTAGTCGGCGCACACCGTGCAGTTTCCAACTCAATTATTTGATTTATCTCCTCTCATCTGACATCTGGCCATCTCTAGAGGGATGTACAGCATACTAACATCAAACCTACTAAAAGTAAATCTTAGACGATCTCTAATTATATACATATATGATATAACCATGTATTCACCATTACTTACTCTATTCCATTTTCAAAAAGGCTCAAGGGTTTTTGGAGCATACAAAATACTTTTTCTTGTGATACTTTCGGACGCCATTTTGAAAATATATACCCGCCAAAATCTTCGGAGGACGAAGGACGATTTCTCTCCGACAAATGCCGAACCGAAAAACCGAAGCAGGATCAGTGAGCTCTATAGTCTACACGGCTAAAAACTCATCAGGGGCCGGTTGTTCAAAAGCGGGTTAAATTTAACCCAGGGTTAGCGTTAAACCAGGGTTAAAATCCTTAACCCAAGGTTAGCTAACCCCAGGTTAAAACTCCGTTGTTCAAAGCAGTGTGAAAGTTGCGGTTAACTAACCCAGGGTTAAGGCAGTTAACCTTAGGTTAAAAAGCGCGCGAATTCTTGCAAAATGGCGGACGTTGAAGGAGGGAGACAAAAGAAAAGAAGAAAGCTCAACTTTACGGTGACCGAAATAGACACTTTGACCAGCAGAGTGCAAGAAAATTTAGGACTAATCCAGTCAAAACTAACCAATGCGGTAACGAATCAAAAAAAAATAAAATTTGGGAGAATATCACAAAAGAAATAAACGCGATAGGGGTGGCAAACCGCACAACAAGCGAAATTAAAGAGAAGTGGAAGAACCTGACCAGCTCCGCTAAGAAAACGTTTGCCGATGTGAATAGGCAGATGCGAAAAACTGGAGGTGGTCCTCCACCTAAAGAACCCACTGCAGCAAGAGAGGATAATCAAAATATTTGAAGATACTCCTCTTTTTACCGGATTAAGCGGCTTTGAAACAGGTACCGGTGGGAAGTGATTGCATTTGTTGCGCTGAACTGTGGTACAAGTTTGGGCAAGTCTCTAAATTAGTTTCCAGAGCGCAACGCTTAATTAAATTGTAATCATATATTCATTTCATATCATCATATTTGCACGAACGCGGCCATGTTTGCAAAGAAATTGCCAAGTTTTCAACTATTAATATTTGTTCAACTCCATTAGTGAAAACGGCTTCCTAAACTAAGATAAGTTTTTTTCTTTCTAGTTGAAATTCTAACTTTGCCAAGACTCTGCTATATATAAATGCTTGTGTCAACACTTTGCATTTTGCAGTTTCGCCTTTTTTTAAAGCATTATTTTGTTTATTGTATATGTATTATGTTTTATTATTTGGGTATTTTATGTCTCTTCATTTTTCAGACGGACAGGATAGACAATCCTTGGAGGGTTGTAGCACGCCCGCACTTAGAGACGGTATCCTTCAAGAATTAACAGAAGTAGGACAACTCGACTCAGATGATTCAGATGAAGATAATTATGATCGTGAAAAACAGCGTCCGATACCACCATCTTTCAATAAGGAAGAAGTCTTTACTCCTAATTGTTTACCTGTGCCCACCACCCTTATCCCCGCCCTCCCTCCACCAAGCAAAACAGAACGAAAAAGGAGAATAACAAACCAAGAGGTTTTAAAGCTGCAAGCTGAAGTTCTACAACACCAGAAAGAAGTTTTAATATTGAAGAAGGAAAACCTAAAACTAAAAAACCAGGCTTTAAGAGAGGCACAAAATAGTATGCTGAAGCTTTGAAGGGTACTGTGTCTATTCATTCCTTTGATAACTTAATTATTTCTATACAGCTTAATTATGGTTGGACTTTCAGAACCTCAAATTCTATGCATGCAAGTGGTAATAGGGGTTGTAAGGTACTAGGCATTTACACATTAAAAGCAGACAGATTGCCTTGTGCAACAAATTTTCATGTTCATGATTGTAAATACACACTCTCAAGTACTTATCATTCTTTATTCCTCCAACGTTAAAGGAAAAACTTATTAATATAAATTTCATTTAGCTGTATATAATTTTGTGTGTAAAGTATTTATATTAATGTTATATATTTATTTTATTTATAGCATTCATAAACTGTTCATAAACTAATCACAATTACATATTTGCAATATAATTTATAACTCATACTTTATTGACACTGTATATTAAATTATAATATTTGATATGATAATATTTAATATTAATTAAATGGGTATGTGGAAAAAGTAGAGTGTACACTCAGTCATTTACAAGCTTGAACACATCAATCAACTTACCATAATAGCCTGTGGTTTAATATACACAAATTCATGCCAATTAATAGCTGTTTAAAAAAAAGTGTTTGCTATATGGTCTCTGATAAGATGGCCTGTTTCATGCCCTTGATATTCCTGTACTTCCAGTTCATCATCATCATCATCATCCATTGGCTCATTAAATGCAATTGCAATATTATGCAATATTGCGCATGCACCAATAAGCTGGCAAACCTTTTCCGGGTGCATTCTCACTTCTGAGTGCAGAAGATGGAATCGTCTTTTCCATCTACCAAATACTTGTTCAATTATGACCCGGGTCCTCCTATGGGCTCGGTTAAACCCCCTTTGATTTGCTGTGGCTGGCTCATGATATGGTGTCATAAGGTATGGCTTCAGTGCATAGCCACTGTCACCAAGCAAAATTCCTTGCTCCAAGTGGTTGTTCTCAAGCTGCTGGCATATTTGAGATGTGTGGAAAATGTGGCTATCATGGGTGCTGCCAGGCCATCGAGCCACAATGTTTGTAAACCGTCCTATCAGAGGAGTATATTAAAAATGTAGTACATTTAAACGTGTGGTGTAATGGCTTTACTGATTCAAAAAGTTATTAATTAAACTGGACTAATCTTTTGGGACGCCCAGTACAAGTAATAGCAGTGTGATTATATATAATTATGATACAGTATCAGTATGTACCTTCATGATCACAAATGCCCTGTACGTTGATAGAGTGATAGCGCTTCCGGTTCACGTAATAATTCTCGTTATGATGTGGCGCCTGAATTCTGATGTGTGTACAGTCAACACAACCAATCACAGACGGAAAGCCAGCTTGTGCAAAAAAGTGGTTCTTTACTTTCTCGATTTCGTTTATTGAAGACGGCCATTTTATGAAATCATTTCGTCTTCTATTCAGTGCCAAAGATACATCTCTGACCGTTCGAGACACCGTTGATTTGTCAACACCGAAACTATCTCCAACAACTTGTAGGAAACTGCCGGAGGCATAAAATCTCAAGGCAATTAGGACTTGTTGTTGTGGCTCAAGTGCATGGCCTCGCTGCGTATTGCGAATTAAATCTTCATGCAGAAGGTTTGTAATGTAATTTATTGTGTTTCTGCCAAACCTATACCTTGCCCTTAGCTCATCGTCGTAAAGGCCGTCAATATTTATGCCACGTGGACGATATCGTCTTTCCCGACGAGGATGATTTATTCGAAACAAATTAAAAGGAAAGCCTGCCATGTTTTATTTGCGAACTTGATACGTTAACCTAGGGTTAAGTAAGTTAACCCATCTAGCGAGGAGGGTTAAAGTTAACCCTTCCTTTAACCTAGGGTTAAAGATAACCTAGTTTTGAACAACGCAAAGTAACCCAGAGTTAAAATTTAACCCAGGGTTAAGCAAATTTAACCCTGGGTTAGCGTTAACCGGCTTTTGAACAACCGGCCCCAGGTTGTTGCATCAGCATCGAACAATGTTGTGCTGCCCACATTGTTCGAGTTGTTATAACTGGAACATTGTTACACCCGATTCGGTTCCAACAATATTGTTCCAAGTTGATTACAACTCTGAACAATGTGGGCAGCACAACATTGTTCGATGCTGTTCATATCAATGTTGCATCAACCTGATCGTTTTTAGGCGTGTACACGGCCAAAAATTGATCAGGTTGTCGCATCAGGAGTGAACAATGTTGTGCTGCACCCTGGGAACAGTATTGTTAACAATGTTGTTGAAGCTTGTTGAATCATCAGTGTTGATGCAATGTTGTTGTAACAAGTTGCAACAGCATTGATGATTCAACAAGCTTCAACAACATTGTTAACAATAGTGTTCACAGGGTGCAGCACAACATTGCTCCATCCTGTTTTTAACAACTTGCATCAACATGATGATTTTTACGTGTGTATATGCTCACTGAGCAATCAGCAATATCGTCAACTGAATACTTCATTTAAACGAGGGTACAGAAAAATACCATTTAGAGATAATACCTATCGTTTTTAAGCGTTTAGCGTATGTGTACAAAAAACACTTGGAAATAAAATTGGAGATGCAAAATTCGCTTTAACTTGACTTGAACTTCCATTTTTGAGACACAGCTGTGCAGCTTGATTTTCTGCATTTTGGGGGACACTTATCGATGACTCGATGCATCACATCTAAATCGAGTGTGGTATAATATAGTTCGTTGAGAATTGACTAAATATCATTTCAATATAACCAAGGAGCAGCGTGGCAGCGTCTTCAAACAACCTAGCATCAAATGTGGTATAACAACTGCCTAAATAGACAAAACACAGTCAACGTTTCGATCTGAGGGCCTTCGTCAACTCTCCATTTTACCTCCTTGAGGGGAAAATTTTTAAAGGGCTACGATTAGCTATCTGTTGCTTATCAAAATTATTGTTATAATATTTATGATCCGAACTTCGATAGCCCGGATTAAGTTCATTGGCGGAGGATTTCTTCGAGGATTTTTTATTTATATTTTCATTCAAAAGATAGAGATAGGGGAGACGTTATCAGTGGGCGGCCTTGACTGCTTCGAATTAAATTCGTTGCGCGGATGCGACGTTTGAAACTAGCCTTATTGCGAAGCCGGCAGCTGTTTCATTCATATCCTGCGTTTTAATGGTAGTCAGAGATTACAATCAATAGTGTTGATTCAACACCACAATGCTTTGCGAGAATTCGCCAGCTTCGAAGTGACTGAGAGAAAGATGGATTACGTTCAGTTGATACTTCTTTTTGTTGTGAACATAATCTTTACATTCTTTGGCATAGTCTTAAATTTATTAATAATAGTGTGTCTATTAAAGTCCTCGCAACTTCGAAAGAAGTTATGTAATTTGATGATTATGGTTTTGTCTTGTTTCGACTTTTTGACAGTCATTTCGCTTCATCCATTAATGGTGACTCAACTGGTCTTGTATGTGAAAGAAGAGAGATATTTATTAACAAAGGTGGAATTGTATGCGCAATTTCTATCTATCTTTCCTCGATCCTCTTTGGTTGCACTTTTAGTGTTGAACTTAGAACGTTATTTGGCTGCATATCACCCACTCTTTCATCGTTCTTCAATGACGCGACGCAAACTATTTGCGCTCCTCGCTATATTATTGCTACTACCAACGTTGTTGACAATGATTTCTGTAAACAGCACGGCGATTCCTCCCCGGATGGCCTCAATAATTCTCATGGTGATTTTACTCCCACCGTTCATCTTCCTCAACTACAAACTGCTCAAGATTTCAAGAAAAATGCGCAGGAGGAGTTCAGTATCACCCGGAGGAAGAAGCATAATTTTGAAAAATATTTCTACTTGTTCACTGGCAGTCGCATGTCTCGTGTTGCTGTCGATTCTCAGCGTTATCTACGTTTCATATCGTTCAAATAACACAACGTCGACATATGATGAAAGATCATCACTTTTTTGGCCAGGAACTATGATCGCCATGAACTCAACATTTAACGGTTTGATCTTTTTCTGGAAAAACAAAATTTTACGCACGGAAGGAAAGAAGATGCTCAAGGCAATAAGAGGACATTTTATGTCATAACTCGAAAAATATATCGACGAAATCAGTTGTTTGATTTTAAAACAATATGCAAAAAATATGTTTTCGTGCTCGACGAGAAATTAGTGAAATTACACTCGTCACTCAACAAATATTGGCTTACAGAATACAAAAGTGCTAGTATATTGTCTTGAATTTTTTGTAATTGTCTTTCAAGAGGTTTTACTAGGGAGCCAACATTGATGTTAGGTGGCCCATACCTCCCCCTGTCTGCACGTTAAATTGGCCCTAAAATGAGAATGAAACACAGAAAACGAGATGTTCGTTAAACTTTTTTTTCGTGATCTACACTGACAAGCGTTTAGTAATTTAAATTCAAAACATTAAAGCATAAGTGCAATTACACAGCTGAGGAAGCATTTGGGACTTATGAGTTATGGCCGAGATAAAGTATTTGATAAAAACTGGAAGGAAACGAGAGATGACAAGTTGAAGTTGTAGTTAGATAACTGTATATCTAAGCTCTTTTGAATACTTTATAAAAAACCAACCAACTTTGAATGGTTAAAGCAAGCGGGGGGAATCTACAAGACTTCGTGCGAGTTTTACTCGGCATCCTGAAGTAGTCATAACAGACCTTGATCGATGAGGATGTTTAAAATTTAAGCCTTGTTTGTAAGTAATTTGCATAACTGTTATAAAACAATTATAATTTGAAAACAAATTAATGATGCTGAACGTGAATATATAAACCGCTCTCCCACTTATGAGTCTTCTGCGAACCCTAGGCCTAAAGCCGGTTTTCCACTAGCGATATTTTTCGCGCGAAGCGACTTTATTCTTTTGTATTTGAGCAATTTGTTCCAGGTGATTGCAGTTGAGAGCTCTGGAAGAAGAGTAAAATGTCGCTTCGCGCGAAAAATATCGCTAGTGGAAAACCGGCCCAAAGCCGGTTTTCCACTAGACGAAATTTTTCGATTGAACGAAATTTTTCGCTCGATTTTCTTTTCAATTGTGACCGGTCAAGGGAATCTGCCACGGTCGATTTCTCACATTTGAAAAGAAAATCAAGCGGAAAATTTCGTTCGGTCGAAAAATTTCGCCTAGTGGAAAACCGGCCTAAGGGGCTGTTTACATGAGCCCGGTTATCCGAGATTCAACGAAGCGTGAGATGATTTTGAGGAATTGAAATGAGCAGATAACATGATCCTGGCAGTCGTATAATCACCACAACAATAGCATGTGCTTGTTTGTGACATAAAGACTTATTTCAATATTACCTCAAAGTCCTCTCACGCTTCGTTGAATCTCGGGTAACCGGGCTCATGTAAACAGCCCCTAAGAGTTCAAGTAATACAGTTTATTACATCTTGAGAGTTTCAGGTAAAACGTATCCAGTAAGATAATGATATAAGGACTACATGAGGGCTGCAACGACTATCCAAAAAAAATTAGAAATAAGGAAATGATGTTTTTCAGAATAAACTATCAACTACTATCCTGATGCGGCAGAACAAAATTAAAGATTCCAAGACTGTAAGACACACGAACTTCGTATTTATTTATATCTATTGTCCAAAACGAGGTCATTTTCCAAGAAGTACTAAAATATTGACCTTAAAACAATTGGTCAGTGGACTGACGATTACAAAAAACACCAGAACTTGTATTAATACCCTAAAATATTCGAAATAAGAAAGAAATATTGGAGATTTAGATCAGTAGTTAAAATGCATACTCTTTATTGCAAAGTTCATTCTCTTTTCTCTATATTAAAGCCCTAAGGTAAGTTATTCAGGTGAATATACAGGTCTGTATACAACGTAGCAAGTAAGATGAACATATAAAAACACGTTACCAAATGAAAAATGTTAAAAACAATCTTAAACAGTAGCCATCTCAACTTCGCTGACCGTCACTGTTTCAGGATTTAATCCTGCTAACATCAGCTGTTGCTTGGCGACCATCTCTTGAAGCTTTGCTTCCACTTCGATGGCTTCTTTCTTCACGATAGGAAGTTTTATCTCGGTAACATATTCTGAAGCTGCGATGAACTGATACAGAGAAGTGATGTTTGCGGGCTCGGAAGGCAGGTCAGTGAGGAAAAGGATTTCCTGGATGACGACTAACATGATGGTCTCGAGTTCGGTCCAGATGCCCGAGGAAAGTTCACCGTCCTGGTTCGAGGCAAACACTGCTCCTTTGATTCTTTTGTAAGACTACATGTATATAATAAGTACATGGTTAATTATTTACCACTATAGATTGGATCAAGTAACCAGGGAAGGGATAAGAACACACAATCTCACCCTAACGCACTTACTGGTTGAGCCGGTTTATCTTTACAAAAATAGTCAAATGAGTTACCGCAAGGCGTCAACTTATAAATTGTTGGCTTCTGAGTAGGTTTGGCAAAAGATCTTGCCAATATTGCTTCGCGTAACGTAATTGTGTATTCGACTAAATAATTGAATATCACCCCTGTGAAACTCCAGGAGATTGAATATAGAGAACATTCAGAACAACTAACCTGAGGATTGCTTCTTCTTCGTTTCACCTTTCCTTTAAACGTGGTAGGTTCTTCTTCAGCGTCGCGTTTGCCAGGAAGATCATCAGGAGAGTTATAAATATTACCACAATGACGACATCTACAGTCGCTGGTACAACCCACGTTGTCTCTCAAACACGGACACTTTGATTTACGATGATCCTTATCTTTACATGAAATGAACTCGCCGTCACTTTCCTGAGGGAAATTTGTTTTTTTTACAAATACATAAAAAGGAGATATTTATATATTTACTATCCAGCGCACAGAACATATTACGTATATTAACATATGATTGACCATTTCCCTCTCAGAAAATAAGGGCTAAAAATTTATCTCTGACTAATTATAAATTACACAAGTAAAAACGCTCAGGTTGATGCAAGTTGATACAAACAGGATGGAGCAATGTTGTGCTGCCCACATTGTTCAGAGTTGTTATCAATATTGAACAATATTGTTACACCCGATTCAGTTTCAACAATATTGTTCAATGTTGATAACAACTCTGAGCAATGTGGGCAGCACAACATTGCTCCATCCTGTTTATATCAATTAACTTGCATCAACCTGAGCGTTTTTAGGCGTGTAGTAAGAGTCGATATTGTAGACAGATCAATACTTCATGTATAATACTTTTAATTAACACTGGATGACAGCGTAATTTCAAATTCTTGTATACGAACTAAACAATTATAAGTCATGCATACCTTCCTTCCATTACCACACATACAAGCTTTTCTGTTCTTTCTTGCGGGACGAAACTTTCTTTGTTTCTCGTTCAAAGGATTCGAACAATCCTTGCAGCGACACAATCTGCTGCATGCCTGGCCATGTTTGAAACACGAGCATTTGGATTGACCTGGCTCCGTTTCCGAGCAAGATTTCGTATTAGATTCTTTATCGCCTTTACGACTCTTTCCGCACGAACATTTCAGTCCTGAAATGTTCTTCGAGGAAGGTAAACACAATTCTGTAAGTAAAGTATACGGGATGCGATAAATAACACGCACATGTCACGTGGACAAGATCGGAACACACAAAATGATGCTTCTAACTACAGCAATATTCATTGCTACTATTACATGAACTATAAAAAATCAAGTAGTTACACACACAACTTCGAAACAAACCATTTAATACAAACCTTTTGTGGAGTCGTAATGACCAGGTGCCGTGTGATCAAAAGCAATAAACAACGGTTGAGAAGATGATAATTTCTCTGGAAGAAAGGGCAAGTATGGTGCGTGCATGTATGACGTGATAACAACGATAGGAGCTTGCACAATACGACTGCAAACCATGACACAAAGATCTCCAATATCTGAGCTAAACCAACCAGGCTTCGAGAACTGCTCGATCTCAAATTGAGTTTCAGTGTCAGGCAGATTAATCCATTTCTTGTACGTATCTAAATTGCTCGCTACCTCTTTCGTAAACAATTCTCGAAGGGTTCCTGTGTCTTCTTCAATACTTTTGTACAGACCTAGAAAAGATTTTTAAGTGTAATTTAACTATACCAATTCCTCGCGGTTGATCAACCAGCAGTTTTAGTTTACCTAATTCTGTAACAAACTCATTATAATCCTTGGAAATCGTTTCATTTTCTTTAATCTTGTATAACTGTGATATGATACTCGAAAAACAGCAGTTGCCATCCGAAGGAACGATATTTCTTTCCAATCCAAAAGAAGCAAGATTTCGTTCCAAAGCATCAAGGTTGATTATTTTCTCCGCCTCGTTATTGAGAATATCAGAACATTCCGTTGTGGCACATCTGCAGGGGAAATTCATTTGTTTTGAGGGTAGGTCAACTACGTACATTGGTTCTGCACTTTTAAACCAACGAACGAAGTATTTAAAACGCATTTAACCTCGAGCAAGTACAGTAGGTTTTTATTACCTTAGTAAAAAGCTGTATCCTTTCACCCAATAATACGGAAACTCGACAACATTCAGGTTCTTTTTGTCACATTTCTGGGCGACTAAATTGAAGATTTCTTGCAAATGCAAAGCTCTTGTTATGGCATACTTCACCAAGTTCTCATTCTCTAAACACGCGACGTCAGAGACCGATTCAAACTCGACTTGGATAAACTGATGAATACCAAGCTCAGCCGCTTTACTCCAGATGAGTTCCGTATTCAACTTGCCGTCCGCTTTTAAACACATTTTGTAAATATCCGTGGAGCTGAAAGGTTGCTTCGTTTCTATCGGGATGGTTGGAACGACCCTTACGAGTTAAAAAAAGTTTATATTTAATGCAGGTAATTCAATGATGATTTTTGGCACTTGGTTCATCGCAAAAGCGTACGTTCAATTCCTGCTGGAGGACCGATAGTTGACTCATTTTTCCATCAACTGTTCCTGGCTTGAATTTGAAGTTTGTATAATTCCACTCGAAATTAAGACCCTCTGAACCTCTATATTTAATGCAGTTTCACTAGACTTTCATCGTCTTCTAAAGTGAAGACGATCCGAAACGACTTCAGTTATCGAAAGATTTTAAATGATAATAATTGTTTGTTAATGTCTGTTCACCAGACCCAATTTTTTTCGGAACCAATTTATTTCTGAAGAATTTTTATAGTCTGTTGACTGGCAATGTACATTCTATACGTCAGAAGCGAAACGAATCTGCGAGCAGGCCTTTACCCACACTATATATGCATGTATAGCTTTACCTGCAGTTACTATTGTGTTTCCTACATTTGCGTTGACAGTTCCAGACATAGAGAACATAAGCTAGGATAGCTATGGCAAGTTCAGGAGACAAAGACTTGGCAGCACAGAGCAGAGAATCTGTGAGAAACTCGTGTAGACGTTCATTACGTTCTGTCCCTTCTCCAGGTGGTATGCCCGACAAACAACCGCGGTCGATGTGTTCTCGAAGATCATGAATACGCTCAATCGTCTCTTCGGGTAGTTTATTGGACCACCTGCGATTCACAAAAACGTTAAGGGTAAGGTGGATATTCAAAGAAGATTGGCCTAAAATTGAATTTTTGGATTACGTTATGCGTTGGGATCAGGTACACAGCCGACGCACTAGGGAAATATTTTGAAGTTACCTTGCCATGAATTGCTCGAGATTATCACAGATTGTATTCCCCTCAGGAGTGTTCATTGTCCTTTCCTCATTGCGATCATCCTTGGCGCGAAACACCAACCGGAAATCCTTTGCAAATCTCTTGATCTCTTTAAACCATGGTGGGAGAGACTCGACAACACGCTGAGTCGCATGGAACGGACTAAGCTTAACAGGCACATTTCCAAAGATATTCGTGAAGTGATCCTGAGCCACGCAGCAATCCTCCACCAAAATGAGCTCGAGTTGAATACCTAGAAAGATGTTAAAATTTTCTGACTTCCATGCAAACCTAATAAGCCCTGGTTTATATATCTGCTGATCTGCACGCCTGTGACATGCATGCGATCTACCGAAAAAGTGAATCTGAACCAACCTATGGACGCTATGCCTATATGCTTGGTGTTATACCCGCCACATACCGCGAATATATCATGTGCAGATGAAAACAGGCAAAACGTGCTGCTTAAACTTAGCTTCATGAGCAAAACACCATGTCCATCATGTAGTAAAAAATAAAATAAGATAAAACTCAAGCATACTATACGAGCATACAGTACCTTCACTCAAAAGCCGAAGTTTAAAGTCTTGTAGGAGATCTTCAATTTGTTCAAAGCCTGCATCTCTTGTCAACCTCAAAAACATCACTTCACCGTACTCATTTAGGCCAATAAAGGCTCTGTCAAACTGACCATCGGTCGGCTCTTTACGGCTGGATCTCTCACCGATGTGACTGCCCAGTTTAAAGGTATGATCACATATGAGAATATTCCCAATATGACTACGCATGTCTTGTTCAAGTAAGTCCTTGGTTTTGTCGTAGTAGCTCAGGAAGAGATGCATGAGTTTGTCGTTACTTGGGAACGAATAGAGAAAGTTTTGATAAAATGCGCTCTCGATGTCTTCCGAACTCCCTTCTCTGTTCGGCTGGTTGAAGTGACGAGCGATATATTCACGGAAATTCATTGAACCAATACCTAGGGTAAAAAGCAATAGATAATGGTGTTTGCAACCAGTTTGTCCTAGGACATACTGTAACATATCTGATGAGAAACCGTTTGTTGCTACAACCCCTGGTTATGTCTTGACCTCCTTTTGTGCCATTCAGAAGTAGGCCTATAAATTTTGAAATGCCTGCAGTTGCTAGTTTTAAGGCTCAAATATATTTTTAGGTGATAAAGTGTGCTAAAAGTAGGTACATGTTAAATAACTTAAATTCAAATTTCTTGTGAGACTCAGCATGGACAAGATCTAGTGTTTGTCACCAAATGTTTCATCAGTGTTAACTTCATTTTATTAAAATGTACAGCCTCAGAACAAAGAGGGATATTGCAAAACATTACAGTACCTTGACATATTTTCATAAAGTTTGTCCCTTGTTGAACTTGAATTAAGAGGTAGTCCAACAATTGCCTGGACACAGCTGACTTAAAGTGGATCTCAATAGGAAATGACTGACGAGCATAGCCAGGTAGTTGCTGCATGACTTCCACAGCCGCAGACATGTATCTGAAAAGTAAATTCATTACAACAGAGATGCTGAAATTTGGGAGCAGCTGCATCCCTTGCCTTCTACTACTAGCTAAGAGGGGCATGAATTTGTTTTATGAATTTGCTTTAAAAATTACACTAGCAACACAATCAACAAGTCCCTCTCTTCTTCTATTTGAATTTTATAGTAAAAGACATATGATTATAACATATGAGTCTAATTGTTAAAGTTGTGCAGACACTCCTAGGATGTATCAAATGCCAGATGATATTCCTGATCAGTGGCAGAGTAGAGCCAGCTAATGAGCAAAAGCAAAACAACAGGACTTATTGAAGGCTTACCTATGACCGCTGCCATGACTCCCTTCCATATTTTTTGTACAACTGTAGTGTCTTTGAATCAACAATATATTTCCTCCAATATCATATACAAGTCTGGGATTGTCACTGCCTTCAGACTTCAAGTTTCCCATCCAACGTGATATTTTTAATGGTTCATTATGCTCTGGACATCTCAATTCAAGCTTAAATCGGCTCATCGGACACCAAACAAACACCTAACAATTGATATTTCTAATTATAATTTTGCTAGGATTTCAGGACACGATTTGTCAGTTTGAAATAAATTATTTCACATCTTCATCTAAATAGACACAATGTAATCCCAACAAATCTGATGTATTTATCTGTAAATGAATTACCTAAATTTATGTAGATAAATTCTAGATTGTACAGCCTATACATTGCGAAAAAGGAGTTCAAGTGCATACCTTTGGGAAAAGATGACATTTATCAGAAGGGATGAAGATAACTTGTTCAAATCTAGAATCTTGTGGGTTTTCATCAAAGTGCTTAAGTATTGCCTGAACAACATCATTTGCTTCTTCATTGATGTAAATGGCATAACTTAAACCAATCAAAACAACACAGAGGTATACTCTAGAACAAATAAATTTAATAATTTCAACTAACAGTTATCATAGTAAGAAAACATTATTAAATGGAAATCTAAAAATATTTGCACACAGAACTATAGTGCAAGTAATCATGCAATCAAAGGACGTTGCATTTTGCAAATCCACAGCAGGAAACTAGTTAAAGTGAGTTACAAGCTTAGGTTTTTATGGCACTTTTAAAACAGGGCAAATGTCTGTGAAGATTCAAAATTGGCAAGCAAATTGTCTGGGGTTCAAGTCAATTAGGTTACAACATTTCCACCTCCCTACTGAAATTTCCATTTTCTGACGACTTCTCCATAAAATACAATAAAAATGCAATGCACATGGAAATTTTAGAAATAATATTTATAATAAATCCATATGTTCCAATAAAAAACTAGTATCGCCTTTAAGGGCTGTTGCAGTATGGTTGCAGCCTTGCAGGACAAGCCCAACAAACCAAGGTGGTTAAGGCAAAGAAGTCTTTAGCTTAGCAGCCTTAGCTACATAAAAATGTTTTAAGCAACTTCACAGTTTTTATTTAACATAATTATTGAGCAGGCTAATTCACAAAATAAAGCGACTAACTCTTAATAACCAGGTTGGTCTGGCTCATATGAAGAGCACTCAACACTGCATAGCAAATGTATTAGGAGCTTTAACATCTCAAGCCAAAGGACTTAAAAACTAAGTTACTACTTTAAAAATCTACAAAAATCCATCGAATTTAACATAAAACGTATAAATATATATTCATCAAACTAGTACCATTACATCAGTTCAGAGATAGTTTACTATTAAACTACGTTTCTTCGAAGGCGAGATCTTCGAAAATGTATAGGTTGAAATAGTCGAAATGCAATTGCAAACGGCGTGGTCTATTGATCTCGACATACTATGAAGTTTCTGCAATCCCCAGTAAAAATCCAAAATAAGAAACCAGATTTTAAGAAACTAAAAACATTAAACTACATTTTATTGCATTAAAGGTTCCCCATACCTCATGGAAAAGGCAAAAGAATATAACTTCATGATTTATTACATCAAGTATTACTCAGCCACGCTTCTTCTTCTAAAAAATTTTGACCGCCAAATTCGCCAAATTACTAAAAATAATCGCAAGGAGCTTCGGGATATTGCTGATCTATATATAGGATTAGGAATAAGGGTCAATGGATACACGTCATTCACAGGGAGCGAACACTGGGAGCGACCGGTATGGGCCAGTGGTCATTTTTATCAAAATATTCGTAATTTAAATTCATCCGAAGTTTCAAAGAAGTTACTCATGTTACTTGCAGATTAGGGTTTAGAAAGTGGTAATTTATGCAGGAAAGATGCAATATTTACAAGGCATGCTAAAACTGGCAAACATGGAAACGAGGCTATTATTGGTCAAGAATGAAAGATCGAGGATCTAACTACAGTTAATATAAGTTAACTGCGTTTTCATACAACCGACCACAGGTTGTTACTTGTAGGGCATCGCTCTATGGAATAAAGCAATATCCGATGAAGCCAACCTGACCATGCTCTAACCTTATACCCAGAAAAACGATAATACGAATGAATTAGCGCAAGGATATACATCAACCAGAAGTTCACAATTCATGTATACAAATTTATATTGCAATATCAGATTATTCCACATAACAAGTGCGGACCGGGTGATGAAGCTAACACAATAGGTTAGCAACAAAAGCGAAAGTTTCAAAAAGATTAATATCTAAACAATAGAATAGAAGGTCAGTTGTTTTGAGGGAATTGCCATCACATTGTGGTCGTGCCAAGCCCCGGAGAGACGAGAAAGTTTTCCTTCACAAATATTATCATTGTCAAGTTTTATTTGCTCGCAAAAAGGATTAACAAGTTTCAATATTTTCGTTTGCGTACGAGCAACAAAGAAAAGTCCCAAAGGACAGGTAAATGCGTTTATAGGAATGCAAATAAATTGTGAAAAATACTTGTCTTCAAATGCTTGTGTGTGAAAAACTAGTCAACAGAGAAAACTTGTCAAGGAAATTTTTCTTATCTGTACGGAGATTTAAAAGTAAAATTTTTTAGAGACTTTTTATTTCTCATAATCTCATCCCGAGTTTTTTATGAAGCAAATGGTGGTCAACTCTAACAGAGGTGTCGATATTCACGGAAAAAGGAATGTCTCTTTTTTGCTTAAGTATGGCCAGCTACATGTCAACATTCGCGTAGCGCGTTTGCCGACACATTATGAATACCATTAGGAATACAATGATGACAGCGAGGCATCTTTTCTCCGCAAACAATCGACAGCGTCCCCAGCTTTTCTCACGATGAGGAATATTCCTCGATTTTAAAGCCATCAACAATTTTTCCGCTACAATGTTTTTGTTGCTGCTACAATGGAGTTTCGGCCTTACCGGCGTTCATACGTTATTAAACGTCGGATGAAATTTTTACACATGAAATAAAGGAGAAATGTTCTTGATATTTCAAAACTGTAACACAGGAGCTATTTACTCCGGTATGGCTGTACGCAGGGTCGAAACTAGATGCGATAATTGGAGGGGGAAGGCTCCAATTATCGCGCTTGTGTCGGCCCTGGCTGTAGGTTGACCATCGTTTGCTGTTCTAGAGTTCCTAACGAAACCTTATAGGTGGCGGTTGGCCTTTTTTACAAATCAATGTTCGTTTGTGAGTAGATGAGTTAAACCATGGTGTACAGTAATCCTACATAATATTATCACAATATGATATAACTACAAATCTTCCGTTCATATTTTGTGTTATTTTAGCATCAGCTTGCATTGTGTACAGCATACATTTGAGTCCACTGTCGAGCTGAAATCAAATTAGAATTTTAAGACGACACTTGAACAATAAAAACGTTCAATTGAAGAAAAGATGTATTGTGATTTGATATCATATTTGTCCTACCAGTTTCAATAGCCTTCGCTTCATTTGTTTTCCATTGTTCTGCTACATCATTGGCTAAAGGATCATCTGGATTAGGGGCACTTAATAATGCTTGGATAGAGAGGAGAACAGTTCGAATTTGAAGCGCTGGACTCCATTTATCTAAAACAAAAAGGATTTTCATGTGTGAAAAATTGCTGTCATTCATCTCAAGGGATTTCAGTGTAATAATAAATACAAATCCTCAGGGTAAATAATAGATGGTATCATCATCATGGTATCAATGTTTGTCCAGAAATCAAACAAGTAGTACTGCAATTTCATACAGAGCTTCAAATACTGTAATAGCTAAAGTGTCTAGCAATCATACACAGTTTAGAAAGGTCACCTTTTAAAATATCCAAGCAGATTCGACCAAGTTTATCAATATTTGGATGATAAATCTTAGTATTAAAACGAACTTTTGGAGGTGACATTGGATATTCTTCTGGTAGAAACAACTCCAGTTTAAAGCAACCTTTTTCAAATGGCGACTAAAAAATGTTAAATTTACCAAGTGAATAAGTTGAAAATAATTGAACATAAGGAAATCTAAAGCCAGAAAACTGGGATGTTACAAATGTATCAAAGGGAGATGCACTAAAAGCAGATGGAGGGGGGGGGATGTGCTACACAAGGGATGCAAATTTAGGTATCAGTTAAAACTTTGGGGAATTATGTATATACATAGGTACCCAATTGTAAATCTTTTGGTGTATGTTGATGTTTGGAGTTTAAACTGAGGCTCTGACAAATAATTTTTCAAATGAAGATAAATGCTAATATCCCTTACAATTGGTGTTGTACCCCATCTAATGGACAGAAGTTGGCCTGCATAGCCAATTTCTATATTGCATCCTGAAATGATATAACTATATCACATATACCTGTGGTATATTAAAACATATACCTGTGGTATATTAAAAAGGCCTCCCTAAAAGCCAATGTCCCTGGGAAGCAATTTTGTTGATACATGTGTTATTCCAGGGTATTGTTAGTGTACAATATGGTTGACATGTCTATTTTTAGATATGGTTGATAAAATTTTTAGCATTACAGCAAGAGCTGCTGGAACAGAGAATCCAAGTATGATGCTGCTTTTCATTCATTGTATCTCTATGTAAGTGCACATAACCCCTGATAAACCATGACTTTAACAAGGTTTTGCAATGCCATTTTTCCAAGGCGGATACAAATACAAATGCGAAAGCATTGGAATTTGCAAAAAAGCTAATTTGCAAGTGGGGCAAGAACGATAGGCGAAAACAATACGATGAAAAATTTTTGTATTTCGGAAAATTGTTCGCCTGCAAGCGTGTGTCTTTCGACTTTTGCTGGAAACGCCGGAATATATTAGAAATAGAAAACAAACAATACATCTCATCTGTTTCAAGTTTCGATGACATGACACAACGGCTCATTATCCAACCTACCTCTTTTGGACCATCGACAATTACATCAAAATATCTAGCATTTTCTTCATGTGGTACGGCCTTTATTCCAGGGACAGGTTCTGCTAGTAGCCTTTGAGTTTCCTGTGTTTGGAACCGAACAAAATCCTGTAAAATCACTACAAAGCCCTTTTGATTTACTATAACATGGTACGCGTGCTTTAGATTTCTACCTATATTTTACTTTTACCTTAACAATTCTTCTTGGTAACCCACCACTCATTTTAAATATATTTCTTTTAAATTTTTAAAATTTAAACTTAAATTTCAAAGTAAATTCGAAGTTCTTCCCGAACAACATTACCATAATGCATTGCACAACTTGCGTCTTCCACTTTAAAATATCAACGAGTATTTCAGTATTTTTCTCAATAATAAAGTTCGAACTATTCACCAGTCACCACGTCCTAATTTGGTTTCTGAAGACGTTGCAACTACATCGAAACGTCTGACATTATGAACTCTTTTCTTTTCAAATATGTTTTTTAAAAAACGTTGTTTTGTGCCTGGGGGCATCGATTTTCCAGAACAAGTCTTCCACTTTGAGAAAAATAATGTTAGTTATTTAACAGATTGACTATGTAAAATACAGTCGAAACGTACTCATTTTACAGTACTAAATATATTTGAAGGCGCAAATTTGAAACTCGTCTAACGTTCTATCCACCGATTTTTACATACGAAAAAGGTTTAATAAATTAAAATATCCAATGGTTAATGGTGCATTTATTATTGCTTATCTGATCCGGTCCTGAAAATATTATCAGTCTCGTTAACAATGTGATTGGTTAAAACAGTTCACTCAGTTCTTACACCTTTAAATGAATTATCAAAACCTAACGGTAAAGGAAACGAACAATTCAAACAACAGGTGAATTTTACAGATGAAATTTGATGGTTAATTTGTAACCGATCTAACGCCTGTATTCTAAAAGCTCACTACCCTAAAACTCATTAATTAAGTGGGAAATCTGATTTTTCTCGTAAGGATTTCATGTTTTCACGAACAAAGAGAGCTTGATTTTCATTGTTTTACCTTAAATCTTGCCAATGATTATGAAATGAATCTCTTATGGTCAATATTGATCAACAAAAACACAATTTCCCTTTCACACCCTGTGTGCTTTTAGGATACAGACACAGCAGCTAGCTTGACCAGAAATCGCGCGAAATCAATGACTGAGTCGACATAGAAGCTTCCCGTGTCGTAATTATAAAAAGAGTGTATATAATATTAGTATAAAAAACGCCGGCCTAAAGAATAAACTATCTCGTTCGTCTTTTCTCGTGTGTGGGTGTATGTTATAAATTATCATTGCAGATAAATCAACATTATAATGCGTTATACGCTGCAGTTTCTCACTTTCTCTATTCATCTGTTATATAACAGATCTTTTGGAGTACTCAATGAACATAACTATAAATCCCGTTTCCAGCAATTATCTCAAGACTACATCAAGGACGCACTGGAACGAATGAATATTTCTCTCCACGCACGAAGTATCATGAAGAATTCGTTGAGTTCAGTGAATATGACTAAATATAAAAAGAAAAAATTTCGAGCCACGACAGTCAAATATGTGAGTAGCGACTATATCAATGTGTATACTAGATATAGGTTGAACGTTTTGTGTCGAAAATTTTCTAACCACAGTATTACAACATAAAAATTAAGGTATTAAAATATACCCACCCGAACAGGAACGTTAAGTTCATTATAACAAGATTCACAAACTCTCGCAGCTTTTTTACTGCCAGCTACGGTCGCAGTTTTTGCCGTACATTCGCTACAAAATATTGACCTAAAAAATAAAAATGCCATATTCTTTATAAAATGAATTTACAATTAATGATAGTAATGTAAAAACCCATTATTACGTAATCGATAAACGAACGAGAAATGCTTACCCACAATTTCTACAGTGATGCTAAAATAGAGGGAAAATATATTATTAGATCGGCTTGGAAGGGATACGAGTTTCGATTGCATACATATGAAATGAAGTAATGATAAGTAAGGGAGGTCATTGCAGTGATGAGGTTAGAGTAGGTAGGTTGAAGTCATGGCACTTCAAGGTGAGATGTGGTGAGGTAAGGTGAGGTGAGGTGAGGTAAGGTGAGGCGAGGTGAAGTGAAGTGAGGTTAAGGTAAGGTAAGGTAAGGTAAGGTAAGGTAAGGTAAGGTAAGGTAAGGTAAGGTAAGGTAAGGTGACGCAAGGAAGTTATTAGGTCATGGTGCATGGGTGAGTTGAAGTAGGGCGTGAGGAAAGGCGAGAAAACAAAATAATTTTACCTTTCTAACGCTAACGGTGAATTTCTTTGAACAATTATTACATTGTACAGCATCCTTATCATTCTCCCATTTGCGATTGTTTCGCATGTTTTGCACAACTTGCAAATTTTGATTTTCTTGTCCTAACTCAACCATGGCCGAATTTAATTCTTCAATATTTCTATTTAATTGTTCGATTGTTTTTTGATATTTCTTGCAGTTGTCTTCTGCTGCGATGCACCTAAAGTAAAGAATGGAAGTGGAGTAGATACACGATTGGCATAAACGAGGTTGTCATAAACCAGGAATTTTTCTTGTAGTAAACACACAGGATCCTACGGCTCAGTGTGATTTGTCTTCTCACGTAGGCTTTTCGCGTTACAACAGCGATGGGGATAATAGGGATAACCTTACAGCCTCGTTTTCAGGACTTTAGCTATACCCTATTATCTTGTTACCTTTCTAACAGGCTACGTTTCTCGTCGTGGTTATTTTCGATCGTTGCTTCAAGTACTAGATTTTAAACAAATAAATAGTGAAAAATGATTATGGCTTTATTATGGTCTGATGAACTATCCTTCCAGCAGCTTATGAAGTAGCTAAATGTCCTCGGCATTCACCGAAACCTTCGCTAATCGGCCTGCATGATCAACAAACATAAATAACGACTAGCTCACTAGATTTTTACCTGCCATCTCGCCTTTCAACTCGAAATGTTGCGTTTCCTTTTGTTTAACTAAATCTTCGAGACTTCTCATTTTTGTTTCATATTTTGAGACGTCATTTCTAGCTGATACTAGATTCTCATTAGCTGCAGCGAGCTTCGTATTCAGCCTAGATTCTGTGTCTTCGAGCTTTAGTTTCAACTGTTCCCTAGCTTCCACCTCGTTTTTCTACCAAATGAATAAATAAAAGTTATACGAATTTTGAATCAAACAAGTAAAACACATCTCCAACGACAGTTCATCAATAGCACGCCAGCGAATTTATAATTAAATTACTCCTTACCAATTTTTCAGACAAATTGTCCATTTCGGTTTTCAAAATATTTTGGGCTCTCTTTGACGCCTCTTTATTGTCTTCAAGGTCTTCTTTTGCCTGAAGTAAAAAATGAACGAATATTACGTAAGATTCAGTATAAATGATCCTAAACTCTAGCTTCTAAATTAACTCTAAAATCCGTGTTATAAGACAAAAACTGAACCTTTGCTAAGCTCGTCTCCAAGATTTCTACTTGGTTTTGAACCTCCAGTTTTTGATTTATCAAAAGCTTTTCTTTCTCGCCCATTTCATCAACTACCTATACAGTCATAAGGAAAAACAAACAACAATGATAATATTTAATATCGATCAATTCGAGTTTCAGCTGTAATTTCACAAACCTTTTGTCTCCGTATTCGTTCATTCTCAGCGTCTTTTTCTAACGATGATATTTGAGTTTCAAGATCAATTCTGCAAACACGATCATAATGACCTTATATCATTGCATGTTATCATGATATAATTATCCCTAATGGTGCACGAGGATCCGAAATCTTAGTTACACGGTGATTCATATTGTAGCTTGCATGCATGAGAGAAAAATATGGGGTATTATTTCTATGTTCATACCATACATCTGAAACTTTAGAAAAAACTTCACATCATACAGTTTACCAAAAACGCCTTATAGTTTTTATAGTTCAGCTGTTGATATTTTAGAAAAATAAAAGAATCTCGTATTGGTTTAATGATCTACTTTGGGTAGGCGAGTTCATGCAGAACTGATGAATTGCTATTTAATAAAGCATCACTGGCATGTATAAACCTGAAGATTTCTCACTAGAGTCCAGAAGAAAATTTTCCAATTTATACTGCACGCAGCCTGACCATATCTAGTGCTAGATAACATTGACAGACTTACTTAACTTGATCCTTTTCGTTCAAATTATTTTCTCTCAATTTCAACTCTTCTTCGAGATTTTCCTTTAAACAAATTAAATTCAGAGATATAGAAAATTGTCGCTTCACATTGCTTTCCTGTATGAACGAGATTTGAATTCATATTTTGCCAATTTTTGAAAACTTACAATTTGCTTCCTAAGCTGGTCATGTGAAGATTTCGCCTCGTCTAGTTTGCTATTTCGTTCGGTAACTTCATTTTCCAAAGCGGATTTTTCCTGTGAAGATGAAGAATTTTACTCGATAATTACATTTGCAAAAAGGAAATAAACATATATATAACAAAAGATTGAGAATGAAGACTCCGTTACTCAATGCATAATTATTAAGCTATCTTTTGTTTATGATAAATAATAAAGAATACAAATTCCGCAAGTCAGAATATAAAAATGCACCTGAGAAATTCTATCTATTTCACCCCGGAGTTTTGCTTCGTTTTCCTGCCCTTCAAGAGATGACCTTTGCTTTTCCTCCTCGATTACAGCTATTTGTTTAGCAACATCCTATGTAAATAGACAGAATATTTTGATGAGGCAAAACATATATGGTTTTGCTACTATGCGCTACAAACGATCAGTGTAAGAGCCCTACTTACACTCATTGAAAAAATGAGTGTGCCATGTATAAGCATTGTCCTGATAAGGAATCATCGAGTCAATATAGTTATTATGGAATCACTGTGATAACGCAAATAAAAATATTTACCGCAGCTTTCTCTTGAGCTGCTAATAGCTCCTTCTCTTTCTCACCCACCAGCTTTTTTTCTTGATTTAACAACTCTTGCGAGCGACATAATTTTTTGTCGTAATCAATACAGCTTTCACAAGGTTTCCTTAATTGTTGCTCTTGGGCCTGAATGAAAGTTTACACAATAATAACTTTACCCAATGCCGTAAAATATCTAGTCCAGTTTCGACTGTATTTGATGAGATCCTCGGCGTTTCCCTTCTCGTACAGTGTATCTAAGGTTTCAGACTCGCATCAACATAGAATCAAGTTTTACAAACATAACATAGAATTAAATAAACGAGGATGATTGCGGAGTAGATAAACATGATGTCATGACACGGCGATATATGCAACGCTGGGTGTGAATATTCAGCAAATTCCTGACCTCAATTTTCTGTCGATGCTCCTGCAACTGCTCGTCCTTTCTTTCCAAGGAGCTTTGTAATTCCAGACACTCAGCATCCTAAAAAGGTGAGAATGCTGTAATCTATTTGATGTCGTTGAATGCATATGAATTCATCTAAGGCCGTTCAGGAAAAAGTTTCGCGTTTCGTGGGACTGACGTTCTTGTCGAGGGACGAGAGTTGGACGAAATGTTAGGCCGGTTTTCCACAAGGCGGAATTTTTCGAGCGACGAAATTTTTCGTCCGATATTCTTTTCAATTGTGAGAATTTGACCGTAGCGGATAACACACAATAACCCTTATGCATAATGACGTATCAAGCCGTGGCGCCTGCAGAGAATTTTGGTTTTAATAGTCACGGCGAAAAATTCAAACTTCAAAATTTCCCGCCGTGATTACTAAAAGCAGAACTCCCTGCAAGTATCACGGCTTGTTACCAGTGGCGTAGCCAGCCTGACGATTTAGTCATGCTATGCAAATTTTATGTTATTAACATTATTCATTTCTTTAGAAATTCATTGTTTTCGCAGTCAATTACAATTAGCATAGCATGACTAAATTTTCGGGCTGGCTACGCCACTGCTTGTTACGTCATTATGCACAGGGTCTATTGAAAAGAAAATCGAGCGAAAAACTTTCGATCGAAAAATTTCGCCTAGTGGAAAACCGCCTTTATGTACATGTAACTATCATTAGAAACCTACAGATCGGCTGTCGGATTCAGCATCATAAAAACGTTTTACAACCATTATCATGCATGCATATTTATTTATACCTTCGTCTTCATTAGTTCGTTTGATTCTAAAACTTTTGACTCGTAATTTCTGATTTCGGCTTGGTGTGCCTGTTCAAGATTAGAAGGATATATTTTTACAATGTAACAACTAAAGAAACGTTGATACGTGGTTCGTCTGGCCAGTTTATGCTTTTGCCAGGTGTTACGACGAATGTCGGTATGATGTTGTCGTCATGCTATAACGTTGGCCCCATGCATATATTTCAAATATCATTAACTTGCGTGTGAATAACAACTTAATTGCTAAAAAGAGACTATGTGTCCCATGCTGTCTGACCTATACAATATCTCTTTGTCATGATTGTCCTATAATAGCATAGGCAGCCTGGTCATGCGTTTACGACATACTATTGTATCGATAATAAATAGTTCCACCACGGTGCTTTTCATAGGTGAAACTGGGTGAAACCCAAAATCCATGAAAAATCCCAATACGCAGTGAAAACATTCCTCAGTAAAAGGAAAAGTATATAGTCACAGACAGGAATTAAGTCGGACCAGTGAGACAAACTGAAGTGCATGCACCAACAGGAAAACAAATAAACTGCTTAGCTGCCTACTGTACCTTGGCGTCATTTGCGCTCTCTTCTGCCAGTGAAATCTTTTCCTTTGTCAATTGGTCAATCTGGAGAGATTATAGGAACTATCAGTAACAGTTACACAAGTATAAGTGTTTATTACCATCTACTGTACATATACTTTTGATAGCGGATCAAAATTTTGCAAACATATTGAAATTCATTTTTGGAGATTGAAATCATGAAATGTGTACCTGTGACTTAAGATTTTCTATTTCTGTTATCTTTTCTTCAGTTTTTGACTAAATATACAAACAATTATAGTATGATGAGTATTTTTTTTTGCCATATACGGTTGAAAGCAGCTATTGCTATATGCACAATTTCATGAAAAACGATTTTCTTACCTCAGACGAATTCAACCTCTCTTTAACCGATTTTAAACTTGCCATTAAGTCTGAGAGCTGGATTTTGAGTTCGGTTTCTTTACCACTTGCAGTAGTTTGAAGTGATTCCTTTCAAATGAGAAGAAAACTTTCATAAAACAAGACGTACGTCATATCATTAAGACGTCATTGGTTTTATGCCAGTGCCAAGAAAGAGAATGGCTCAGGAGATTGGTTCTATTTTATTAAACAGTAAATACCTTTGTGACTTCAAATTCCTGGGACTTCCGTTCAAACTCTAATGATCGTTCTTCCAATGTCTAAAGTAAAACCCAAAAACGACATGGAAAACAACAAAAAATATAGGCTGTGCTGTGCTGTGTTGTTTTGTGTTGTATGTATACTATATAGGCATTGTAGCTTCCCCATTTCCAATTATATGAACAATCTACTTCAGTAACCCCAGTACCACAGCAAACTCAACACTTGACAACTGTGATAACATTATTTCAGTCCCTATTTCTAATATTATGAGAAAGAAAAAATTCTATTTAAGATTCGTATATTCAAACTCTGATGTGAAGATGCCTGCGCCTGATTGTTTATTTTCACATGAATAAATCAACGCACGAACCTTCACATTAGTTTCCAGTTTTTCTTGTAGCGCGCCTTTCTCTTCAGCCATTTTGGTCATATTCTTTTGAAGGGTTACGAGTTCTTCATCCTAAAGACATTTAAACCTCTAGCTCTCATATCTTTTGGTCTCAATAGTTTTTAAAAGACACGACGAACCTTCTCTTTAAAGCTTGATGAAAGTGCGTTTAATCTAACTTCAAGTTGTAGCTTTTCTTCTTCGAAAATCTTGATCTTGGCAGCATTTTCAGTAACAGCCTAAAAACAGTTCAAAACGTCGACTTAGCGTCTAAACTCTTTTTCTGTTTTAGAGTGCATAGCAGTTATATGATGACCGGGAGAACTATTAGACTACCGCACGACATAGCATTCAATTGTTCTCTCTTGGATCATTGATAGTTGCTCAAAAACTCTGCTTTTACAACTAATTTCACATTTGTCTAAAGATATACGTTATAATTATATCTGATTTATGTCAGACTAACCGAGTCATGTTTTTCTTTCAGAGTACTAATTTCTCCAGCTTGAGACTGGATAGTTATTTCATGTCTGTTGACAATATCCTCTTTTTCCTTGTGTACTGTTTCTAAACTGGATGTCTATAGACAAATAAAGTTAGGAAAGAGTTTCATAATTGTCTAGTGATAGCAATGTCACACATGAGCCTGAAGGTCATTAAAAATCGATATGAATTATTCAGAATATCTTTATCTGGGACCTGTACTTTTTGAATAACTTCTTGCGATATTCAACACAGTAGACTTGATCCTACCCCCAACCGAAGCAATATTTTACCGTTTATCGTTACCTTACTATGTATTTCTGCTTGAAGTTCAGAGCACTGTTTAGTTTTGCTATCCAGTTCAGTTTTAAACGACGAGACTTGTGATTGTAGACTAATAGATTCTTCCTTATACGAACTAAGCTGTTCCTTAACCTAAATAGTGAATTAAGAAATGGAGATCCAGTGTTAATGTCAATAGCCATCGCTTACACTAAATATATGGCGGGTATTGTACTTACCAAAGCATTTTCCTGCTGTAAAGCAGAGTGCTCAGCAATCTTCTGCTGTAAAGTTTCTTGTACTGATATTCTCTGTTCCTCAAGGACATTTTTCTCTGCAACTTTTGAAGCCTCGACAGCAACCAAAGTATCGCTCTAAAAACAGAGAGAATATATTTACTACAGACTCTTCGAGACTGCACCCGTTTTCTTCTTCGGCAAATGCTTATTCAAGTTTGTTTTGGTTGTTTCTCAGTATGAAATTTGTTTCTCAATATTACGACCATTGCATGGACATACGATTTAGGTCAAGGTAATCGATGTCATATAATGGACAATGGCTGAGACGACACACATAATGTATGGAATATAAATTAACTAAAGAAGACAAGGTTTTAGACTTCTTCTCCTTTAGCCTTGGTTTCGTCAGAAAGAAGGGCTTATGATTTCTCGCTCGATAACTTTCTCCCCAGGTTTACTGTTTTTATTGATGTGTTCCAATATGCGCATCGAGTTATCGCACATGAAAAAAATACCTTTTCCTGAAGTAAAGATTTAGTTTCGTCTAAAGTCCGAGAGAGATTATCTAGTTCGTCTGACTTTTCCTTCAGAGATAAGGAGACTTTGTCTTCATTCAGTCTTGATTGTTCTAATTCTTCAGTAATCTACATTAACAATACATATGGCGGTAATTGGTTTGGGCGGTGTTAAAGTGTCAGAAAATATCGCTCAAGGCAAGGACCAACGATTTGACAACGAAAATGACAATTAGGGATATCAAAATGACGCCTTGTGATTATACAAAAGAGTTCAGCGATAACCTCGTTGTTTTGCTTATGTAATTCTTCCATTTTTGCTGTACTTTCTTTAACTTGAGACTCCATCTGGTTTTCACAATCCTTTAATCTCTCTTCGAGCTGATCCTAGTAATTCGATGTACAAATACATTCATGTTTATACCTTCGAAACATCCCTGAATTAAATCAACACTAAAATATATTTGGTAAAAGATACTGTTGTGGAATTTGAGCATTACCTTTTCTTGATTTAACTGATTTATGGCTGTGCTTATTCCTTCACCAGCCTCGATCTAGAATAATGGTACATTTCATAAAAATACAGTTCATGAATGTAGAGTATTAAACAAACAATACGTTATGAATAACAAATCTCCACCTTTTGAATCAAATCATTTCTTTCTTCCTCCATTCTTGAAATATCTGCTTTACTTTGGGCTAGGCATTTCTCTAGTTCAACAATTTTGTTTTCTCTACATATCACGATTAAAGAGAAAGTTAAAAAAAGAAAAGATGGGCCTACGCATAGCCTTCAAAATTGGTGCACGTTTGAGGATGAAATAGTTCCATACTAATAATGAACAATTTCGACTCAATCCACTTCGTCTATTTTCAGTCCTCTCCAAATCTGTTTGCTATTGTTTCATATGTTTATTATTACATACTTGGAATTACTTTGTCTTTCCTGCTCTTCAAAAAGATTCTGAAGCCGTCTTACTTCCTGTTTCGCTTCATCTTTCGATTTCAGCTGAAAAAGACATCACAAACTTAGAATAAATTCAAAACGACAGTCTGCCAATTTTTCGCATCTCACCTCGACTTGGTAATTCTCCTTCGTTTCCTCCAATTGTTTTTGTAAAAATTCAACAAACTGTTCTTTTTCTTTCAAAGCAACTTGTGTCTTTAACAATAAAATTTATCCGTTTGTCCATTTTTGCCGTACGTACCCTCCATCTGTCGTAAATCGTTAAGCCACGAAGTAAAAACCTACCTGGTTCAACTCATGTTTCGTGGCCAAGACCAGCTGCTGTTTTTCTCCTTGATTTTCTTCAACTTGTTTACGATAATCCGAAGCTGCTTCGAGAGCTGTCTGCAGACTAAAAAATCATTTCATACACGAAGTATAAACCAGTGCCGAAGGAAAAATAAATCACACTGTCTGTTGACGTTCTTAGGAGAGTTACGTGTGCAATAACTTGAGGCATGAACGGACATATTAATAATAGAAATGATCATATATATTGTACCTTTGCAATTGTTCAACTTTTGACGACTTTTCTATCACCAGTTCATTGACTTTTGCCTCTAATCTAATGGTATATGGAATAACGCAGTATACAACTTTTTAGTTTCGCGCGTTTTCCTGCACGTGCAAAAACGAGTGTTATCTAATTAAAAGTGCGTGACAGGTCGAGGGGCCTGAGTCGTTGGGAATTGCAGAGTCTTGTTTATACAATATTCGATGGATGGTTAGGAGAGCAGAGGAAAAACATACGTCAAACATACGTCTTGGTCGTTTTCGGTTAGGTCTTAAAACGTAAACTATATATGTCTATGACCAAATCCTGACATTCGTCCAAACGAGATTCCAAACATGAATAAGAGCATGCGAAATAAAACTATGTCTACTTTTCATTAGAAAAGACATTGTGAAAAACTAAAATTGTGAATGGTTGAAGTGAGTTTTATATAACCTCGTGAGCTTGTCACCTTAGTAAAAACTGATACTATACCTTTTAGAAGTTTCAACAGCGCTCTGGTATTTCTCATTCATTTCCAGTCTCTCGTTATCCTTTTCCATTTTCGTCACTTTCAGCTGTTCCTCTAGGGACGTAATGTGCGTCTGCAGAGACGACACATGCTCAGCGGTCGGCCTTTAAAATACAGAGTACAGTATTCTTAGGTATTCTTACGATCGAGATGTAATGATTACAGTGTAACAAAAATCTTTGATAATATCCATTCGATGCACACGGGACACCGAACGTACCTTTGTGCCAGTTGTGTCTCTAAATAATCAATTGTTTTCCCTTTCTCGTTCAACTGTCCCTACACAACAAAGAGCAACTGGAATAAATGTATTGGTGGAATATAGCAATCATATAATGATCATTTCCAAACGCATACGTCTTCAACCTTTCTTAGATATTTGTGTCATTTTCAAGCTTATTTCCACGAGATTTGGGAGAGATTTACAGCATGATAGCTTCATATTGCAAGAATCAAAACTTAGTTACCGTGTAATCTACGATGTACGCTATAATCGATACTAACTTTCATTCCTTCACAGGTTTCTTCAAGTGAAACTCTCTGTTGTTCTTCATCCTTCAGTCTTGATTGTAAAGCGACAATTTCCGAGCTCATCTCCGATGATTTATGAACCAACGAGAGTTGTTCCTCTTGACTTCCAGACTTTGCTTCCAGAGCATGAACAAGATTTTTTTTCAATTCGTTCATTTCTGCAAATGATTAGATTGCACAACGTCATGTGGAACAAGCATGCTACATGTGATACGAATAATTTTCATGATTGCAGGTATTTGGTGATGACTAATGTAACTGTATTAACATAAACATGAACTAACTTGACTACCAAATACCTGCAATCTTTTCTTGTTCAAACACCCGCAATTTCTCATCGTGTTCTTTCTCACAGTTATGTTTTTCCTAAATAATATAACAATTAATAAATTAAAAACCATAAGCTTAAAAAACTACAATGTTCAGCTCTTTAATTGTTCAGATATTGTACCAAACCTGTTCCAAGGCTTGATATGCCTCTAGTCTTTCCTGCTTCTCAGCCTCAAGTTTATCGACTTCCTCTTTAAGTGCGCTGCTGTACCACTTTTCCTCCTGTGAAAATACAGAATGTTCAACATACAATTCAACAGGCTTACTTCAGTTTGCCATTGACAAGACCAAACATTAATCACTAATCAGTGACATTGCCAATAGAGATGTCATCTAGGCAAAATGCAGACCTTGAAGCATCTAAAATAAGCTTCACTAGGAATAACATATTGGACAACTTTTCACTATGCAAGAAATTCATTGCTTTTACCATACACAAGTTTGCATACCTAAATACAGTAAGTAAACATGAAAATCGGGAAAGAACCAAGACTGCATGTGCTATAGCTATATATACTGTATGGCCGCTTGTCATTAACACTGTAAATACCTTAAGTTCAACATTGATATCATTCATTTCACGTTGCAAAGTGACAACTTCAGCAGATTTTTCTTCCAAGTCTTTCAAGGTGGTATCCAGTAATGAGATATCTTCAGTATTTGTTTTTCCATGAGATTCCTCATCAAATGACAACTGAGAGCTTGAACCTTCATTTGAAATCCCTGATGAATCTTGTCCATTTTTTACCAACCCTAATGTTTCCTAGGGTTGAAAGTTTTAAAAAAGTTGACAACTAGGTGTCCAATGCCAAAATATAACCTTTGTATACTCTGAATATCTATTCCATGCTTCTAAATATTGCACTTCACCTTTGTTGCTGTCTCTGCATTCTGTAAGACACCATCTTGATGTGCCTTTTCCCAGTGTTCTTGCAAATCCTCAGCACTTAAAAAACCCCAGTAGCATGATGGACATATGAAACCCTTGCATATAAAAAACATTTGGAATTTATAATATCAATGTTTTGGTCATGGAAGCAATCTCACTTTTCATAGTAATTAAGCACAATACAAATTAAAATACTCTCTTGTAACACCAAAATTGACAATCATTTTAGCATCAGTTGGTGTATTCACCTCCCACTAGACAGGATTGATCACCAAACAATGAATATGTATAAGTTTATCACAATCCAAAGGTGTCAGTTTTTTGTAGTTTTACAAATATCATCTATATTGAGAGTACTGCCAATCCCATTACTCCTAAAACTCTTAAGAAATATTCCAAATATTTTTGCAATATTTTTGTAAAGTTTGCAAAGCTTATGATGGTCTCGGAATCTAAAGGAGCCATATCATGCAATCAAATGCTTGATCTATAGATGAAGTGTGAATTTCATTACAAACTTTTGAACCTTGAAATAGGGTTTAGAATATTTTTTCGAGTTTAATGACACCATATATAGTGAATAAGCAAAATTATCTGTCAACAGGCATATTGGCTGGTTGCACCCAATTTACTCATCATTATATATATTTTTGTATGCCAGATAATTTGGTTAGATTATTTGAGTCAAAATATACAGTTTATATTTAAATATGTACGTACCAGGGCCTACCTGGTTGGAAAAATTGTTGCATGGCACTCATGCATCAAAAAAGAACAATAATACGGTAGATGTTACTAATTACGAGACTTGTAGAATCACTAGAATGTAGCTGACTTCCGTAAATAAACAATAAACATATATACACACTATACGCTCGATATTTTGGCTAAATGAACACCAAAAGACCTCATACTTACAGAATTTTCTAGTTTATCGTCTTCATCCTTGCTGGAAGAATCTGTTTTTACCTCGACCTCCTGGAAAATTTGAAATGATCAAGTAATTCATAATTGAAGAAATGATCAAGCCATCAACTATCAACGTATCAAGCAGTCAAAAAAATCGTTTGAAAGGCCGAATCTCCCCTTCTATTGCTATGAATACAGAATAAATTTTGCTTTATTCAAGATAATATGTATGCAAACCTTTTTTCGGAATCTTTTGAACATGATTCCTTATCCTATTTATAATTTGCAAAAAATATCATCATGCGAACGTAGTATGTTGAATGTTTGGAGGAGCCTCACTACTGATCTCAAAAAAAATGGACTAATTATACTAATTCCTAGGCGCACCCAGTGACATTTGACCACACAATAAAATACGCGTATTTAAAGTGCAAGTAGAAGAAAATTATCCCATTCTCTTCCTTGTGTCTACTACCTTCCTGCTTAGGAGACGATACGTAAAAAATTAGAAAATTGGGTATGAAATATAATGAGGTCTGGCAGCTAACCTGATCACATTCACAGACCTCTTGCAGACACAGATTCGGTCGAACTAAACAGTTGAATACTGCTATTGTTTTTTTGAGCTCAAGGACTGCAGAGCCACTGGCTCTGTATTTAACTACTTATAGACGACAGCAGACAAATTACACATTGAAAGCGCATGCACAATTTTTATTAGCAAAAACTAATGATTAAAGATTATATTACAGCATGTATAGCATTGTAGATGACAATAAATCATTTTATTCTACAAATATATGGTACGTATATTTTGAATCGTGTGACAAAAAAAATCAAACAGAAAATGACGACAAGGTCTCGTAAACCTGGAAATTCTTCAATCTGCTTTACTATTAGAAACGCTTTAGACATCATCTTACAGGTATTTTTTTACCTCCTGCACTTGTGATGTTAATAATCATTGTACCTTCCCGCTATAGATCGCTGGGAACCTTTATGGTAAGCATCCTAGTTTGAGCTTGACCAGGCTCAAATTTACATTACTCCAGATGGATTATTATGGGTGTCGTGGATTACAGTTATATACCATATATTGTTGAATGTGGGCCAATTTACGGCAGCGATAACACTTTTAAACTATATATACTATCCCTGCATGTTAAACTTGCATCGTGTTAAACAATGCACCGCGTAGATACATTTACCATCTAAAGCGATTTAAAAAAATATTTACTTCTACCTGCTACAAATATTCCTTATAAGAAAGCACATGCAAAATTGAACATAATGATAATATACAGATATGAAAATAAGAAAAAAACAACATCACAGCCTGCTACCAAATACACTTCTCCCCCGTCTCACACGAATGTAGCTAATCCATTGCCTTCATCATCGTCATCATCAAAGTCATCATCCAAGGGCACCTTCTTTTCGTCGGAGTAGTACGTGCTGACTTCGTGTTTCTCATCGTCACTGTCCGTATCATCTTCGTCATCATCGAAATCACCTGAATGTCTGCTTGAACCACCCACGATTGAGTTATATGGTGGCGGGGCTTCACTACGGCTAGTCACTACAGATCTAGAACTGGATGATTAAAAAAAAATCCCGTTTAATTTATAATAAACCAGTTGTGGCATGCACAAAGGGGGTGGGGATCATTCCAGTTATTTTTTTTACCTTCGCGCAGATTTGAGAGTAAATTCATTAAATCCACCATCAACATCTTCAGGTTCGTAGATTCTTTCCCTTTCGCGGTCTTTGCGACGTTTTGGCGCCCCTATTAAAACGATTATACATATGTAAACCTGCGGTTTTTATTTCCTTTTTTATCAAATTTTCTCTCGTTATTTTAATTCTCATCACTAAATACCAAAACTCGTCTGTTAAATTCCACACGATAACATTTGAACTGCGCCCTATTCAACTTATTCAATAAATTCCAGGAGGTAATATTCGTATGCACTCAGATCATTTCATTGTTACTGAATAGCTACCATGCTAAGTATTAAAGGTGCAAAATTTTTTGAGCGGGGATGCAATCCCCCCCCCCGCCCGCACTCCCAGAGAATCAATCCGTGGTTCACACTTTCGCGGGAGTCATACCTTCATAATAGATACTCTTGAGATGCATTGTGGAAACAACTATGATTCCCAGCAACAACAGAGCGGCGAAAAATACAACGATTAACGCAACAAACCAGTCGCGTTGATACCAGTAGAGTTTTTCAACTCTGGCTGTAAATCAGGAAGAAAAAAGACAGTGAGTTGACGTCTGAGAAAATTATTCATAGTTAATTCATAGTTAAAGTTAGCCCTATGTGGCGGTGATCAATGCATGGCTATAACCATCTTCATAATCTCGGCTGTTATCATACACATGATTCATGAACATAAAACCATACTTACGCACAATACCACCAGTTAGTCCCACTGACCAGTCACTTTGCGGTCCTTCGCCCATGTCATTAACAGGCACGGTAGCAAACTCATAAACTGTATCTGGATGAAGCTTTTCAATAACGATCCAGGTCTGATCGCGAGGTCCCCACATCTGTTTCATCAAAGTCTTCAGGGGTTTCTCTTTCGTATTACGCCGACGGTATAAAACATAAAACTTTGCTGGGTATCCACCGACGCCTTGCTGTTCCATCTCATGACCTCCAACAGGGCGGAACTCCCATGGGTCTTCGTCCATATCACTACCTCCTCCATACTTTCTGAGAAATATAGGTTTTGGTTCCATGAAAGTTACATTCACACCATCTTCGCCGTATCCAACCACCTCAGGTGCCAAGGGTTTCGCAGGAAGCTCTAAAAAGAGAAATAATAGCTTAAAGAAATTGCTAATTCCTTCCCCGTAGACAGTCGGGCACATCTTTGATTCGTGCCGATTCAAGTGACCACCAAGTATAACGTTAAAGTTATAGTGGTCCAGTGGTCAAGCGGTTTTCCAACTTGATCACACAGTAGATAATAAAACAGTTTTAACTCGTAACGATGACTGTAGTAGGCCGACACTAACCTGCATTTTCATGTGTTTGAAACCATCTAAACACAGGACTACCCCAGCCACTACTAGTTCTCGCTTTTATCTTTGCTTCATACATATGAGCCGGCTTTAAATCATAAATAATATGACGTCTCATCCACCACGGGACCTTAGTGCGAATAATATTTCTCCCGTAGATTTCGTATTCCAAAATTTTTCCATTCTTATGTCGTGGTTCCTGTCAAGTAGTTATTTCAAGGTAGGAAAAGTTAAAAATATATCACATTAAATTTACAAATTCATTCAAAAGCACCTACCTTCCAAGTTAGCTTGCAGAATTTATCGTAAGGGAACGTCAAAACAGCGTAGGGTGCACCGGGTGGTCCCTCTGCTGTGTTGAATATTAACTCTTTAGACCACGGTCCCAGACCCCCGCTATTGTACGCCGCTATGCGCACATGATACGTTTTGTAGGGGGTAAGGTCTGTGAGCTGGGACTCCCGTTCCGCAGCATTTTGGTAACATGGTTCATCTGGATTGAAACAGAGATCCAAGGGATCCTCCTTTTCCACGTCTTCATCTTCGTCTTCGCGTTTTGTACGACTTCTTGGCACGTTCTGGGCTTTAGTGTCACGTTTGCTCACCTGATGTCCCTTGTTCTTGAGATATCGTGCGACAATCGATGTTTTTATATCGCGTTTTGTAAGAGGTCCTGCTACGTTTGGTTTATCCGCAGTTGGTTTATCCGCAGAACGTTTCACAACCTCTCTTGGCAAGTTCACGCTCACTTCACGTTTTTTACGAGATTGGTCTTCGGGTTTTATTTCCAATTCTTCGATTGTTGCCAGGTCAATGTGGCTATTATTGGCGTTTTTATCATACGCCACGGCCATTCCAATGCTGCTATGCCAATACTGAACCTAGATAAAAAAGATTGCCTCCAGTTTAAGTTATACCATATACATTTTGCATATTACATAATCTCATGATTCGTCTTAAAAATAAACCCATGTTCATATCAAATTCCTCCTAACACTACCGTCTACATTTAGTTCCATATAAATATGTAATATATCCAAATCCCTAGCTTCTGTTCATTTTACAATGTATGTTACTATTATTATTTAGGAATATTTACAGGATATAAAACACTATTGCTGTCTGTCCTGTCAGGTTAAAACTACTTAAAATAAGTAACATATTCAGCGCCGTAGCAGTGGCTTCTTATATATACCTTATATCCTTCGATACTACCATTCTTCGGCGCAGAAACTCTTTGCCAGCTGATGTCAGCAGATCTCGCCGTCGCTCTGTCTGGGGTTAAACCTGTTGGTTCAGCGTCAGGAGCTAGGGACAAATAATACACATTGTAAGAGAAAAATAACCTAAATAAACTTCTGAAAGGTTGTGAAACAAAAAATATCTTCCAAAGTGAAAATAATGCTGAAGTTTGTCGTATACTGTCCTGACCACAATATGGTCAATATAAGAAGGCTGTTGTTTCAACTTCCCAGCTATTTTCACTGGATATTGTTAAATACTCACAAGGAAGTCTTGTATATGTATATGTTTAACCTACCGTCTTGGCCTGAGAAGCTTGAACCAGTTGTCCAGTATGGTGCACTACCTTTGGCATTATTTGACCTGATTCTGAACTCCCATTCTACATAATACCCGGGATTCGTTACAGTCAGAGAATTGTTGTTTCCGTCATAAATACGAATGTCCTGAGATAATGGAAGGAAACGCCAACGGTTTGGACCAGTATCACCCCCCTTGCGACGCCATTGTACGCTGTAGTTGAAGGCTGGGGCGCCCCAGAAGGTCTGTGGTACAGGCTGGAAAAAAGAAAAGATAAAGAATTGGATCAGCGGGGTTATTTACACTAAAAGAATTGCCTAATGTTTGCAGAATTTAAATAAATAACAGCGATTTCTTTGTAATTCAACAATTAAGTATATTTGTTGAGAAAATAAAACGTTTTCATAACGCTTCATATTCACATCCTTTTTATTACGAAAAATTTACGAAAAAATTTTCAGAAAAATATTTAAGATTTCAGAAAAATATTTAAGAAAATCTAAATATGTACATAAATATAAAGAAAACCAACCGTCCACTCCAATCTCAGAGTATTGGGCCCACCAGGGATACCTTTTATTGAGGATGGGGAGTGTCGAGGAGCTACAAAAGGATTGGAAAAGCATTAATGATAGATTTCAGCAGTTATAAGAGCAAAACAAAACCGTAAAAATATATTTACTGGAATAAGTGGCTGTACATGATCCCGCATAGCCGAGATTCAACGAAGCGTGAGATGACTTTGAGGTATTGAGAAAAGTGTTTATGACACCAAACAAGCACATTCTATTGTCAGGATGACTACACGATTACCAAGATCGTGTTATACATGCTTATTTCAATACCTCGAAGTCATCTCACGCTTCGTTGAATCTGGGCATAACACTCATTGTCTAAACAGCTATCAGACAGTGGAAAAAGCTCAGCTTTAACATGCTCAGTACAGTTGCTGTCGAATTACCACGCCATGCATTGGGAGGAATCAGAGATCATTTTGATTATATCCCATGTTACAGCAAGTGTGTGTATTCGCAGGCGAGGGTAGTCTGCTCGCAATAACTTACCAGATGGTGGTGTGATACAATCAGATGGATCAGTTGGAACGCTGGGCACTCCTGCTCCAATACGATTAAACACAGTCACACGGAATGAAATCTGCGAAAATGGTGGCAAAAGATTGAAATCGAGAGCAACAGGCTTTGGATCTTCTTCGAGTACTTTGGGCAGTCTTGTCCAGTTAGTAGGGTCATAGGTAGATGCCCAGTCAATCCAATACTCGTAAATCTCTTCGTTGTTGAGAGCTCCAACCTGCCAGACCAGATCTGCCTTTTTCTTCCAACAGTCTCCAGACACCCGTACAATATCAGGGGGGTCGGCTGGTGCTGCAACATAAATGTTAGCGTAGTATAGACCATATTTGGTGATAACATGAAAGTACTATTCTCTTGTAGTAGTACAATACTCTTGATTGGCTTAACCATGCAAGAATCGCTGTTATAGACATTATAGTACTTGTTCAGAACATACCTTTAACTACAACATCAGCATCTTTTCTCTTCTCAATGTACAGCGGTGTCTCAGCCGAGGCGATACATGTGTACAACCCTGTATCCGATACCTACAATAGCAAAACAAGTTATGATGTATAGCTTGCTCTTCCTTTCTGTGAGGGTGAGGGTGAGGGAGAGTAATAATTCTAAGAACCCAGAGCTTAAACTGTGATAAATTCTGATAATTTCAAATTGTACCATTTACCGAGAAGTATCGTGACAAAAATGTAATAATTATGACAAAGTTCAAAAAATTGTACTTTTGTTCTTTTTTTCATTACAGAAGATATATACTTAGATCTTAATAGAACGAATTTAGTAGTGCAATTAATAGTAAAATCATACTTGTATTTAACAAATCAACCTTCCGCTACGTAGTCAGTTGATTTTGTAACGACTTGTATAATTGGCGATGGTTGCACTCCCATTGATGTATTAACACTATTAATAACTTACTATAGCATCCAATATAACCAATCTGTGCGCTTCTTTAACCCAGTGTATACGAGCACTCAACTCTAACGGCAAGCCATTACGTAGCCATCGATAATTGATCTCATAACTTTCATCACCACTGGCCTCGCAATCAAGTTCAAAACGCAGTGTGACTGTGACGTTTCGGTTGGATATTGGTGCGTTCACCCACTCGATATCCTCTGCAAAAATACGAACAAAGGTTATTCGAATGAGGTCAAACGATAACCAAAAACTGCAGCAAGAATAAAGCTGGCTGCAGAAAGAATGACAATAAAACTGTAGCGATATTAGGTATAAACATAAATAATTACAACAAAACAGAAGAAAACAAAGAATCTATCCATCAGCGTATGGTACAGCGAATAAAAATGTGCGCCGAGAAAAATTTTGAAATCCCTTAACTCGCGCTTTTTTGGCACTTTTGCTAAGAAGAACATCCGCAAACTAAAACTCGGTACAGACAGGCATGTTTTCCTTCACAAGTTTTCTTGTTTGTTTTCTTTTAAGAAAACTTGTTCGCCATACACTTGTCAAAGAAAACTTGCCCGTCTGTACGGGGCTTAAGACTGTCTCATGCCTCCATATTTAGATGCGGGTAACTGTTTACCTACAACGTTTTCGTATCATTATAAAGAAACAAAAAATAGAAAACATTGCTTACTTCCAACGGTAGCTATACTGTGACTTTCAGCATGACCCTTTTTATTTTCAGCATAACAAGTGTATGTGCCAGCGTCAGTCTCTTTGACATCTGGAATTAAGAGATCACGTCCGTTTTTGCTGACACGGAGACGTTTATCGTTGTTAGGATCTTTTCTGCCGACTTTGAGAATTGAGTGACCATTTTTTCTCCAGGTGATGCGAGGTGAGGGCGAGGCGATAACTGGGCATATGACGATACCAGTTCTGTTCATGATAAGGATAACTGGTCCCATTTGCTCGGTGAATCTGGGTTTCATCTCTGAGTAAAGAATATGTCACTGATGTTAAAAACACCTAATTAAATTGGGCCTAGTTTATCAGCTGGGTGGGTTGAACGGGGTGAGAGGGAGACCGTTTGTAGGGCCACGTTATAACCAAAATGGCACTCGAAAACACTTCAAGGGTCTTCAATACATTAGATATTGTGTAAAACCCTAAAATATTCGCTAAATTCCTCTAAATTTTTATCCAACATCCGTTTCTAGTTTTCTTTTCAACTGGGCGTAAACTGGGTACTCTATAAACACCTGCAAACATTAGATTTAATGTGCTTACTGCAACCCCATACCCAGAATCTTCGCGGGATCTCGTTGTAGCCGTGCCAAAAAGACATCCTGGGTACACGGTTGTACCTAGTTCTCCTCTCTAAGCATCTCTCTCTGACATGCACAAAGACTAAGTTCTAATCAAGTTCTATTAAGACAATACGTTTCCTTCCAACTAGCACTAATTAGGGCTTCAGTGAAAGTCGTAATATTATGCTTTATATACTACACCACACAATGTTTTGATAACTTAAAGGTAAACACCAACCTTTTACTTGTAGCCGTCCTGCGGAGTATATCACTTCCCTCTCGTTACTAGCAGTACATTGGTACATTCCATTATGTGCCGTAGTGACGTTTTTAATAACCAAGTACGATGGACTATTCTGTGTTGAGCTGTGGAAAAAAGTTATTCCAACATTTCAAACGTGGTCCACTTATCTGAAAATATTGCTGGACTAACGAAAGCAATTCTTTATAGGGATACGGACAGTAAATGAAGGCAAAAAAGAAAATTACGATGTCTTACGCTTCAGTTATTTCAACTCCGTTCTTGTACCAATGGTAACTAGGTCCACCAAACGCAGCACATCGCCACTTCACACTGTCGTATAAAGGCGGGTTAATATCCTGTAGTTCACCCTCCGACATCCACTGCGGATATTCTGAACAACATTAAAACAACATTAAAACAACATTAAAACAACATTGAAACAACATTAAAACAACATTAAAACAACATTAAGACAACATTGAAATAAGATAATAAAGCAGAATGTTCTTAAACAGCATTTAATGTTCCGAAATTTCTATTCACTGAATATTTAAACCACAAAAAAGCCTTTCCCATTCTCTAAGCTATCATGCAAATAACAGTTTATCAGCTATAATAGTTTTTGAGACGCTTTAGTTATGATTTATCTTTCGTTATAAATGGTTTAGAAAAATCCGTTGAATCGAAATTGCAATGATGTCCCTACAACTTTGTCTCATTGCTAAGCCATGTTATACGGCGCATGTTACACGGTGCACTATTTTTATTGCAGCTTGTAAGTTCCAACTTCAACTTTGTAATTCTGTGAGATTAGTTGCGGCATCTAACCCCATTACAGCCTAACTAGCGATCAGAATGAATTGATGTGATTATTCGGTCGAATAAAATAATTAATTGCAGATCCCAAATACAAGTTGCACCTGCCTAACATGTCCTAAAATATTCTTATCCAAATATTCTTATCCAAATCTATATGTCCCATTGTAGGAAATCGCTCTAAAATTGCCCGTTATTTGATATATAACCTTGTCGCGAACCGCAAAAAATCTATAAACTGTTTGGAGGGAAAGGAATATAAATCTAAAATCATTTGTTTCTCCAAACCGTCCATAGATGCTTTACAGTTCGCGACTAGACCCAGTAGGCTGGTCGATTGGAAACTGAATGGCTAATTAAGGACTCTGAAAAATTTACCTGCCACTGTCACACTAGCACTAATTTCATCTTTTCCTTTACTGTTTTTGGCCACACATTTGTACTGTCCCGCTTTATCTGGTCCAACATTCCCAATAGACAGCAACTGGTTATAGCGTAGAAGTCTAAAATCACTGTCACCCTTTATCTCTGTTTCGGCACTGGAGACAGGGTCAATTCTGTACCACTTCAATGTTGGGATAGGACTAAACGAGACATGGTGATCATTAGAAAGACAAAACAGATCGGCCATGTGATTGTGCAAAATATCTTGTCGCCCGAATTAATCAAATTCGAAATTTTTACCTTTACAAATAGACCTGTCTCATAATGACGCAGTGAACTGTGATAAAAGCTGGGATGCTAACTCCCGCAGCACTTGGTTGAAGCAAAAAATTGAAGCTGATTGACTCTGTTTCCCGTTCAATTTTAATGAAAATTGGCAAATGGTTGTATTTTACATAGTTCTAGACATTCCTAGATTATTGCTCTCTTCGTCTGTCTCTATAACGCTCAAAACTTCAGAAAAACTACCTTTAAATATGTCTCAAAGATGGCGGACAAATTAGCGTTGCAGGTTTTATTAAGTTCTGTTCACACGATCTATTAGATCCAATTCACTTCTGATGTATGGAATGAAGTAATTTATTAATAAAGCAGGACTGCGTTGGTTTAGGTTGATTTGCTGCCCACATACCTTTGAAGTCAACAGACTATAAAACATCCATCAGAAGTGAATTGGATCCAACAAAATTGGATCGTGTGAACAGACCTTAACAGTTCACTGTGATGATGTCAAACGCGGAAAGCGCTGGCTCGTTAGTTTATAACCAATCAAAATTTGTGTGACATCAGACTTTCCAATAAATTTTGCACTGTTAATATGTACTTACTATCCAGTAGCCCCACATCTTAAAACCAATGGCTTTGTTTGTCCGATAAAAATAGTTTGATCAGATATTGTGGTCTTGATTTCAGGCTTTTTCTCTATAAAAGCTAAAGGCAGGAAATATAAAAAAAATTAACAAACGTACAGGGTGTTTCAAAAAAGTGTAATCTCATTGAAGACATGCTCTTCGAAAAAAGATCCCCGCGAGATTTGCTCAGGCACAACTAGCATTAAAATTGTTTAAGATGCTCATTCGCAGGAGTTGTTTCCCCCCAAAATGGCCTTGTGCAAAAAAAACATCTGAAACACGATTTAATAACATTAACTAGGTTCTGCAAGCTATTAAAATTTTAGTAAAGAAATTTGCACCATTTTGTGCATTAATTAAGTTCCAAGAAGGAATTCACAATTCAATTGCAACTGCTTAAAAAATCTTTTCAGGTTTCCTTAAGCTTTGTGTAATAATTGCTTTCAATAAATTAAGGCTGCTTTGCTACAGAGTGAATTCACATCTACTACGTAGCAGGCAGGTCTCAATAAAAAAATGTTAAAGCTGCCAACGTCTGCCCCAAATCTCTTCAAACTTTAATAGCTTGTGCACCACAACCCATATTTTGATTTGTGTCAGTTGTGTGATTGTGTATCGGATGCGTATTTTTTCTCGAAAGACTGTTTTAAGTTTTTGGGGCCTTCAAAAACAAACTGCTACTAATAAAAAGACTAGCGTCTTAAACAATTTAATGATAAAGCACTTAAGTTTGCCTAACGTTTTTGTTGATCTCACACGCAGAGTATACTTTTCCTAAAGAACTTGTAATTAGTGGCTGCTATGTTTGAACATGGCTGGAATGTTCACAATCACTAAGAGAAACAGTAATTCTTGTAGTGAACCAGTAACATGTGGTTCTGACTGATTATAATCACATGCAGTTACAAAATCCTTTCAACCTTTTAAGCAACCAGCAAGATAACCAAATAAATGAGTACTTGGTAAATATACATACTTCCACTTCCACTTCCTCCTTCCTCAAGTTTAATAATCTGGCTTTCTGTAGCTCTGATATTGCTGTTTTCTGGATTTGCATATTGATAACAATATATGCCACCATTGTCATTAACAAACTTAATATCTTCCTTTCGAAGAACTGAGAAATACAATTCACCGTCTTTTGTAACAAAGTAATTGTTACTTGATGGTAATGGTTGTGGAGTATCAGCTTGCTTATAGTACCAATTATACTTGGTATTATGGCTTTTTTCATGTTTAGGACAGTCTAACTTAAATGATTTTCCAACAGCTGCTGTCAAAGTCTTCGGTGTAGTCTTATGACTTAGCAGAAATTCACCAACAACTAAAATGAAACAAAAACAATTAACTATGTTTTTCTAAACAGGAAATTTCATGTTTTTTGAAATGATGAAAAATTATAATATTATACATTGGTGAAAATGCTTTGACAAATAACAATCTTGAGGGTTTTCTCATTCTCAAAAAATCTCTAAACCACCTTCCAGCTGGATGCCTTCCCAGTAACTCAAACAAATTTAAGACAAAATAAGCCAATTTACTTGTAAACTCCACTGTTGTCCTTCGTCCGAAGATTGTGCCAATACTATTTGTTACAAAACATTGATAAAATCCATTGTAGGACTCATCAATATTGTCTTGCAGTGGCTTCAAAGTTGAACTGTTTGTATCAGGAAACTTTAATATATAACTAGCATCTATGGTAATGTCATTGTGCTTCCAACTATACTTCAAATTAGTTCCTTTCGCTTGGCATTGGAAGCCTTTGAACTCATCTAGATAGCCAAAGTAGTCATTGTTCTCAGTTGTGATCATTTCGGGTTTCAAATCTTCAGCAGCAGTAACCACTAACAAAACATATTACTAGGTTAATGAATTTTCCAAATCAACTTTCTGGTGAGCCAACAATCTTTTGAGTTTTTAAGCATGCCTGCCAGATTTTGTGATCCCAGCTAGGTAAGGGCATTACCCACAAGTACCTAAAGCTAACTGCAAATTGTGGCCAGATAAGAAGTATAATTTTTCTGAATACATTTTGCAATATTTACCAATCGTACTCAAGACATAAATTTATCTATCAAAAGCTGTAGAGAATTTTTTGTGTTACATTAAAATTTTTGGACAAAATTATTTTAGTATATCAACAAACACTCGTAGATATATAACCAAAACATAACTAGTTGAAATTTGTAAGCTTCAAGAATAGCAGGCATGTTTGGCCACACAGGACTAACCAACTGCAAAGAACTAGCATGACCAAATTATGGCAACAAAGCCCCAAATGTTGTTGAAGAACAACATACCATGCATTATACATATGGGATGCAACAAGTTTTTCAAGATATAAATAATAATCATAATGTACCTGATGGTAACAGAAACAAAAAACATGTGATGTACAATGTTATACACTCCATTCTCGTCAACCCCAAAAGCAATCTAAGAATATGAATATAATAAATATGACAAGGAAGTTCTTAGCATATTGTTCAATTCAAATATTAATTCAAAGATACCAACTACATCACTACTTACTGAAAAGCAAAATAACCTTTCAATATTTAACTTTAGTTAAGTACTGTGTACAAGAAGACATGTAACAAGTGAGAAATATTAGTTGAATTTTGTATTTATGATATAATACGCATTGCTTTTAATTGTGAATTTGCCATTGTGAAAAGCGATAATAAAACATGTGTGATTATTTATGACGATAACTTGTGTTTGATCAACCTGTCAGCAAGCACCTATAATAATTTTTAATTGTAATGACAAAAAGTGAATTTTCTTTGGAATTAAATGAAAGCGCATTTTATTATTTATTTATTATTAAAACAAAACTTGTTTTATTATTGCATAGTTGATTAGTTTGTTCCACATAAACTCAGACTATAAAATTAAAGTTTATATTACTATACAAAATGAAGCTTATCTATGTAAACGTTTAAGCCATATACATATGGCTTACATAAGCCATATACATATGGCTTACATACAAGAGCATTGCACCGGCATCGCAAAAGCGTAGGTTCGATTTCTGCCGGACGACCTATAGTTGACTCATTTTTCCATCAACTGTTCCTGGCTTGAATTTAAAGTGTGTATAATACCACTCGAAATTAAGACCATTTAAACCACTACATATAATGTAGTTTTATAATTGTAGCCAGAGTATTAAAACATGCATTTCCAACATAAGGGGAAAAAAGAGACTGAATATTCAATCTTCCTTTACCTTTCACTTAACCCTGAACTAGGCATGTTGGTCACTGGTTGTTGAAACATTGGTCAAAGCAAAAGGTCTGAGGGTCTGAACAATTGCAGAATAAGTCAGAATTTTAAAATAAAATATTTTTGTTAACAAACTCTCAATACCCACTGAAATGACTTAATTAATACCTCTGAAAATGTCACAAAGAGGAGAGAAAATCGCTAGTCATCCCTTTGATTAAATCTTGGGCAATGGCTTCACTAAAATTACTCTAGAACTGATGTTCTCAGATCTGTAGTTCTTGTCTAGTTGATTTGTTTTACAAAGGGTTGAGTATACACCGTCCGTTTGTAATACACTGTATCTCAAAATATATTTGTTTGAAAGAAAACATACTCAAATATTCTGAACGGAAAACGTCAAAAAAGCAATAAAACTAACATAAATCTCTTAGTTTTATTTAAAGTAACTAAAGGTAAAGTTTTTTAAACTTCTGAGTAAGAATTGAAGCTCGATTGAGTGCCGAATGGGGCTTGAAATGTACAATATATTCAAAAGAATGCACACACTTTAATATAAAGTGTTTCTCACAAAACACATCTAGCAATTTTTTGGCGATATTTCGTTTTCACTATCCTTACCTTTTGATGATCGATGAACTCCTCAGTTTAATAAAACCATGAGTTAACTTTATTGGGCGAAAATGATCAGAAATCGCACAAAATATCGAAGTTCTTTCACAATATTTCAAATCGTATACACGGATAGCGGGATCGAATAAACATAAAAAGAATGCAGGTGTCACGTGATAAATTAGCATTTATGGCATTTATCATACCCAATTTCAAAGGATTCCATCCCATGCGTCAAAATGCCAGTGTCAAATTTAATTTTACTTATATAAAGTAGCCTAGACTGTTGAGGTGATCCACCAAATTAATACAGAAAATAATTTTGAAAAATATAAGAATCGTTGGTTAACTTGGTTTCATCTCACTTTAGTTCGAGTTCGACTGCTTTTGTGTTTGAATTAATTTCAGACGCACTAAAATGAGAGAAAAACGTAAAAAAGGGCCTAAGATGCAGAGGATTCGTTGGATGATCGTCGGATAAGCCAGACTGGCGTGTGCACCCCTGGTTCATTAGATGTTTTGATTTCTTGTCAGCTAGCTTTTCAGAGAAAAGTTCAACACGGGTATGACGGAACGGCCTTATAACCGCAATACAAAGCGCTGCCGAAACCATTAGGAGGAGCTTAGTATTATATTTGTTATCTACAATAGCATTATGAACAATAAAGAGTGGAGGAATGATAGGATTTCACGGTAGTATGTGTGAGACCCATCACACCGAGATTTCTGTCGCTACAGGAACGAAACAGGGGCGTAGGATGTGTAGGACTGATTACCGAGAGGGGGGGGGGGCGCCCACTATGGAATCAAATTTAATCTCTACATCCTCGGAAATGGTTGTTTTCAGAGCACGTACCAAGTGTATGTGGTACTACAGCCTATACACAATTTCAAATACTCAGTTTGAATTTCAAAATGTTGAAAGTTTGAATTATAAGGCGCAGCGTTACACGGCCCGCAGTTCCTACGCCCCTGGACCACAACAACCTCTCTTACAACCTCCATGTCCTGGTACGAGGTTGCCACCACAGTTTTTATAACAATTCACTAATAATAAACACAATTGCACCTTTGCCATTGTTCAAACGCTCAACAACTGCGCTTTTCCTACTAATTAAAAAGTCATCGCAGGTGTTCTCTAAAACCATATAGTTATGTATATACAAATAAAACCCTGATCTTAAATAATATCGCATTGTGTACAGTATTTTACTTAGATATTTCACAAAACAACACATGTTTTGCTTTTCGCAGACCTAGCCGACTCGTGCCCATTATCTTTTTGTTTGAGTGCATTCGAGAGACCATCGACGATTTTAACTACGTCATTTAGAGCATCTGTTGCAGCATCAGCATCACCATGGGCAACCGCCCGCGCCACTTTTGCCGTCGCATTTGCAGCCCGCATACCTGCAGAACTTGCCTTTCTGTTTAAATTTAAATGTTCAGCCGCTGCCCCGACCATTGCAGCCGCAACAGTACAAGCTGCTAACGGTTTGATCTGAGGGTCCTCTGTAGTCACTTGATCAGACATGTGATCGGTTTCAAACTTCACGTTGTGTTTTTTCTTAAGTTCATCCAGTTGCTGATCACTGTCCATCGCGGGCGAATGTGGTATCTCTGACCAAGGTGACTTATCGCTCACTGAAGTCGAATCAACAACTCCGTCAGTTACAAGTACCGGGTCTCCGGTGCACTCAGAAGGAGGTTCTATATCTCCAGTCCCGAAAATAAGATCACGACACTCACGTATAAGTCTCTGAAGTTCTTCGGAGGTTAAATATATGGGCACTACCAATGCCTGATCCCGAACTTAAGTTTGTAGTGTGAAGTAAGGAGCAATTCAAATCCGCTTCAATATAGGCCCCAATAACAGGTCTATTTAGACTTTCGATGACTTGAATATTTTCTTGAAATTGTGGATCTTCTATGTATCTGAAAGAGTTTATAAATTCGTTGTCTTTATTCTGTGGACTGTATTATCGGTAATCGCATATAAAAGCTACCTAAAAGTATATCACAAATGTCAACACGCTTACAATCAAATTGCTGTTGAAAGCGTATAACAGTGAGCATGAATATACGAATGTTCACCCCACCCAACGAATCAAGCGTCTGGCGCCGTTCCTGACTTCCTGAGAATTTCTTCAAAGATTAAAAAGGTATAACATTGTATATAATAAGTTTTATTGGTTCGTTGCACGGTGTCAGAACTATTTACCACATCATAATGAGCTTTCCCTCATGGTTGATGCAAAAAATATCATCCAAACAGGGAATCAAGTTTCAAAACAAGAAAATGTCGTTGTTCGCGTCTAAACTCTAATTTCCACAAATACACGTCTGCACGCAAGCTAACAAATACAACCCCCCCCCCAAAAAAAAATTTAACCAATCATTCCCTTGTAATTCCATATTCTGATCGTAAAAACAGAGAATAAAATGCACGGATTACTTGATAGTTTCTATTCCTCAAATTTTGTTCAATATCCGCGTTCGCGTTTTAATTGGACATGTTCACTAAGGTTTACATCTGTGTTAATACGCACCGCTAAAATAGAAATCTATACACGTTACCTTCTGTGGAACACAAATTCATGAAATTTCAATGATATATATAGTTTAGAATTTAGATATACCACGAACCACGAAGTGGAATGGCAAGAACAACGGTGATATCGGTAGAACAAAATACTGACGATTTTCAGTCGTTTAGCTCTCGATCATTTTCAATAAAATTCATTTGGTAAGGTTAACCGACGCTGAATAATTTAGTTGAAATACTCGCCTTAATATTCAACCAACCAAAAACCAAACAGCGCATACACATAAATAATGATATGAATTCAGTATTTCATAAATATATAAAACTTTGGAGAACGCGTTCGGTTACAAATAACCATGGAGAGAGGTCAAAGTTTATCCGACAGATGGTTCAAATGCAATATGATATTTGGAAGTCATCCATGCAATAGGATATACTCCTCAAATCTGGAACTCATACACATGTTTGAATTGTCGACCTTGAATAATGAGCTCGTATGTACCTATAGCCTGTGTTAAGATTATTCACACAGCAGTACTGAAGAATGAGACCTTTCTTCGCGAACATTAATTAACTAGCCACTATATTATATTTATTATGTTTATACGTATAGGTATATGCAGAAATTGACTTACAATTTTGTTAGGAGCACTATGACGACAGAACACCGCTGCAAGATATGCTCCATATCTGAAGACGCCAGTTTTAAACATGGCTGAAGAAGTACATTCAAACCAGCTTCCTCTAGGTTTGTTCTCAGAACTTCTGCTTCCTCTGCGTGACTTTCGTCGTGGATAATACAAATACTGGATTGATCTTAAAACACACAAAATACATGAAGCCTTTAGTTTCCATGCATCAATTTTGTCGATCTGCATGACTGGCGAACGTTTTCCCAAATGCAGGCAACCAAAGCTGATTTGGATTATTGGATATGGAAGTTAAATCGCACAGTGGCACTGAACAAATTTGAATCCGAAACATAGTCAAGTCGGTAAAAAAGATTAAATAATCCTTAAAAACAAGTTCGTTGGGTAAGGTGCAACTAGAAAAAATCTAAAATACCCAGCCAGAAGGACATCATATTTATAATTATACCTGATAATCGTTGTACCCAAGTCCGTAAATTCAAAGGAATCGTTGATTCTTCTTTCTTTTGAAAATCTAAAACAAAATCACATTCAATATATAATAAGTCCATCACGGCTTTTTTATACTATAGCTGGATTATAACAGGTCTAACTGCTCTCTAGTCTCTACAATGGTCCGGTAATCTTGTCTTTAGCTAACTTCACATTTAGGTCCTACACTACTCCACCAGTTTCTTTCCGTTCTGATAGCCTAGAGTTAGTGGATAGGTCTTTATTTTTCACTGTTATTCGGTTTCTTGTGAGACTTAAACTGCCCTACCGGCCCCTACGTTTATACACACCAGCAAGTTAGCACTATACTCAGTTGTATGAAGTACATGAAGTATACATGAAACATGTTTGAATCGGCCTTATCAATAATGATACTCGTATTCAACACAGGGGAAATCAATACCCGGAAAAAAACACGTTGTTCTGGTGAATCAATCTGGAAACAATGCTTCCTGTTATGTGTAATTAGGTGCATGTTAGAACAGGCGAACTCTACGTACCGACTGGAGGAATAAGCCACAGGTTTTCACTAGATTTTTCAGTCGAGCAATATTCTGAGAGTAAGTGGTGGATGCTTCTTGATGAACTATTCACGACTGATGAACTACCAAACTAAAACAACGATGGATAACAAACTTTAACAACATATTAAAAAAATTGTTTGACCGAATTTACGACTTTTAAAGCAAACTGTATAGCTGTGTAAAGTAGGAACTATCGAGTGTAGCAGGGTGTATCAAAAAAGTGCAAACACTATAATTTGCCGCAAAGTAGATACTAAAATACCATTTCATTGCAAGAGTAAATTCATACTTTTGGCATTTGAAACATACGTTTTATTCCTTGTTATGCATGTGAATAGCCACACAAATTCTAACGGAACGAACTTCGACATACATCTACCAGCATGACGAATTGTGTTTTTTCCTACCTTTTGGACTTTTGGTTCAATTAGTGCTAAATTATGCAACTTTCATAAATATCTGATTTCCAAGAAGTTTGCAGTTTATTTATATACACCCTGTATGTATGTATAGGGTGAAAGTGAGTGATATACTGGGTAAGTCCTGGTTTAAAAGTTCCCACAAATTTAACGCGACTGAATATTTAGGCGCGTATGAAGAAAACCCCCTCGCGCCTTCTTCAACAGGAACAACTTGAAAAACAGCGACTTTATTTACAGTGAAATCAATCAAATCTTGGAAACGCTATTGATCCCCCCCCGAGGCAAACATAACTCGGGTTGATGGCGAAGGCATGGCAGCAGGCCTATCAAACATTGGAAACGTTATTCTATCCTTAACCCCAAGTAGCAAACATAACTCGGGTGGAGTGGAAAGCCATGGAAGCAAGCCTATCGCTCCATCTTGGAGACACTATTCTATATTTAATTGACCCTTAGGAGCGAACTCAGGTGGGGAGGGAGAGGAACGGTAGCGCTAGCAAGCCTACATGCGTGGCGTATTCCTCTACAGTTCAAAATGTTACATGGACTTACTTGGTAATACAAACCAGGGAAATTGGATAAATAACATTCTGTAATATTGATAAATCCTGACAAACTCGCCCACGTCATATTCAATGCTTGCTTGTTGCTGTTTGTTATTTTACAACGAGCCGTGAAATGAAATACACGAGGTTTTGATGCTATCATAATTTCGACCTCTCCATGCCTAAGAACCAAGCCAGTTTGCCAAAAGGCAATTACAGTTTTCGGCAGTTTAGAGTTCTTGATGGCTGCGAGAATACAAAATATCATATCGTCGCAAAAACCATGTTGAAATTGGTACTGCCAATTCACTTCAACAGACGAGCTTGGGGCTGAGTTTGGCCATTTTTCAGACTAAAAAATACAAGAAGGTATGCTATTTCACGCGATAGGACTTCCCTGACGCATGGTATTGGATACCCAAGTTTTTTCCCAGAGAAAAAAATTAGGGTTGATTCAAAGTTAGAAAGTATATACAGATTAAAAGGTATTTTTTTGCAGTGTCACGGATTGTCCTGGCAGACAAGGTAATATAAAAAGGTTAAGGTAAAACCCAACTTTACTGTGTGTTACGCAATATAGAAAAAAATATGTATAAAAATTAAAAGGCTGGAGATGTAGTTGTGAAATATTGCACAAGTTTTACATCAATACAAATCATTAGTCAAAACTTCAAAACTCCTTTCAAAAATAGTAGACTTTCAATATATACCAAAATGCAAAATTTCAGGTTAAAACATTAAACAGAACCTATTTTAGCAACACCACTTCAATTCTTCAAAAACCTTAATTATAGTACTGAGAACGAGGCTCCCAGGTTAAAAGGCAACCGTGACGCATTTATAAAAAGAGTAAAAATTAGGGCCTGTTTACATGGAACGAGTTATCCCGGCTAGGCGAGGTGAATATAATGAAAGACTAATCAGGTTAAGCCTTTGATGTGATGCGCTTTTTACCTCGCCTAGCCGGGATAACTCGCTCCATGTAAACAGGCCTTTAGACGACCATCCGTGTGTACTTACGGGCGGTTTGGCGGGCAACTTCAGTAGCAGGGGTAGATGGTATCGCTTGGTTACAGAAAGATTTTTGAAGTATGATAGAGCCAGTTCAATTTCATAGCCAGCTTTTGGCGCTCCATCCACCAAGACACCAAGTTGCAACATGGCTGGAAGAAGTTGTTTAACATCTTCTTCGTTCATGTTCCAAATCTGCAGAATATTAGACAATAATGAGCACAATTAGCATATTGTCTGGCTTTTGAACAGACACACCAAAAAAGGAATTGTATGCATTGAAGCTTCGATTTAATAATTTGCACAAAATACTCCTCGAGAAGGATTCGCCATTTGAAATTAGCTTTTCCTCGTAAAAAAGAAGGTAAGATTAGCAGAGAATAACTATTTTAATGTCCTACCTGCCAACAAAGTGGTAGGAAAGATTCTCTGATCATTCCTCTGCTAACAACATCATCAATGGCTGAACGCAACGTCCAGTCATTAGCTCTGGTAGAAGTTGGCCAAAATCTCTGAACTAAGTTGGATTTCTGGAGTTTATTAACGAAATCTTGCGGGTTCTCATCTCTGTGAATCATCGCACATGCGTTAGCGAAACAGCATGGATCTGTAATGATTATTTTGTTTTCTATCTCCCCAAACGTCCCTGCAATGTTGACACGGGCCAGCACACCCTGGAAAATATCATCGAATTCTTTAATCAAATTGTTAATGTTATATCGTCCCGTAATTCAACAGCTATTGACAGGAAACGATGCAAAAAATATGCCAATATATACGGGCATTTTATAAAGTAATCTACAATTATGCTGTGAGGTTTAATCCGTATCTTTTGCCCTCACATGTGATGCATATATACGCACACAATCTTGCACATAATCACTCTTAAAAATTGATAAAACACAGATTTACTTTCTGCACCAGGCGCTGGGTCACGGACTCTAATTTCTCTTCGTCCTGGAAACCAAGTTCTGACGTCATTGTCTTATAATCTTGACCAGACATTACAATGCCCTTCCCATCATGCAACGGTCGCAACTTCTTAATCAAATTAAATTCCTGTTCATTGAGATTGTGAACATCTTGAGATTTCCCATTGATAAAGAAATGATTCAGTATCGTGCGTCGGAGTTCTGACAATCCCTTGAAATGCATAAATATATATAATTTACTTCAATTATGCAGTTTAGTTATTATTTTATATTATTATATGGAAAGCTTTACTAAAAAAAGGTGCGAATGAAATTTTGAAATGCCAAATAGTAATATTTCACTCGTACCAATTTTATACGTTTACACTATAATGTCAATTTCAGTTTTGGTACAGATAAAATTGAGAGTGATGTAATTTGGAAATAGATGGTGCAAATTTCATCCGTACCAAACCTAAAATTGCGCGTAGTGTAAATGGGACTGATGTGGACTGATGTGGTAGAGAGAAGCCTCGTCTGTCAGTTGACCTCCTTTCACAAAGATGCAATTCTCAGCTAGGTGGACTGATATATCATTATAAAAAAAGCGCAAAAGATGCATCAAACCCATACCTTGCCTGTAACGGCACTCGTAAGAAACACTGTTGAACAAACATTTGGTCTATTATCCACGAGTCTTTCCAACTTTTCAATGCGACTCTTCACCCAGATATTTGACTGAAGCTCCCTGTTAGTTAGAGCGAAAAGGCAACGTTTATGTTGGAGTTACAAAAAGCTGCAGGTCTCACCCGGAGGAAATTCAAAATAGCATATTCGAGAAAGGTTTCACGGAAAATGGGGGATCCATTCGATTGTGAATAAAGATGGTAGCAGACATATTAATTCAGGCCATAAACGTGTTTCCTTGCGATTTTTCGAATGAACGCTCAAATCATAAAATTGATCGCATTACATCATTTTGAAGAAAGTCTTATATAGCTTAGCTTCCTTCCCGAAAAAAAAGAAGACAATTTGCAAGTCTTTTGAAGATATTTAAAAAAAAAATATAGTGTCTAATGTAACAAGCGACTGATAACTGGGTAAAGAAAACGCTTCAGGTCAGAATCATCATGCATGCACGGGTCTTTCTCTTTATTCTTTTTTCTTTCCCCATATATTCATATTTTTGAATGACAACCAAAAGCACATCAAAATTCAAACACGTTATCTTCTTTAACCAGAAGCCACAAAATCTTATAGCATATTATCCAAATCTTATATTTTTTAATAAACAAACCTCAAAATTGTCAATTCTTGGTTAATTTCATCGAGTACAGCATTTTCCATTTTTTGCACTTCATCCGTAATTCTCTGACCTGGATCTTCGGAAATCTCACAATTGCTGGCTGCAATGATTACCTCTGCATTTAAAGACTAAAACCGAAATTGTACAGTCAAATTATACCATTTGTCCAAAAAGAAAATCAGTTTAAATGATGCCGATATCAGTTTTTGGTAATCCCACTACGACGGGTCGAACAGGACAATTTTTAGCATTCTATAACTGAGAAACATATAATTCGATACTTGTCATTAGGGAAGACGTGGTTAGTTGCACTGTTGCAGAGCTTCCGAGTTTAGCTGACAGAACGTAAATCAAGTTCAAGAGGTTATTTCATTTATTTTGATATGGGTAAGTCACCTGTTGTCTTCCTTATATACAAAAAAACGCGAGGTGCTATAAATATATCGACCGGCGAATCTTTAAACAGTATACCTTGGATTGAATCATTTGAACCCATTGCGGCAAAAGTCTCGCATCCCTGGGGTTACGAACGTTAAAAACCAAGACAAACAAGGCAGTTTCAGGTATACATAGTTGTTGGGTTGTCCATAAAGCCTGTAATACATAATAAAACAATGCCCAATAGTCAATACGACTACCAACTGCAGTTATACAGCACTAGTTGATGTTATGATACGAAAACTATTCGAATATGCGAAAAAGTGGCTGAGAAAACTATGAAGATTTTTTCATCATGTCCATATATATTTCTCTTAGACTTAATTACTTTATACACGCCCAAAACGAAACTAGAATTAAATTATTATCAATTTCGTTTATTCAGTACTTTTACTTTCAGGTTTTTCCTTGTTTGGGCCATATGTCTCAACTAGCAGTCGATCAGGCCTATTCTTACAACAGTAGTGATTGATAGTTTCGTTGTACATAATGTACGTTATACTGAGACATTCATAACTTACCTCATGCCCACAGATGTCCCAAACTGTCACGCTTGCATCCAAGTCTTTTTCCGATAAATTACCATTAAAATATTCGCGACACTCGTCTGAAACTGAATCATTACGTAAATCAGAGTTGGCAGATTAAGCTAGAATCGAAATAACGTATTTTACAGGTTTAGTTTTGCCATGTTTATATCAGGCAAACATAACGTTTGAATTAATGCTTGAATAACGTCAGAAAAGATCATGAACAAAATATGAAACTTTAGTTTCCAAGAATCCATCCTGAGCCAACCTTTATTTAATTAGGCAAGCACTAATCTGCAGTCACATTACCTGGACTTTCACTGCTAAATGGTCGCCAATCTTCAACTAAGATTGAGCAATTTGGACCATCAATGACTTGTGGATTGGGAGATTTTAAACATTGATACAAACTAGTCTTGCCGCTTCCTTTGCTACCAACGAATACAATATGACCATGTTTCACTTGAGGTACTCTGTCTGTACCCATTGTCCCCAGAAAATTTAATTAGTTTTAAAACAGACCAAATTTTGCCAAGAACAGCGCTCAAATTTGTATCACAAAAACTACATTCTGAGACACTTGTATGTAAGCAAATTGCATCCAATTCTACCCAACAGTTGTATATCAAATAAACTCAGTCATTTCCACAGATTCAGTGATAGTGGAACAATGAGATCAATACAACAAAAAATTGCCATCACAGCAGCTACTGTTGGCTGATCATGTTCAACCTAAAATAAATCAAACATTTGATGGAAATCATCTTAATTATTGTATCTTGGAGCATGGGCCACCTGCTGGGAAAAATACTCACACCTCTGAGACAATAATATTTACAGTAGCAACATATTGTATTTCCTCACAACTAAAATTTGTTGAAAAAAATATTTTAGAAATTTGTTGAAAAAAATATATAAAGCCAGGAAATGGGCTAAATGATCTATTGTTGTATATAAACTTTTAGTGGTAAAAATTAGCAACAGTAGTTCATATAGTCATACTGACTCATGCATGCCGTACTCACAGTTGATCAATGTATGGTTCATGTATGATCAATGGTAATTTCCAATGTATTTCAGAATGGTTAGATCTTAGATGTATAAGTCAATGGAAATTACACCATGCTTTTACAGTAAATGCAGGTTGACTGAAAAGTTGATAAGATCAGCAACCAATTTTATCATGTGCCTGCTCTATGCAAAACAAGGTGTAGAATACAAACAAACCTCATTATGCATTGTTTTTCGCTGGCCTTTTTTGCAGGAATTCATGCATGCCTTGTTAGTTGTTAAAGCTAGCATGAAATGTTTTCTTTCTAAAAAGGTTTCACTGCCCTTGAGTCTTATATGATCTGAAAATAATCTATATTAATATCTCCATCTGTTCACCTAGTGTGTAATGTTAATAGCTTTTGTTGCAGGATAAATTAGTGAATGAAACAAAAAATATACACAGAAAATATGAAAGATTTAAATATTTAACTGAGTTAAAAAACATTTCGCTGTATAAATGTGAGGGGAATATATTAAGGCATACAGAACGTCTTTAGTTTTATGAATATACGTTGACATGTCCTTTTAATCTCAACGGTCAAATATTTATAAACAAGAATAGCTTTCGTACTGTTCCAAAATTTAAAGGGACAAAGTTGTAACAAAACAGTTCTAATTGAAGAAGGATCAATTTTGAACATACATATGAATATATATTTCGAATTTAAGGATAAGTTAACAATATTGCAGCGCGTTGCTAATCTATAAGCAAAATAACAAGACATTATTACAGAATTTTAATCCTCTAACGGCAAATAGGAAAATTAAAACAATGAAAGATTGATATCATGCATTGATCGCCTACCTTTTAATGTTGTATATCCCAAATCTTGTGTTTTATACAAGCGAGTTTTGCTGTGCTTTAAAGCGCTTCATGCACAATTTTCTCGCCTTCGACTCATAACTAATTCATCATCAGGTCCATAACGGTCAAAGTGTAACAAGTTACGTTGCTATACGCTTCGAGAGATCACAATAGAAATTTTAAGCCTTTTTCCAAATTAGCATTCGCGTATTTGTGCAGCTGCTTCGGCGATATGCGTTCGAGCATTGCCGGCTTTTTTTGCCGTCGGTTTCTCTTCGGGGAGAATCGGAGATAATTCTTGTTTTTACTAAATTGTACATTTTACATTGCGAGCTTACCTAGGTTCCTGGAACATCACTGACAAAACAACCAGGGGCGTAGCGTGGGGGCGTACGGAGGTGCTACACCCCCTGTTTGAAAAGGTGGTCGGTTAAACGTTAAGTGGGTCGGTAATGAAAAAAACACTGTCGGTGAATCACTTTTAGCTAGAGTAATAAAAAATTCCATGCACACTTCTAAAACTGAACACTCGCTGACCACACGCTACAATTTACCCCAATTGACAGGTGTGTAAGCAACCTTTCCCGGGATTCAAACGGCCTCTTCGATATTTAATGGCACTTGGGGAGGAAAATCCATGACAACGAGATCACAACTGCTTCCCCTTTTGGTGTGTTTAATGTGTATGACTGTATGCGGTCGTTCTAAATTCTAAAACGTGCAACTTCACCTGGTACGATATTTTAAAACATTGGCGATTTCAATCACTGGGCGGAAAGCGTAATTACGTAATCCGGCGTGAGCGACGGAGTTGAAAATTCGCCTGGGACTAGGTTTTGTTTTGTTTTGGTTTCAGTTTTCTAATTTTTCGTCGTCGCGGGTGTGTTTTGGCGCGAAATATACTAGTATTTGAAAAGTATATGTGACCGTATTTACCTAATACACAGTCACAGTTTTGTCTCCAAGAGTTGTGGTCCACTGCTTTGGCTAATTTTGATTTCGCTTGCTGGTACGAGGTTCAGAGGTTGTGTAAATGAGGATTCATTCTATAGCCTAGCAAAATTTGTATGATTAAACAAGAGACAAAAAATTCATTGAATAAATGTAATGCGGTCAGTGTTCAAAAGCCGGTTTAACCCTGGGTTAACTCAAGCTTTCACGTCAATTTTTGTAATAGCTCGTTTATGAAATTGAACATGTTTCTTCATAAATATTTTGTGGATCAATAGAAGTCTTATTTTGTAAAGTTCAGAAACAAACAGCGGTGCAGAAGCATATAAACCAAAACAGCGGAGTAAAATTTGATCAAGGGTTAGCGCTGACCTACAATCCCATGCAAGATACTGATGTGCCACCATAAGTTTTCAATGTTGATCCCGCTTCGGCCTTCCGCCTATCTCAATGTTGTATTTTAACAGTTAATTAAGATAAACACCTCGAATAGTGAAAACAATCACTGGTGACTACCCAACATTGAAAAAGGGTGCGGGAGCATGTAGTGTCTCATTAATTTTGCATCAGATTGTAGGTCCTATTGGGGGGGTTATAATTTCGCGCTTGCGCCTGTATTCACTCGGGCATGCGCATACATCCGGTTCAAAGCCTAATACTTGCATTTCGCGCGCTGTTAATTACTCCCAGAAATGCAGATAACTAATTAAACCACTTATGTCAGTCTGACAGACATTGGTTCGACTCGGCTACGCCCGCTTCCTTGACAAATCTCAAGAGACAGCCTTTTAAGCTCACAATAACATTGATTTGAGATATTCTACTGTGTGTCTCTGCAAAACAAGACAGTGCGCATCGAAAGCGTGAAAAAAAAATTCTGTACACAGCACAAATCGAAAGGAAATATCAACCAGGTATTAATATATATTTATCTTGAGTACAGGGCTATATAATTATTATAATCATGTCCATCCATTTAGAAGAGTCTGTTCATCTAAACATAGATATAGGTCGATTTTTGTACCATTGTTTCATACACCCCGCTTTGTAATCAACATTGCCGGTTAATGAATGTCACAAAGTGTGTTATGCTTTCGGTGAAAAATAGTTACTTAGACTTGTAGGTTTTTATAAGTGAAATATGATATTATTATTTAAAACATAGTGTTTTAAATAGCAGAAATATGGAGATCTATGTTTTGTCGCATATTCAAACGTTTGGGAATATTTTGGCGCGGTGCTGTGGCTTACAATAGCAGTCTATTTTGTCTGAGTGTATGGCAGTATGTTACTAGTGTATCGTCAGGGTTCATTGGCTATATATGGCTTTACAGTTGTTTAATGTGGAATTGTGAATCACAGCTTAAACACTATAAAGTACTGTAAATCACTTGACTAAATGTTGAAGTTTTCCTGGGCACGGCGCTGATTCGTGGTGATTCGAATAGTACCACTGGACACCTCTTTTAGTTATAGTATATCAACAAACTTCTTACAAAATTGAAAATTCAGCGTATCAGAAGCCATAAGAATCGAGCATAAACAGTATGTCGTTCACGTAAATTTATTGCATGCCGAGCTGTAATTTCACTATCGTAATTGGTGAGGTACTAAACACCGCCTAATAACACCACTAACTTAAATCTCGACACAGACATTAGTTTTGAAGAGAATGTCCTTGTTGGCTTTACCAAAATAACAGCGTTGTTAAGTTGAAATAGGAAAAGATAAGCACTAAACTAATATTTAGATATCAGGAAGATGTGATAAGCGCAAAATCCTACACGCTGAATGTTTTAGACTTAGGCCTTTTACGTTAAGACACAGTTTTATCTTCCCAGCCACTAGTTTCAAGCTTCTTTAAAAAACAGATTGAATGATTGTTTGGTATAACCACACTATAACACGAATATTCAACGAACATGATTAATTGCCATGTTTATGCTGCTGATCATTGCTGCGGTTTTTGCAGAAGCTGACATTTGACCTGAGAGTGTCGGATTATGCGTACGACGTGCGCGCGGAAACGATTTTTTCAAAGAACATTGTATTCATGTTTGTTCTTTTATGGTAAGATAATCCATATCTGAAGCACAAAATATTAACTGGCGCTGACCTGATGTCATATAGAAATCCTGCAAAAGGGAGTGGCAAGTACACGCGTACATATATCTGTCACCTATTTTACGATAGTTTTGTATTCTAGTACAATATTGATTCATGGTGTCCCGAGGTTTTTTGAAATTGTCGACCTCAAATAGTGATAATTTGAATGCCCATAGTGACTGTGTAGGGTGTCTGAAAAACACTAGGTGTCCAAATTTAAATCTGCACTCTTTAAATTTAAATTAGTATCCATACAAAGCAGCGTATTAAAATTTCATTCTCTATACAAATATATCGGTACATGCAGATGTCCATGCATAATTTTTCATGTGATAATTAAGCTGTAATTATTGTCAACCTAGTGCCGAAGAATAAATTTAAAAAGAACATTTGATCTTGCAGTACTTCCGTTGTGGTTTGAACGGCTTTCACACTTCGAAACAAAGATGCTTTTTATCGTTTTTCTTTGCAACGCAATCAGCACGCAGAAAGAACGATGATATTGACAGACAAAAAAGATCAATTGTGGGCGTGAATCTCGTTTGGCGTAATTGCCGGATATTTTTCCTGATTAAATATGCCAAGAAGGTGACCATGGAATGATCTAGAACAACCCTGATATTTAAACAGTGAAGACTGTGAAGTAAGCACGTTGGACCTTTTATTAGTAAAGGCCAATTAGTGCCGCGTTAAGACGGTCACCGGGCAGCATCTTACAACAAAATTCGAACCGACATTTCAGTTCGTCCTGCAATATTTGTAACTAAAAGTGGCTAAATCCTTCAGTTAGATTTTTCGGTTGGCTCTGAAGACTCGCCAAAATCACAGAACTCGCTCGCCAGAGTAAAAACATACATTCTCACAAACATTCCGACGTATTTTAAAACGCCACCAAAAAAGGAAATAGTAACTATGTTTCCGTGTTTAAATAAAAGGTGTGAAAAATATTGTTATCAACGCCCACGTATCGAGCATTAGCAATTACAATCTGGTTTGGCGATTAACAACACTCCCAGGGCTGAAGTGTTCTCCTCAGAGATCCAGAAAGAGCCATATGTATTGAGTATTGACTCAGTGTCATTATACTACAAATATTAACGAAGTATATCTATATCAGATTACTCTATCACTGCGAAACAGTTCTCTCAAAAGGTTCGTTTACACTTGCTGCGATTTTCTTCTTTTGACAGATGTGAACGAGTAATTAGTTACGAATGCTCTGATGTTTTAGAGCTCTTAATATTTGAACATCAGTAACTAATTCACTCGTCCACATCTATCAAAAGAAGAGAATCGTACATAAAATCGCAGCAAAAATTGCAAGTGTAAACGGGCCTTAAAGCCTGAGTAAAACCTTTTGGGCTTGTGAACACGAATGGTCCCTTCTCTATTAACGGTGATCTCTATAGAGAAACCGGACTACATGCAAATTTATTGAGTACTCCGTTTGAAAAAGCCATGAAACAAACTGCTTTCCATGAAGATTTAGTGGGACATCTCAGTCTCAAGTGAGGGTAACTCTTTTAAAGTGAGGGTCCCACTTGGCAGTGCGGGTAGGTAACGTTATTTTTTCGTTGGTTGCATAAATTTTACCTGAAGACATCAAAGACGGATAACTTTGTCTGGAAGGGAATTTTCTCCAAACGAGGGCTTTTGATAGAAGATTCGTCTGCCGGTTCCTGTACATGTGCATGCCGGACGAACTTACAGAGAAAACTGCTGGAAACGGTATTCTTGAGAAAACATTTGTATATCACCAAACAACCTGATCACGAATATCAACAAATGAATTATTCACTGACAATGTAAACCAAAGTTACCGTGTGAATAACCAATAACAGAGAACATTTTTTATCACAGAATTACATGAACATGCACGTTGAATCCTGAAAGTATTCGTATAAACACAGAAAACTGCTAAAAGTATAGTGCTGACATTAGATACACTGCCAAATAACTTTGTTATCAAATTGTGTACATAAACCGTATTTTATAGCCTGTTTGTATAAACTCGTTGACCCACACAGTAAGTTCGCGTCATCTGTAGCGGTGTAACCATTTTGTGCAATCTTCATTGTCCTCAAAGTTGTCATCAATACATGTTTAAGACGTAAAGTTTGCATGAGGTGTTAGAACTGTATATGCAATTGGAACTGCAATTGGAAATGCAATTGGAACTGTATATAAACATACCTAACCCATTGTATAAGCAAAAATACACTTGTTTATAAAGACTTTCAGAAAAGCTGCTTGAATAATAGTACAAGTTTATTATTTTTAACTATTATACCAGATGTTTGTTGCACGACGTTCATCTTTTAACGAAAATTCGGGTAAAAAGGTTCCAACAACGGAAAATGTATGCATCGTACTTTCGCAGAAAAAAATTGGATCTTATTCACTTGTTAACAATTTTTTTCTCTGTTGCTTTCTGAGGATATATATACTCAACAGAACAAATAACAAAAATTGTTGCTCCAAAACGTACTACAGGCAGGCCGTGATTTAATGGGAAAATCGAGGCGGTGTACATTAAAATATGTATTCGTTCTGCCCGACGTATTTTTTTGGCGGGAGTTGCGCTTTCAAAAGAAATCTGCGGGCAGAACTAAATATTTATATCATATGCATCCCCTAATTATCGCGCTAGTCACAGCCCGACTTCAGGGCAATTGAAGTAAACACCGGAAATGTTTCATGTTTTGTGATAAGCACAGCGAAATTAACATTACCCGCGTGCATCTCTGATAAAATATTGTTTGTCATCGCTTTTCGCTAATGTAGTAATGCTGAAATGCAAAGCATCAAGATAGTATTTACAGTGAAAGTCAAAGGCATGCAATTTAATTGACATCCCTAGCTTGATTCATTATTGCCAATATTGGCATTTTATTGCTGATGAGCAACGATAGAACGGTGAAAAGGGAACTTCGCGGTTTTACAAAGTAGCTGTTTTCATTGAATGTTGTGAGTATACAATACAAAGACATTGTTTCGTAGTTATGTTCCTGGGCGAGCCAGAAAACGTAATTTATTTCGTACCATATCAGTTATCTAACATATCAGTAATCTAAATTGAAGTCGGAGAAAGGAAAACGCTGTTTCTTAGTCATATTAATCGATGCCCGATGGTTGATCAAAATTACTACAACAAGAAGGTAACATTGTTGTAACTATGTTTCTCGAAGATGGAAATATTAAAATTGCGGAAAACCTAACTAAACATGCATGGAGCGATACGTACTTATCCGTCCAAGATTGAGACTTATCGTGAAAATATTGCACTGAGTTGCATTATATAGTAGCAGAGGGGCCAACTTCACTTCAAATTGTAAGTGGATGGTACACCATCGCAGTGATAATGTTTCTACTGCATATTTCAGCTCAATAATGTCAGGTCACTACGTTGGACAAACCTGTGAGTGTCAGTTCGAATTTCCTGGGTTATCTGACGTCAACAAACTTCGCGTGATGCTCAAGAGGCCTGGGACTAATACAGAAGAGCCATTAGACGTTACCAAAGGTGCCGGTGAATCTGTTTTAGTCGCGTTCACCCCCAATGATCCTGGAGAGCATCAACTAAGTATGTTGGTTTCTGGACGTCATGTCAGCGGTAGTCCATTCCAAATCCCCGTGGACGAAAAGCCGGCATCTACTGCCACAGGAAACCCACTGTCCTTAGCTTTAGAATTGCCTGGTGTTAATCTTCCATTAGATTTACCACACCTCACAGCGAAGTTACAGCGACCAGGTAAATTTATAACATACCGATTTAATGTCAGTCTGCCAATTAAAGTTTTCTTAAAGTCCATTTATACTATACGATTGACAGCATCAATGTTTCTGTATTATCTAGGTGAGGTGACACCCAAAGATGATCTGAAACTTGATTTACTGCCGGATAACACCGTGTCCCTGACGTTCATTCCGCTGGTTTCGGGAGAACATCTTGTCTATATATACAAGAATGGCAGAGAAGTATCTGGAAGTCCTTTTGCTGTACGGGCTGAAGGCCCTACACCTCCGGATCCCTCTAAAGTCAAAGTCATTGGAGATGGTAAGGACAAAGACATAGGAGGAGGGGGGGGGGGGAATAATCGTGTTTTCTTGCAAGGAAGACAGACAAAACATGAAGGATAAACCCTTTAAGGCAAATAAATAAACTAGGTTTCGGATTGAAAGAGAAAACAGCTTTTACTTCCTGGAATACGAGCCTTGTAAGTCATGTAGCATGGAAGGGTTTGAAGCACGTTCGCTCTCGTGCTTGAGTATATTAAAGTCGTGTGTTTCTCTGTAGGCTCAGACACAGAGGCTGCACAGGACTATCTCTGTATCATTTCCTGGTTGTTCAGACAAACTCCAACAGATTTGTCAATTCGTTTCAGGCTGCAAACATGGCATTTCAGGCCAGTTGAGTAAATTCACGATCGACGCCCGCGATGCTGGTGCTGGTGGTCTGGGTTTCTCCGTGGAAGGACCAAGCAAGGCAGAACTCAACTGTATTTCCAAAGAAGATGGGACATGCCAAGTCGAGTTTCTGCCCAAGGAGCCAGGCGTTTACACCATACACATCAAGTTTGCAGATCAACATATTCCTGGTAGCCCGTTTACCTGTGTAGTCGCTGGAGAAGATGGCTCACTACCTGAGGAGGTTCGTAACTATCTTAAGTGCATTTGTCTTTTGAGGTATAGACCAGTTGAATTTTTACATAAGTTCTGGATATAAATAAATTCATAAAAGCATTTCATATCTTATTCTGATACACGATTAGGATCATTAAGTCAACTTACATTCGAAATGTACGAAATTTTATCATGTAGTCATGTATGTAGTACGAACTATTTTCAACGCAGAAAAATTACTTAACTGGTCACTTTATATATGATAGAATCCACCGGAGTAGGAACATGTACCACATTTGATACTGGTCTAAGAAAACAGTAGAAAATGTAACAGCTTTTTACAGACATAGTCTAAATAAATCATTCTATCAACCGTCTGATGTGCACAAGAAAATCTGATGTTTTGGCCAAGGGCCTCCGTATACTGTCCACACTATGGTTCTAAGACGAGAATTGGAGAGGTCTTCTTGCATGCCGAAAGACAATTGATGAGTTGATGTCGATTTCATTAGGCTTCATATAATGTGACACAGCATGATCTAACTGCACTAACGAAATAAACGAATGCCGTGAGTAACAAATTAAATGGTCTGATTTCAGATTCCACCACCGCGTGTAAAATCAGCCCCAGCAGACATCAGTCGTCGGGAATTCATGGTAGAGAGCTCGCTTCCAGCGTCCCGGCACAATCCACCACCGGCACAACGACCTCATGGTCTAGAGGTCGACCTTACTGGCTACGATATCAGCAAGCTGAAAGCGAATGTCGAAACCCCCACGGGAAAAGTCGAAGACGCGGAAATCGTGAAGAAATCGCATGAGATGTACACGATAACATTCGTAACACAAAACGGAGGCACGCATAAAGTGAACGTGTTGTATAATCGTAAACACATTCCAGGCAGCCCGTTTTTGGTCGATGTAGACAACGCAAGTTGGCAGCTTACGAGTAAGGTCAAGGTGACAGGGCCCAAGGAGGTCACTGGGGCTGTGGGGAAGCCATGCGAGTATATCCTCTCTACAAAGGATTCGGGAGGAGGCAAACTTGGCGTCTCTGTTGAAGGCCCAGTTCCGACCGACATTTATTGCGATCCTGTCGGAAATGACGAATACAAAGTCCATTTCACGCCAACCACACCCGGTACTTATGTTGTGTATATGCGTTTTAATGATCAAGATGTATTCAAATCGGTCGTGTTTGTCCCGGGCCAACCGAACCCTGTCCACGCGACTGAGTTGTCTTCTTCAAATGTGAAGGCTGGACAGAAGTTTACGTTGGAGGTTCCCTACACAGGTGCTGCTGACGAGTTGACGTCACACGTTATAACCCCTGCGGGCGCAAAGATTCCGGCACAAGTTGCAAAAATTGACAACGATACGTATGGTATTAGCTTCATCCCCGAGGAACCTGGAGACTATATCATTCATATTTTACTGAAAGGCGTTCCTTTGGCGGGTAGCCCCTACAAGTTAAAGGTCGGCGGCCATACGGTAGATCCCAGTAAGATCCGTGTTTATGGGCCTGGTCTAAAGAGTGCAACTGCTGGCCAGGAAACAAGCTTCACCGTCGACGCGAAAGATGCCGGACCGGGCACGCTGTCCATAGATGCTGAAGGCCCAGATAAATTGGATGTTCGCTGTGAGCAACAGAGTGAGGGGTTGTATCTTGTGTCCTACACGCCAAAGGTGAACGGCGATTATAAAGTAAATATTGGTTTTGGAGGCGTGGATGTGCCTAACAGTCCATTTAAAATCAATGTCGCACCAGACCCCAACTCGACAAATGCTCAGCTATGCACATCACGTGGTTCAGGTCTATACGGCGGTGTTCAAGGTCAGCCCAGTCCTTTCATGGTCAACTGCAGCAAAGCCGGACGTGGGTCTTTACTCGTGGGGGTCGAAGGGCCAAGCATTCCAGTGAACGAGATAAATATCAAGCATGATGGTGATAATGTATTCCTTGTTGATTATAGCTTGGAAGAGCCGGGCGATTATATACTGAAAGTGTTATGGGGTGATGCACATATTCAAGGTTCTCCATTTCCGGTCAGGGTTGAGAGGTCTGACGGCATTCACGTTGGACGATAGAAGACTAAAGAAAATACACTGAACTCCATTTACCACAACTTTTTTTAAATTGTCGTTTAGCATTGTGGAACAGGAAACGCATGTATTGTGTAGGATTTACAGAGCAATTAAAGAAACGTGACTAGGTTGCTATAACCATTTAAGGGTTATCTAAAGTTGCACGGAGATTATATAGGATTTTTATAGATGAATTCGTTTTGTAAATTTTATATTTTATTTTTGAGTGTAAAAAATTAGTTTTAAACCAAACATTTATTTGCTAATTTGCTTCGAAAATAACGTTTTTAGGCTCATCCAATTTTGTTGAAAAAATTCCCTCCACTTTTTCCCTGTCCCTTTTGACCGTAAGTGCCATTACCCTAGCAACCATTACCCTCGAGTGTTAGTTCTAAATATGGATACGCCATTTGAATTTTAAGAAATAACATACTAAAACCTGGGAACGAGGTCGTAAAGGGCCCATACGTTTGGCCAAATCGTGAAACGCAAAATGTGCCCCACCAATTGGTTCGATTTGCCACTAGATTGATTTGCTACTAGATTGATTTGCTACTGATTTGTTACTGACGTAATTTACCGTGCAGAACTCACATACACAGTAAATGCAATTTTTAAAAACGTCCAACTTTAATAATAAAAGGGTAAAGTGATAAAAGATATGTATGTACAAAGTATTCCGCAATCTTTTGTACGTGTCAGGACACACACCTGAGCGCAAGATAGTCTTACGTTGTGATTCTTGTTAGATTTGGAAACCCAGAATATACATAAGGACTGGCTCTAGATTTGAGCGATGCCGAACAACCATTGTTCACTCCCTTACTTGTCTGACCTTTGCATATCTTATACGCGTTTGGAGCAGGCGTTGGCTTGACTATACATGAGGAAAAGTATCCTTTAACACAGTGGCCTGCACGTGTCGCTCAGCTACAGCGGAACTTTTGGCACGACCAAAAAATTGCCCAGCCGTTAGATCCAGGGGTTGGATCAGGCGCGTCTTGAGCCCTGGGCTGCCCCGGGAGGCCCGTCATCCTGAAGACGCCCCTGATCCAACCCCTGGATCTAACCGAAATATTCATTTTCAAAACTTACTTGTTTTCAACGGTCTTGGTCTACTGCTCATGCTGTATCCTTGGTCCGTTTTCTTTACCTTTGGACAATACGCTGCTGGACCCGGTCCACTGCTGTCTGAAACTTCAAAAGAAAATTTGTTGGGTTTTTCAAGCAGTAGCAGAGTTCCAAATTGAATCAGCTAAGACATGATTCACATGCATGACAACTAGTTATCCTAATTTTGTTGCGTTAACAGTTACAAGTTTTGAATTGAATCTTTTAGCGTAGCAACTTAATTGGTAAATTCACAACCGGGAAGTTGTCTCCTGTTGCGCTAGATTCAAGATTGCGTCCTGGTAACTAGGCCGCCAAAAAAGCCGCCAATAATTACGGCAATGTAGGATAGCCTGAAAAAGCAGGCGCTTTAAATAAAAGGGTCGAGTTCTGGGCTGGGCTGGGCAGGACTGGGTGAGTAAGTTTCCTCGTATGTAGGACGGGCTGCTTGATTATCTTTTTTCCGTTTCTCATTCTCACCTTCCTTTTTGGCTTGGCCCATAGAGAATTCTGGTGCTTTACGAGCGTTAGGTTTGCATGGTATAGTGATATTATAATGATTCGGTCCAGGATACTCATCTATGAAATAAAAAAATTTTAAAATGTCAACAGTATTTTGAGGAATTGGTTGTGACTTGATTTGATCAAATTTCAAAACAAATGGCAGATTGAAGGTGTTATGTTCCTAAACATCTGGAAATATGTTAAAATCTATATAAAAACCTAATTATTGGATTTATATCGTTAACTCTTGTCGCAAGTAACCATCATAGTAGTATAACTCGCAATAGGATATTTATAAACTATAAGTACATAAAAGTACTTACTAGTCACATTTCGTCTTCTATTTCCCATGGAGTAAGCAGGCGAGTTGTTTTTTTCAAATCCTTTATCGGCATCGTATGTATCCGGCCCAACACATTCGTTTTTCATTAAACCTAACAATCAACCCAGGAATTATGGGCACAACAAATAACAATTCTAGTCACTTATCAAGATTGCGATTTCACATATAATTAAAATTAATGAACCTATCCCAGATCAATGAGATCATAACCACTGATAACCATAATCCCAAAGCTATACAATCATGCTCAGTAAAATCACATAAATAATCACCGCACGTAATACCCTAAAGATATGAACATACGTGATCCTACTATCTAATCACTGCGGTAAGTTGTCAGATGAAATGTATGGAAGTGTAAGCCATATATATCTACAGGCATACAAATCCTGACAGTTAACTCCATTAGGATATGTCTCAATGTTCAATACAGAGAAGAGAAATGCCACTTAGGCGTTCTTAAAAGTCAGGGTCTCAGGGACGGACTGTTCGACTACGGCGACTAGTAAATAATTTCGCTTAAGTTCGGATGCGATCGCGGCCTCGTTTTTCCCCAGTTTGCTACTTTGCATTCAGAAATGCCTGTGACGTCACCAGGCTTTTTAGCGTTTTTGTAAAATAAAAAATAAAACAATGTGGACTAATGTGGACTGCTGAAAACTGTTCATTTGTAACATACCGTATTCGGGGTAATTCAAGATTGCTGGGAACCCAGGTTTACATTGTTTGCGACACGAGAATTCAGGGGGAGCCTTCCACGTTTCTCGACAAATTTGACGGTAGTTTGCCGGTCCTGGTGTTTCACATACTGTAAGAAGAAATATATAATTTTACAGAGGTTGTTTAATTAACGAAGGGTTCTCTTACTATCAACAATTGCTCCTAGCAGTCCAGTGGAGGAACATGAACAAGCAGTTATACCTTATTCATGCATCAACTCGAACTTCCACTTCCGTTGCGAACAAATTTTAAACAACCTCATTTTAACTTGTTAAACTATCGTTCGTTCGTACCTTCTGTTTCAAACGCTCGGTAGGTCATACTGTGCCGTGGTGCATCTTGGAACGTGTCTGGTAGAACATATGTATTTGGACTTGGGACTGAGTATTCTGAGGAAAAAAGATGAGGGTAAAATTATCGTATATAATCACATTTACAATGGCTAAGCTTTTTTTAATTTCCTTCTTATGAACGAGAATCAAGCATTGTCAATTAACATAGAGAAGTAGTGCAAGCGTTTCACTCTCAAACTATAATAATTCTCACTTGAAGGTATTGTCTGCCTGCCTCGTATCGACGTTGCTACGCCAGATCCAATGGTTGATTTGATTTCATAAGAACCAGGACCTGGAGCTTTGAATGCTAAAACCCACAGAATTCTATAAATTATGTAGCAAATTCATGCCATATTGAAGACTGTGAAATGTAATTATTTTGGGGTGTTTTCTTACTGGACCTTGCGAGAGACGGTTTAGAAGTGATAGAGGTAGATTCGATCTTATATAAAAATGTTCATACCAGATTGATCGCGTACTTTATGACCCAGAGAATATTGAGGTCCTCGATGCGAGTTTCCGATGTTGTACTCCGCAGGACCAGGTATATCCTTATCATGTATTGATCTGTACTTCAGACCAAACGACTTTTTTACACCGCGGGTGGCAAATGGAGCGTAACTAGGACCTGGAGCTGCGAAACCTTCAACATAAAAACATTACCGTAAAAATTCTAGTAAACTTTTAACCGAAACATACGTGAATACGAACATAACAACAAACATTTTAGCAATACGCAGTTAAGCATCTTAGTGGCAACTTGTGTAACATGTTGGCACTATTCATCACACGAGTATCAAGAATTCGTAGGAATTTAGAAACATAGAAAAGAGGATAAAGAGCATTAGGATTTAGGACTTGCCATACCAAATTTGTTTTGAGTGAAAGACTTTATTGTGAAAATCTATGCCTATTAAGCTCAGCCCCCTGACAATATACTTTTCATATTGAACTGAGCACAAGAAAACAGGCTAGCATTACTGTAAATCATTGCGACGAATGCTTGCACATATATTTCTACAATTCTTAACCGCTTAGGCCTGTTTTAGACGTCGAACTTTTCATGTGCCGAATCGAATGCAAATGAACTTAATTCTTCTTAAAGACTTCAGCTCAGTAACATTAGGTTCGGCAAATGAAAAGTTCGACATCTGAAACAGGGATGTAGCCATGGGGGAGTCGTGGGAGCCACGGCTCCCCCCTTTGAAAACTTATTGTTAATATCTAATATATATATTTATTCGACCCGAGCCGAAATGTTGTCATGTAATCGTAAAAAAAAATTCGACCCGGGCACTAAAAATCGCCTTGACAAGCCTTTTCATTTGTTTAGCCTCTTCATCAATTTGTATGAGCAATCACAATCCCTTAAAGGTCAAGTTATTGCCATTCAGGATTTTAAAGCGCTCGAAGAATCGAAATAGGTCTACTACCAGCTTTTACTAACTCAGGCAGGGCTGAAAATTTCATCCTGGTCTTAAAATAATTCCCAAGTGTCATAAACTCAGCCTGGGCGGAAACTTAATTCCATGTAATTGAAAAAAACTTTCGGCCCGGTTAGACGGGCTGCAACTCTAGCCTCACGGCTCCCCCCATCTTTAAGGTCTGGCTACGTCCCTGATCTGAAACAGGTCCTAATTATTCTGTGTAGCATATTATATCGTCTAGTTGTTCATCTCATTGCTTCCGTATCAATACGGAAGATATCAATATAATTCTATTTACTGCACATTTTCATTCTACTGGGTGTCCCAGAAAAAAGTACTCCGGTTTGATTCATAATAGCTTCTAAACTAGCTAAGCTATTAAACTGAAATAACTTTCACTAGATTGAGGGAAGACTAACTTAGATTTTGATATATTACAGTTGTATTTTACTTTAAAATTTACGGAGATATCAATGTTCAAAATTGGTAGCATATTTCTGGATGTGTCTAAATTATGCAAAAAACGCCGTATCAAATGTTAATCAATATAGGTATTAGTGCACAAATTGATTATCACTGCGCATTATATAAAATAAGGAATGGGACAAACTTGAAAAAGGTCTGCCTTGAACCTATTTTTGGAAGCTTTGAATGATTAACAGTGTGTTAGTATCACGAATGAAAATTCTTGCCAACCTTTTGTGTCCACAGGTTCCACAGCAATGTTAGGCGGGCCAAGGATAATGGGTTCATTAAATCTTGATCCAATAGTATAACCCGGTGCATGCTTGCCCGTGTTGTAATATTCTACTTTATACGCAGCGCTACCAAGACTGCACGTGAGGTGATCACGTGATTTAGGCCAGTAGGGTGAGGTCTCGAGTTTCGCTTTTAAAGTTCTCGTCTTTTTATTCCAAATCATGTTTTCACTCGTGTCGTACTTTGGACCCGGCGCGGTGTCAACTGCAATATAACGAATTATTTTAGAAAAATCAGGACGTTTCTATTGTGACTGTATCGGTATCAGTAAAAAGTATCAGAGTTGGGCTGCACTCTGACGTCTGAACTAGACAGGTGCACGTGCTATGGAAGTGCCGTATTGGAGAGGTGCCCATGTTAAAGAGATCGTTTTAGAAAGATGGCTGTGTTAGAGAAATTTCTGTGTTGGAGAGATGGTTGTGTTAAAGAGATATAAAAATCAGAAAGATGGTTGTGTTAGAGAGGTAAAAGCATTAGAGAGATGGCTGTGTTAGAGAAATTGCTGTGTTGGAGAGATGGCTTTGTTAGAGAGATACAAGATTTAGAGAGATGGCTGTGTTAGAGAGGAACGGGCATTAGAGAGATGGCTGTGTTAGAGAGTTACAAGCATTAGAGAGGTACACGCATTAGAGAGATGGCTGTGTTAGAGAGGTACAAGCATTAGAGAGGTATCCGTATTAAAAGATGTTATTGCCTGTATTTGACCTACCTTTTTTATCTTTTACCTTTCCAACAATGGAGTGTTGTGGAGCCATAGGCTTGGTTAACTCAATAGCAGGAGTGTAGGTTGAAGGACCCGGACCTGACAAAGCTGCAAGTAAACAAATACAATTCTTGTTCTTCTTTCGGTTATGTTTAATAATTAGCGAATTTAAATACTTACTTAGTGGGTGCTATGTTTAAAAATACATAATAGTGGATGAATATTTCGATACCTTGTTGGGTTAACGCTTTTTCACCATCTTTTGGAAGGTATTCACCCATTGCATTGCGTTCCACTAAAACAAAATGTAAGAACAGCGAAGTCCTTTTAAGCAATACGTGCATACACAGCATATTAAAATGCACACTGATAACAAACTTCGTTTGCAGCTCTAAATGACTTGAAAGTACCTAGTCCCTTACCAGTCCTAGGAGAGGGTATCACCACTTCAACCCACTCCACATCTTCGTCATCTGAAGTGATCACGTGATTGTTATCTACGTCATCATTACCCTCGTCGCCCAGATTAACGACTTGCTCTGATATCTCAACATGGCGAACACTCTAAATTCAAAACTGACACTTTATTGGAGAAAATAGAATATAGGAAGAGTGAACTCTAAAGTCTTTAATATTACCAGCTTGTGATAAAGATGTCTGTATTTTGCTAAAGGCTTTGTGTCATATGCTGAAATACTCGAGTACCTTTAGTTTAACTACATAGTTGGTGGTTTAGGATTGAGAGAGCTATCTTGCTATCACGCTATATTCAGGTTTTTTGTACTCGGTATGATGATAACAATTCGTGAAGAAAATGCAATCATATTTAATACATATTTAATCAATTTTGTACAAACGCCGATACATGCAGCATAACTTTAACAGTATTTAACTCTTAACAATGCTAGATACATCCATTCGTTTGATGAACACTATATAATATTCGCGTCCACGTTTTTTTTAGAGATTTGGCTCTATTGTTTCAGCACGCGGACCGCTTATATAGTACGTCAAGGTACTTAATGTTGGCATATCGACCTATAAAGTTGACACATTTTTTTCAAATTTAAATCGGTCACCATGGCATTGGCAAAATGTGTGATAAGTCAAATCATCTTAGTGAGGCTGTACATGTTAGCTAGCTAGGTTTAGGCCTTCTTTCTATAAGATATTGTTTTTTTAAAGCAGCCATGTATGTTGATACGCGTGCCACTATTCTAGTCCATATCATTCCGTTTACACTATATCATGTTCCTGCTGTCAGGCACAGACAGGTCTGGAAACCGGGGAAAGGCGTTTAACTTAAACGTTGGATAAGTTTAAAATACTCTGATACATCTTGTGAGTGATTGAACCTGCATCTTATATAAGCATTAAATATGCACTTCCATTGAAAATTAAACTATTTGCATATCGAAATAGTTCAATTTTCAGCTTATCCACCGTTTAAGCCAAACGCCTTTCGAACAACCGATACATCTTGTGAGTGATTGAACCTGCATCTTATATATAAGCATTAAATATGCACTTCCATTGAAAATTAAACTATTTGCATATCGAAATAGTTCAATTTTCAGCTTATCCACCGTTTAAGCCAAACGCCTTTCGAACAACCGGCCCCAGGACTGTATGCAACCAAAACAGATGAAGCCAATAAATTGACATGATATATTGATATACATAGCTATATAGGGCAGTTATTTCTAAACTGTTCAAATGTTATTGTGATCTTTTTCAAGGATTCTTTTCAACGACTATTTGGAGCCAATGTTTTAAAATGCGGAATTAAAAAGTTCCTGCTTATGCATGCCAAGCAGCTTATTGACATCTATTGTAAACAGTTTCCAAACGTTTAACAATCAATGGCATTACAAATATTTCCATCTCAAATGTGAAGTCGGTTATCAGTATCAATATGGGTATCCTCCCCATTGTGAAGCAAATTTGAATGCTGCTAATTTTAGACATCAGTGCACGAAAATCCCGAACACAACTATAGATGAGAATATTTGTCCACGATGTGAATCAAAGCCGCCATATTTTATCAAATGCTGATGTATCACAGTGAAAATCGCAGTGAAGCAAATTGTTTGGTTATAATATACCAGCTTACGTTATCAATACGAAGGTTGTTCTGTATTCGAATCTGCCATTATGGGATTCTTGAAGACTTGAAATTCAACTTTCAAAGCCTTTTTTGACTTTGAATTTATAGCTTGAGTATCGATTTCCGGCGTCAAGTATCTGATAGAAAAGACTTTGTAGCTATGCATGCTCCTGACTTCGTGGTATGTGTTATGATTGACAATGATAGACACTAATTCACTAAAGAACCGTTTTCAATAACCAGAAAACCAAAAATTTTCTCAAACAGCTGCTGCTGCGTACCAATATATAGGCTATATACTGTATTATTACTATATATACAGAAATAAGTCCCTTATCTGTTCTTAGACTTTATACTGGCATGCATGTATTGGTACAATCAAGGCTGTTGCTATTACATTAAAAGGTACTTATGACTTATGTAAGTCATAAAATAAATTTTAATAGAAAACCATTTTCATCTCTCCTGATGACACATGACTAATTATCTCGTTCTTGTTTGACTGCGGCAAATCACTGGAAATCGTTAAAAACATGCATTTACAAATACGAAATTTATTGTCTTTTTCAGTTTTTGTTTATATTCCTTGTTTTTTTCGCAAATAAATGACAGTAAATAACGGTGACGTTTATGTACACAACTTTTTAATACGAGGCAGGAGTCATGATCAAGGCTGTTAGATATAAGATAGCTACTGATAGCTTAGATAATTGTATATTGTGACTTTGATAATTGTGATGCTTTTGTATCATCCATAGCTATAATAGCAGGTGGTCACACAATTTAAACACAACTTATGCTTTGTTTACTGCATTTGAAAGTGGACTTTGTATGTGTTGCATGACTTTACATATTAAATTCATGTTGAGTATACATAAAGATTTTAATTCAGTTTGAGACGTTTTTGAATGAATTATCTCTCGCCTCAATATATATAACAAGTGTTTACTGCAAATTGCATGATGTTGTACTATATTGCTTTTAAGGGCTTTGATGATATTTTCTTTGACTTTGTCGTCAAGTAAAAATCGAAAATAATAAAACCGCACTCGGGTGAAATATCCGGCCCAATGTTAATATAATGATCTCTATATTTTTAATTTTACAAAAACAGCCAACAATCCTCAGATAAAGGCGACGTGGTCTTGTTTTAACAAGTTGACGGCCATGTGAACTACTGCATAGTTTTTAAATCGACATGACACTGTTTGAACCCACGCTGGGTTGAGACTTGACGTTCGTATTGTCATTAGTATACTGGGTTGAGAAGTTTATGCAAGTATATATATTATACAGCACTAATACAGTTTTGGGGGAAAAGAAACATAGCTATATTTGGCAGATATATTATTCTTCACCAGTTAAATCCTAGCAGCCGAACTCGAGATTCTACAACCATGATGAAGAAATTGGTCGGCTTTCATTTCACCGTCTCTAATATTTACAAGGGGGAGCAGTGTTTTAGGTCTTGTGATATTCTGGACTTCAGCGGCTCAATCATTACGTCATAGCAGCTAAGGATATAAGTAAGCCCTTTGTGAGTTGGCGCAAATAACACGATAATATCACGTAAACAGGTTGCATTTTGATCAAATCTCGTTTGTTGGACAAAAACAAAGAATACAAAGCAGACAAAATTGCCAAAGAAGAGCCAGTTGTGATTTTGTGAATAATATTTTAGTAAACAACCGACATTCATTGGACCCACGCAATTTATATATCTAAATATACATATATATATACAAAGGTGAGAGGTGACAGAATTGTATATACACCAATACAGTTTTTGGAGTATTATATCTCATTTACCTGGAAAAGGAAAATCTATATATACTAGTGCGCAAAGTATTCTTTACCACATTAGACTAAACCATCGACGATTGAGATGTTATTCCGAGTTGGCTATGGCATGAATAACGATACGACTCATTAGACACGTATGCTGAGTTGTACTTTTGATCTGAACGGTTTATCCTACAAACTATATGGTATATAGTAATAGTACATATAGACTACAGCTGCTATAATAATATTGCATCTACGCAGCATACTGAACCATTTGGTTTTTTGGGGAACAGTTATATACGCAATACTGTATACATTTCTCAAAGACAAAGTGAAAGAGGAACGAAAGGCCGTGCGCGAGATCGTACAAACGAATAGACTTCAAACGAAACGTTTTCATCTGCACATGGTAAAATTTGATATTTCTAATGAAAAGAAGATAACTCTTATTAAAAATCGACATCGTCACCATTACATGTATAATAAACATGTCGGCTAAAATTGAATTCAAGTTTTGGAATAGCGGTCACGATTCATCCCTGTTTAATCAGGTAAAAAATATTCGTGCGTTGTTTCATGAATTTCTCATCGCGTTCTTAAAAACATTTCTGGAACGTTCACATACTGTTAGAAGATGGTTTATTTCAGAACCTCGCGGGAGGAGAAGAAGAAGAAAGGTTTCTGTATTGACAACATTTTTTCTGATTCAACTCGTATTTTTTATCAAATTGAACGTTGACACGCATAACACTCACGAACTCGACAGCGCACAAAGCCCAGTTTTCCCGTGTGAAAGAACGCCAGAGGAAGCAGAAGCGTTACGAGAACTATTCCAAGATGTTCTCGAGGTTCTCAACGAACTCAAAGTGAACTATTTTTTGATGTACGGTTCGATCTGGGGAGCATATCGCAGCAAAGGCCCTCTGCCATGGGACTACGACATTGATCTTGGTGTCTATGGTGACCAAACCTTCTCAAATATCCCGCGCGCGGAATTCGCGAAAGCTTTTCAAAAACGTGGAATTCGCGTCAACGACAAAATGCACCGGGCGAGTGTGTTCTATTTGAGCCGCGGAGAATTCGCACAAGTCGATTTGGACGTATTTTTCAATTACAACGGTTGGATGCAACGAACGGGATGGGTTAGTTGGGTGTTGTATTATAACTATAAATCATACCATACGTTTCCGGCTTCGATGCTACGGCAGCCTTTACCCACAATGCAGTTCTATGATGTTCAAGTGCAGGTCCCACGAGGGGGGAAAGAAATCTTAAAGTATTTGTATCCACACGACTGGGAAAGGCCATTCACGCCAGCCGCATGTCATGGAAAGGATATTACAATAGATATGTCCAAAGAAACGACCGACACAACCAAAACTTAATCGTTCAAATATCAGTACTTTCACATGATCATCGCGTGAACAGGTGGTCTGGACAGCTGACCTACTGCACGTTAGTGCTGTACAGGTACTACAGCACGTTAGACGCATTTTCGTCTCGTCCAATGCAACCAAAGCACAAGATGAGATGATGTATAACACTCATTAGATAAATTACTTGCACACACACCAGGCATGCGTGATTCGGCAACACGACGCGAAATTAATTTTCAGTTTAAGGCCCGTTTACACTATACCGGATTCGCTTGTTCCGATATCTTCGTTTGCGTTCAAAGAGCAATGGTTAGTAGCAAATATTTATTACTTTGATAGATTTGGTATATTTATTTCGATCTCGGATAGTAAATTTTTACTGCCTTTTAATAGCTACAAAATTTTGACCACTCCAGAGAGAAGTTTCATTAAGAATAGAACTTTAAAAACCTAATTAACTGACGAGGCGAGTTCGTTAAAAATTGTTTGGAAAAATAAAAATAAAAAGAGAAATACTAATCCTACCTTAGATGATGCCATTTTTAGCTACACAAGGAAACACAGTAAAAGTTATTGTATACGTCATCAAATTAAATGGCGCGCGCGCGAGTCTAGTACAGATCCATGTATAGTTACTGGAGTGTATGTATATGATATATTTCAAAGCTAAGATAAAAGCAAAATTGAAACTGGAGTCATAAGATTATAACACATGCATCATGGTACATGTAAAACTGTAAATTGTAAATTGTAAAATTTAAAATTAAAATGACCAAATTCAGACCTGGATTTGGAATAAAATGAACGTGAGCAATGTGATGTATAAAAGACAAAATTTTCATTTCGATTAAGAGCAAATTACCAGCTGCCTAAATATTTGCTTCAGTTATTTTTTTTATCCCCTTTTCAAACGTTTCCGAAACGTTGCTAATACTGCCGCGATTTTAGCAGCGAATTCAATCGAAGTAAATAATACCAGGCAATAAAATAAAGTTAGCATAATTGCGGTAGCTAGGGTAAAATTAATCGAAAATATTAGCAAATATAGATAAGAAATATCAGTCAAGGGCAAGTCCTCAGGACGAGATTGACATCAGTCTTTCATTCCGTCCGCCCACTTTCATAATAAACTTCCTTTGACGTCAGTATTTATCGTCATTTCCCCCAATCTTATATAGTTACTGCCTATTTCATGCATGTTGTGTCATGGTCACAATTGTAGTAATTTATTATCCGCGATTTCGGATAATTTCTTAACCTTACAAGAACCTTTGTATGTCGGAGAGCAGCTGTCCTAACACTTTCGTACCAAATATGGCATGGAGCTGCTTAAAATAGATAAAAAAACGACGTTTCTCGACGTTTTAGTCTCAGTATGAGCTTTAACTCTCACGACGAAGGCTCTTTGGTGAAAACATCGCGAGTGTTTTTGTCTATTTTAGGTGATCACTACACGACATTTGACACGAAATAATCATTATTTTACGATGATCTATATCTAGCTCATTTTTGATATCTCAACTCCGAACAACTTGAAAGAAGCACATGTTCAGTTACCACATAGTATCGCTGTTTGCTTTGTAGAAGTTTACGCAAACTTACAGAATCTCAGGTCTTACAGCAGTTAAGCAGAAGGACATCTTTCTTCAATACGGCATCGAAACATTATTTGAATGTAGAAATAAGCCTCTTCATGAAGATGAGAGATATTGGTCATGACCTGCGAGCTTTGTTTTCATCCTATATCAAGTATAGTTTCCGTTTTTCAAGCGTATTTATAGAAAGATGTTCTCATATGGAAGAAATGGAAATGGAATCCACTTAAGCTGATCCGTAGTAGAAAACAGTTTACCATCTTCATGAATATAGGAACAGGAGGATCAATATCACTGATCTGACAATACTGCTGTATAAAACTAGGCATATGAGCTGGTTATACCCAGGGCTGGAGTCCTAGAGTTGTAAAATATGTACAAATATTCATCGGACTAAAGGATCCTTGTCAAATGTCCTTATTATACTTATTCAATATTTGAATAAGTCTAATGTCAACTTTTGGTGAAGCCACACATAGGGTTTCATAGGGTTTTTCTCCAATTGTTCTGGCTTAAACTTTATTTTGTTTATGAGTGACATTTTCAAGGAATTATCCTACCGCCACCATTATGATTACATCATCTTTAATTGTATTTCTGCCCAATTTCTCCTTTAATATGCTCTAAAAACGTAGAATATAGTTTGAGTCACGTACCGCGGAGAAGGGCTGAGGCCCCCTCCCCTCTCCTTGACGATAACCCCCCTCATTATCATCAAGCATCCACATGCCAGCACCTAAATATTGTGTTTTGGTGTGTGTGTGGGGGGGGAGGGTATGTGATAACTATGAGAGTGATATATTACTGATATGACTATGAAAGTTTATTTTTAAAAATTACTTGGTCAAATTTTATTTGACTTCAAACAAATTAGTTGTATTCTCACTTGTGATGAAGCTGATGTTAGTCGACTGAGAAATCTTTGAGTAATGTAAGGCGCCTCTTCTCAGCAACGTCCATTTGATTCTCAAAGTCCTGGAAAAAAATTAACAAAGGTTGAAAACAAACAAACTGAAGTAAGTAAACCGTAAACGTCATTCGAGGTCACGTAATCGAAGGACATCTGTTATTAAATTGAACAAATAATCACTCAAATTGCGATGCAATTCTTCAAATTGAAAAGGAGCTTTATTTGTCCTCCTGTTTCTGGTTCGAGGTAAGAGTTTCTCTGCTGCCCCAAGAGTTTCTCGTTCCCCGAGCCCGCGATTTCTCTGGCGGGAAAAGAAAGCTCTGGGATAATGCAAACCGGAAGCCAAAAGCAAAGGGCTCGCGGGCTCTTGATGCTACCCCAGTTACCCTGGGTACGAGGTTGATCAGTACGGCTAAAATGGGTATACCCGTGCCAATTTCATTCATGCTCGGCCTTTGTATCGATACGCCTGAAAACGTATAAAATTGGCCGTGTCTTGGCAAACAATTGACTGTAGTGTAAACGGGGCTATAGAGTAAACGTTCCCAGCGTCGTACCAGGTCTTTATCACGAGCAACACGGTTGCGTGACACGCGCACGCGTAAGCTTTCTACTTTTCCTTGTAATCGTATCGCCATACAACCCGTGAATCGATTGTCTTTCTCTACGGTACTTACACCGCGTTTATAAAGTTCTTCCCGTTCCAACTTCCACGAAAGGTTTTCGATTTCGCGTTCTAACTGGGCTTGTTGGTATTCAAACTAGAGTGAACAGAAATCCTTGTGTTTAATAAACCGTTAAAAACTTCCTACTTACATATATTAAAGATAAAGAACGCTGCTTCGAAATAAGAGCTATATGTCCCTTAACGAAACAGCAAAGTGAAACACTAAAATCTTCTATAAGGTACTTAAATGAGTAATTGCACAAGTGAAACCACATATAGATCCGGCTTTAGCTTACCAGATCTTTCCTTTCGTCCTCCATGTAATAAGCAAAGGGATAGGTGTACTTGATTGTGTAACGACACTGAAATAAGCAAAACATTTTAAATTTGCCTGAGGCCTAGTTCTGACGTCGCATTTAGTCGCGTTGAATGAAATTTAAATAAAAGATAATGAGATTGTTAGCCGCATTCAGCCTCGTTATCATTCCATTAACTATTGTTTGAATTACATTCGACGCGACCAAAATGCGCGGAATAGAAAAAAATTGGAAAGAAACTATTTATGGTAAGTCGCCGATTGTTTTACACAACTAACACAAGTGCGGGGACGGAAGATAGGACCGGAAGAATTAATGGGGTCTAAAGGCATGCATGGGCACCTTTGCCTGTATAGCAGGTGACAATTTGACAACAAAAGATGGTAAAAGCTTTGAGGCATTTTGTACATTTCAAACAGCAATGTCAATTGGAAATTGTACATTTCATCAAAGTGTTAACAGTTTATCTACCTTAGCTAAGAGAACAGCAGCGTTCAAGAGATATTGCCAATCTATCCATGTTCCAATGTTATTGTTGACTTTCTCGTGGATTTTTTGATCAATTTTCTTCCTCGTTTCAGCCTCCAGCTTGAGACTTGCACCGTGGTTATACCACTGTAAAGCAATTGAAAATAAACATTGAATTTCATTGGTAACTAATCTGCTCCTCCTCTTATTAGAGACTATGCACAGACCAATTTCCTATGATTCTACCATATAACACTCCAGTGTAATAAAGCAAAAGTAAGATCTAAGGCCCTATACTACTCCAGTGTAATAAAGCAAAAGTAAGATCTAAGGGTTCTTCTTCTTTAAAAAAATATGGAAAATCGGAATACTACTCGTTCATAATAGAATAAATATTTTTTTAATGCTTCCCTTGCTTTCACTCCAGTTGTTTCATTTGCAATCTGAGGATTCTTTTTGTATATGCTGCATTCATAATACTCTCGATTGTGTTCAGTCCAATTTCTCAAACACATCCAACAAAATTCTGCAAAAAAATTGATGCATTTGAAATGCCAGTTTCTACAGCACTGGTATTACAGGCGGTATGCACCCCTAGCCTAGACCAGTAGGGGTGCATGCAGAAGGGCGAAATTTAGGTATTAGTTACATTATCATCCAAGGAAATTGGGAATTTATTGCCCTGATTAAGAAAGAGTCTTACGTTACGCGTGGGCCGAAATTGGAACCGGTAGAAATATGTCCTTTTCTACCTTTTTACCCCGGACCTTTCATCAAATGAGTGTTTACACTGTGGAACTGTCCTTTTGGGGAGTTGAAATCGTTGTTCGGTTTTGCGGTTCTCTCGTAAAGAGAGGATCGACACGAACAAATTTTAAGCCGGTTCCAAATTCCTTCGGTACCTCATAAACTAGGCCCCGACAAACTAAACAGCACGTTATCATCTTTAAATTTTCCAACAAACACACATTCTTATACACCTTTATAATTGGTGCTCGTACTCTAACCCTATCAGACTGCAGCTGCCCCCCTCCCCCCACTACAGAACTGCACAGGATTCATCCCTTGAAATGATGGTATGTGTAATTACTGCTAGTAAAGTTATTAGAGATGGAATGGAGTAAAGGATATTTACCATGTTTACATTTGTAGCATTGCTGAAAAAGAAAACAGTAAGACTTTATTAGCAGAATGAAATGCTGTTAGTAAACAATGAATTCATAATTACCAAATGATTACAGCCACCATTCTTTTCGATACAGATCATACACTTTGGACACTGGCAAAGAAACGATGAGTTTGTTAGTGGGTAATCGATTAATCATCTTCATTAGAGTTTACACCTCCCGGTTAAACACTTATATATAGTGGACCTCTCCCTAACCACGCTGGTCCAACTTAGCTAAGTTTCTCCCACTCGTGCGGGCTCATGTTGTCAGCGGACAACTTACACAAAATTGAGAGCAGAGCGTAAAACGAAAAGCTTTTAATTTTTTATGCGAAGACCGCTGGAAAACTGAGCCCTCTTTACCGGGAGAAAATTTGCCGAATATGACCAACGTGAACTGTCTTCGGAGAAAAAACGAGGAGGCTAATGCTAATCGAGGCGGCGAAAAGACAATAGATCAACTATAAATACGTAATATAATCACTGTGAGAATTGACAATGAAGGGAACATACATCCTTGGTATTGGCCTGAATATAATTCGCTGTTTCAGAATCGTCCTGACATTTTGTTAACCATTTCTTTATCACAAGACAATCTGGAGGTTAATAGCAACAAAAAGATGTTTTATTCCGTAAAAAACGGAGTTTATTATGTAAAAAAGATGGGTGTATTGGAGACACAGAAAATCGAATTGAAAGAAATGCTTGGAGAGATTTCTTTAGGTTCTGACACCGAGCTAGTAGTGAATCATGCTTTTCTTTCTCAGAACTGTAAATCGATTGAATTAAATCACCTCATGTTGCAATCACAGTATACTTCATGTAATCCAAATATTCCTAACACATGGTCCTCCGCACATAGGTTTGGAAAAGAGTACCACAAAATGTCGCCGGGATGTTGCGACGGTGAGACAGGATAACTGTTTAATACTCAGACTATGAAATTACGTACCTGCAGGTGCATGATAGTCTTGTCCACACTGAAAACTACATAAAAATATTAAATATGCTTGTCTAAAGTGGATGGGTGGATTACATTTCATTTTCAATGCTGTTTAATAGCACCTAGATTCACAATTCGATTGAGTAAATGAAGTCAATTGAGAAAGCAAAGGTGCTTGTAGTTATGGGCAAAAATAAATTTGATTAAATAATACCTGAGCAAATCAGAGGTGGGCACTATCGTATACACGTAACTGAACTGGGTCTGAGTTGCATAAAATGTTTTCTCAGTGCTGGTACAAGGTTATCAGTGAGTTATAATCGCAACTTTGTCACGTCAACAATTGCTTACGGCAACCACGCATCAAAACCAGCAAAATTCTCGCCCGTTTTTCCCTCCAACGCAGAGGCGTTTGATTACTGGGTGAGTTAACAAACAAAACTGGAACTTGAATCCATCACTTCTGTGTAACTTACCAAAATGACGTTTTGCACTTCGAGCAGAGAGCACGTTTTGCTTTACACGACTCTGCTTTTATGATCGCGGAGCAATCAGTTCCAGGGCACCATTGAAACAACGGGTGCGTCTAAAAATGCACACAGTACATTGATTTGCTTATCAAATAACTGTACACCCAAATGGCCCAATCGGAAACATTCTCCACAAAATAATTACACATCTTCACAAATTACATGCACTTTTTACAAAACCTTATATTGATTCGATTGGCCGAAATGTACACCTACTGTATGTACAGTAAATAACTGCATAAAATCAGCGACGTAGAAAGTTCGCACGTACTTAACAGAGGAGGAGGATTAACACTTCCTACTGCCAGAATTCATCTTTTACCTCTTATCAAAAACTAATCATCTTATATTTTCCCAAGAGTCTGAATGTTTCCCGAGACGAAGTCAAGGGAAACATTAAGACTCGAGGGAAAACAAAACTCACTACTTCCCGAGGTAGTGTACATCAAGTGTTTTGTTATATAGGAATAAAAACATACATGTTACAAAAGAATTCCATTTAAAAAAACACATTTTACTTTGTTATGAAAATATGCGGGCAGCAATTTTTCACTTGTTTCCCCGGTGGGAAATATTGCATTTATTTAAAGTCATGTGGCTACGAATGAATCAATCACATTTAAAATACACAGCACCTATATAACAATTCATATTAGAGACGGGAAACCCATCGAGGACAGGAAATTCGTCTGATGTGAATCCGGTCACAAAAGGGGTTTCTCGTCCGAATTTTCCCGTCTAACTTTCCCGTCTTGGGTAAGTTGACGGGAATCCCGTCTGGACGAAAAACTCGTCTTAAATTCGCATTTAGACGGATAAATCGGACGAATTTCTCAAATGACAAGGCTATGTGCGGAAAAAGGCTAAATATTAAAACAAAATGATTATCGTAATAATTACGATGCCCTTTTTAGCATTACCCGATCGAACCATCATACAGTACGTCTAAATTTATCCATTCCTATTCATAAGACGGGTAAGATCAACAGATCAAGTTTCCAGTCTGGTTGCCAGGTAGTCACACCCTAACCCCCTTGGTCATTGGTGCCTAAGCCGTGTTAAATGTATCAGTCTTTTTCTGATTTAATCAAAACATGACAGTGTCAGTGTAGCCTACAGCTAACAATTACTGTACCTTAATCTGATCATTCAAAAGGAAAAATTTGAATCTCTTCAAATTATCAGAATTCAACTTTAGACTCAGGAGATTGTCTGAACCAACTAAGATATTACACTTCATACATTCAATGCCTGATAAATGAAATTTGAATAATAAATAAGATGGAATCTCGATTTAAACAAACATTATACATTTGATACATATTTTTACAGAATTTGGCCACAAATGAGCCTTCAGGTATACAATTTCTAATCTATGAAATGTTGTACCAACATGCTGTCGTGTTTGTATGGTGCAACAAAACATCGTTGGATCTTGCTTCTATCAATTGATGAAAGCTTTTATATTTGATTTAACACTATAAGCACTTACCTAATGCTATGCCATTTTCAAGCTTAACCATGACATGACCTAACCAACAATTGTTGCAAAATGTATGCCCGCATTGCATTACAAACTCCATTGGCATTTCAATGCTTTGAAAACATACTTCACATTCACTGGCCGGCTGAAAAAAAAATTGTGAGTAACAAACAGATGTGTCTTTAACTTTCGGATTTGGAGGGGGAAACAAGAAAATTTTCAGTCTGTGTGGCTTGATTTCCCACATTTTAATAAAACATATTGATGTATTGTATCTAAAACAAGGGGAAAAGGAGGGATGTGGGGCTTTTCCCAACTAGTTTATCTTAAATAGGCTCTGGGTTAGAAATTAAACAATATAGACAAAGAAAATCAAAGAGTATCATAAATACATGATACATACAATATGTTACTCTAAATAGACTGGGCAAACATACTGGGCAAACTGAAAGTGTTTAACTTTACAGGATCAGTACACCTTTTTAATAACTATTGTGGTACATTATGGTGTAAAATGCAACCATTTTTTAACATTCAAAATTATCTAACCTTTAATGAAGAAATGGATCTTTCTGGCATGATTCTTGCTTCAATAAGCAAAGCTCTAGGGTCGATGCTATACCTAAAAAGCCCAAAATAATCTATTAATAAGGTACTTGCAATATAAAGCCCTAGTTAGAAAAGAATTTACCATTCATCTAACTATATGTATCAGGTAGCTAAATTCACAAACCTTTGGAAGATTTTGTCTATGTCCCAGTGATAAAGTGTGAGTAATATCCTGGATACAGACCTTGATTCCTGAATCAAATGAAGGGTGTAGAATGTAAATACACTGTAATAAACAGTGAATAGTGAAATGTGCCCCAGTTCACTGAACGATTAGCTTTTGTAGTACTAGTGTTGGACTATTATTTATCAATTTCCATTGATATTTTTTTTAAAAAAAACTTGTGAATAATATTTAGTTGCCAAAAGAATCAATAGTAATCAAACACATTTGATAATGCATTTTATGGATAAAGTAATATATTAATTATATTACTTTCAACCGTTTTGCAGTTTCGTCGACAAAGCAATCCAACATATTTTCTGCATCCTCTTGAGTGATTAAAACATAATCAAAGTATTCTGGATCTTGTTTGGGCTCATCTTGAAACACAAGATCTTCATCATCATCATAGTTGTAATAATCATCTGAGTCACTTTCGTCTGTGTTCAAGGATGCATCTCCTTGATAATGTTAGTAATATGATGCATTAGTCTCATCGAAGTATAATAGCCATAAAAATAGGTCCTTTGGTTGATCAAATGAAAGGATTGCAAAGTTTGAGGCAAATTCATTTCCAGGACTGGATTTGAGGCAATATCAATCAACATCATCAATTAAACTCGCCTACTTTCAGTTCTTTGCTTTACTATACTATATTTTCAATCTTAACCAATATCAACCCCCTTTAACAACTGCTCTGTGACTTTAATATTGTTACAAATTGAAGTTGTGATTTTAGAAATTTTTTCTCCTAAAAATTAGATTTCGAATAGGAACTTAATTAATTAGGCTCATAATAATTGCGTACTGTATGTCATATACACACAAGGAATTAAGATGTCATATGTCATCAAGAATTTTAAAGTTACAGCAAGGTTTATATTAATATGTGAATACCTTCAGCATTTCCGGACGACATTGCACATTAGAAATTCCTTCAATAGTAATTTTATGGCGAACAATTTATTTATTTTGCTTTCTTTACATCTTTGACCTGAAATTTTTTTGTCTTAGGAAATAATTTTATTTGGAAGTTGAGTCATCCATGATCCATTGAACCATGTGCAATCTCTGATTCACCGTAAATGAAGAACGTCATGTTATATAAATATTGTGTTTGTTTACCGGGCTTTGGATTGATTTGAGATGCCAGGGATTGACTGACGTCACGAGGCGCATCAACAAAACGGATTTATCAATATCATGCGTCTGGGCGGTCTGGGATCACTTGTCCCCGATCTGTATAAGAGCTTAAAATATATAATTTATTATATCTATGGGAGTACTTACTTTTACCATCACGTGCACATCGTTGTTCCCAGGTTTTCAGCGTACTGCGTGTAGGGCTAATCAGGGGTAATTGGTAGATTTTTGCACAGAGGAGATATGGATATCAATCTCTCCTCTGTGATTTTTGTAAACAACTGGTGATTAAATTGGTGATTAAAGTTACATCATTGACACCCAATCTTACAGTTAGAATGGGAACACTACAGCCAACTTCCAACAGCCTCGTTTCCAGGCTTTTTAAAAATCCTTTTAAAAAAAAAAATTTTTTAAAGAGCCTGGGAACGAGTCTGGGAACACCACGTTTATGATATGAAGAGCTTCACGAGAGCAAAACATAAGTCTCCTAAAAGTTAACAAATTCACGAGTTATTAATTCACCATGCAAAATTTCAAGTATACCATATGTTATCAGTGTGCATAAGCAATGCAAACAACAAATCCACGACCCATTTAGTATTAAATTTAGTACTCAAAATTACAGTTCATAAGATATTTAGCAATTTAAATTCGAATATAAAATATTTCTAGCATACTATCCCCGGTCCGTTTCCAGACCATCTATAGTTACTTATATTTACCTATTAGTTAAATTAGTCACTTGCTGGATTCGCACGCGGCACTTGAACTCGCGCACACCTATATTTATTTGAACTTACAAGGAAAACTAGCATGGTAACCAATTAAAAGTCATTTTACGTATTAACATAACGTATAATATATATATTTGATATTAGAAACTGTTTTGCTGGAAACTGGGTTTTTTTGGTTCAAGAAGCATAAAAATTTTGACATCGGTTTTGTTCCTTTTCCTGGTGAATAATGATATCGAAAACGCGCAAAATTATTGCCGGGAACATTATTAGCCAGGGGTTGGGGGTGGCGTTGGTTGACTTGAGGTTGAGTTCCTGTTAGGATACGGTTCTGCTTCGATCGCACATCGAATATGTTCTAACCATCTACAAAAATAGACAAAATTTAGTAGATCAATTTGCTTTTCTTTCGGGTCTATAGGAACAACCGCTGGATCATAAAAGTATATGTGCTAAACGTTTAAAGTCGGAGGTAGAATCAAACCTGTTTTTAACAAAAGATAGTAACTAAAATCAGCCGAAAAACAGCTGCAATATTTTTTCATCTGCCTTGTTAGATTAAAACTTCATACACCATAAGAGCGCTAAATAAGCTACTCTGAGACGACGGCGTATTGGTCGTATTTATACTGATCACTTCATATATCGTTTTTAAATCGCTGCCTATACTTTGCCACCTGGGTTTGGGGGTATGGTTAATGAATTTAAACACTATTTAACATTATCAAGTCACAAAACAAAGGCAATCACATATAAACTGGTTTAATATATCCACATATATCCGGTGGTTAAAAAGCCCCATTTAAAACCTACAGTCAATTTATCGGGCCACGGCACGGCTAAAATGGGTACGCGTACCCAATTCAATACCGGCACGGGTACCTATTTTAGCCGTGCCGTGTGGATAAATTGAGTGTAGTGTTAACAAGGATACAGATCAACTGAACTAAGAACACATACTTCTCCAACACCTCGTCGTTCTCGGCTTCAAAGAAAAAGGAACCATATATCGGGTGCAAAATTTTAAAGACGTGTTTTCTACTTTTATCATTTTCGTCGCACTAAATTGTAAATATAAAAAAATTACAGTTATCTGGAGTTGATGTCTGTGGGGTTTTTTAACAGGTATTGCTATTTGCTACTGATTACGATAATTCGCCAGGGTTGTTCGTTTGTCCGTAATGGACTATAGGCCTATTATTTGGGTCCATCTTGGAAAAACACACAACAATTGTCTGCCGCGGTAATGGTTTATGAAGAAATGCTAGCTCTATGAATATTTAAAACAAGTTAAACATCTAGTTTTTGTTATTTGAGCATGAGCTTCATACACCACATCGGCAAATGCAATTTCAAGCCCAAATAGAGATTGCAAAGAGATTGCATATGTATTTAAATCATGCATACGACTTACCACATTTTCATCCTGCAGCGAAAGACCAGGCATTGGGATCGTAGTTTGAGCTTTTACATCCTATTTTAAAAAAAGGTTGATTAGACCTGAGAGCTATTCAGCAATATGATTTCAAAATGCATAAATCAAGACAAAAATATCTAGTTACAAACCTTCTTCGCCTTAAAAACATGAAGAGTAAAATCATCTCCAAGCCTACACCAACGCTTTGACCATGCCTTCGTGCTATCACTTTTAAAGTTGAGATATCCATTTAATACAGAATCTGCAAACTTTTGAACCTTACGCCTTCTCCTTTTTATCTCCGGTTTATTTGTTTCTTCGGGAGCAAGTATTTTGTAACAGTTCACACAAACTCTATTAATTTTGTTATCGTCATATTCGAGTCGAGCTTTATAACTTGAGCAACTATTGCACACGATTTTACCGCAAGCCCGGCAATGGTGACGCCTTCGTATCGCGGTGAAGTGAATCGTACACGTCATACACATGGTGACAGCGTCATCTCGTACCCAGGTTGGCGCGATTTTTCCAATATCATCTTTATTCAGAGTCACCTGAAGACAAATAAAATTGGTTGGAACACAACACAGAGGTATGAAATTACAGATGAAATCAATTTGCTATCGCCACCGCAAGTTATGACTTCGTCAACGGTCGGACACCTCCGATAACCAACTGCATGCACATGCATGTTCAACAAACTGTTCGAAACATTCAACTTCTAGCAGTTTCTAGTCACTTCGTGATCTCTGTCCCAGCATTTATCCTTCACTGTTATTATTCATTTGGGACCGGATGTACATTTTTAGGAGGTATATCCGTAGAATACACGATTATAACACAAAATATTGGTCAAAAGATTTAACCAACTGTATAACAGGCCAAGAATTTTTTTGAATTTTCAGGCCCACGATTTTATCCTCTGAAGGAGAAGAGAATATACAAGCCTACAGGCCAGGTAGCCCCAAAATGTTTTTTCTTCGCCACCCCAAACTTCTCCAAAAGCCCCTGGGCAAGTTTCAGCAGGAGTTCATATTCAATTCTACACAGAAATCTTGAAATGAATAAATATATTTGATGTACCTCGCGGCCAAAGGTGCTATTCCTGTCAACTGCATTCTTAATGGCTGCTGTAAGAGTCGATACCCATTTTTCTTTCTGCTCTACCGACGTCGCTTTAAATTCGACCACTTTGCTTTTGCTACAAACTCGGAAAACAAGTTCACGGTTCTCTGTCTCTTCATCGACGTCCCCAAGATAGGTCGACAACAACTCCAGTGTTTGCTTCGCTTTGTATTTACCTGTAGTTGGGACTTTAGTGCAATAGTATAAGGCATCATTGAACTAAGATGGTAAAAAATGATATTTATTAAATTGAAAGTCGTGCAGGTAATCTGTTTAACATCGATTTGAAAGGCGCAGTAATTCTGAACGAACTTATTCTGTTTCCAAAGAAGAAACTATCTGGTGAGATGAATTGAGAAACTGAAAGGTAAAGGAAGAGGGAATATTTGCCTTTTAATCCCACGAGAGGTGGTTTGTGGATGGATGCCTACGCCTTTTCAAACAAGACTTTGTAAACTTTCTACACGTTAAACCAGTCTCTAATGCACCATGCACAAATGATGTAGTCTCATTAAAACTAACAAAACCTGAAAAAAAATATCTGATGACTCACCAAAACAAGAATTCTTGTCATAATTTGAGCATTTCGTGCTGAAATCTTTATCAATTCACCTTCCATTATGAACTCCTACAACAAGTAGAAAGACTATTTTACAATAAGATGTCAAAGTTTTGAGGCCACGTTTGGACTGGGGCACAGGCTACGTTGCTCCCTGAGAAGTTTAAAATTGTCAACAATTATTTCGCCCCCCTACATCCTCATTACACTCCCCCCTTCTGAAATCAAATCCTGCATCCGCCCTTGATGGTTTCTGTCCGGGTGGTAGCGTAGCCAGAATGACAATTAGTCCTGCTATGCTAAAGAAACTCACTCGACTCGGGGTTACAATGCTGACGCCATCGCCGAATTTTTCTTGCATTTCTAACATTTTCTGGAAGCGTTCCTTGACGGAAAGGGAAAATTATCGTATTATTTTCGCTCGAAATCTTATCTAAGTTTGTACAGGATATCCAACAGTGCATATATATATATATATATTTTTATAACTGGCTATAGGCTTTCCTTGTTATATGTTTCTAATCGTCTAAAGCTCTTCCTGAAAACTGGGAGCGATTTCCCTACTTACTGTTTTCTTCATGCTGTCATTAGCGTGGTTCGCCGCAGCAGATATGATCTCGAGTGCCTCTAGAAATCGCAAAACACCAGATTTTATGGTAGAACCAGCGACCGATTGTTCGGGAAGGCGTTTAGCTTAAATGGTGGGTAAACCAAAGTTTAAAAACACCCTCATACATCTTGTGAATGATTGAAATTTGAACCTGCGTCTTATGCATTAGTGTACTTTCATTGACAATTAAGCAATTTACATCGAAATATTGCAGCTCGTTGTTCAATAAATAGATAATTTTGTGTTTAATTTTGAACTTATCCACCGTAAGCTAAACGCCTTTCTATAACCGGCCCCAGAAGGAGATTGGTTTGAATAAAGTTGTGATTATCAAACTTACTTTTTGACTCCTCTAAATCTTTGGAATCCTCGGGTAACTTGGAGATATAATCTAAAAAATATATAAAACGATATATCTTATTGATTCGTCAAAATGTTAACAATCCTAAACCTAGAGACCCTTGTTCCTAGCACTCAAGGCACATGGCGCGGACACGCAGACGCTGCAGGACACATGCACGCTATTAATAACCATGTTACATAGTCGGTTGAAAGATCACCACAGTAAGATATCGTTATTAGACATATATGCTGTTCAGTAATAGAACAAGAGAACTATGAAACCAACAGACTAGACAGAAAAGTTAGAAAGTCTTCTTGTGCTTACCTGTCAACAGCAGTTTGTAGCGTGGAACTCGCTGTACAGGGGCAAGCATGTGATGCTCCAATGTTAAATTGTTGCATTCCTTGTCGGTTTTCTGAAAGAAATGAAATAGAATAACTTTAGTGGTTAGGACGTTAGCACTACTCAGAATGTGTTTTAGATATGATAACTCGACGAAATACGCCCTTCAGTGAATAATGCAACTCCAGCCATTCCGTTCTAGCGGCGAATCCAACCTACGAAAGTGCGAATCCATGCAGGAGCGGTGTTTAAACTAACAGTCATGCATGCAAGTTCATTTACTGAATTAATTTTAACACTTCTTGCGCAAAAAAATCTTCTTGCACAAAAGAAAAATCTATAATTTCTACCGCTAATATCACAATACTCAATAGTACAAGAACTGCTTCCCTGAAGCCAACTGCATGAATCGTCAGCGTAGCCATATTTTTCATTCTGGAATACCTGTATTTGGTCAATGATGGCAGAAAATTTCTGAGATTTAAGTTTCCATCTCGACAAACTGCTCATTGCCTGGTCAAAATTTTTGACGTACTCAGCATACATCTACATAATGTAAATTTATGTAATTAATTCTCTTTTTATTACCTTGTGTCCCATTCTATTTCATTCCATTTTTATCAGTCTTAATTTATCCGCTTCATTACTGTCAACCATACCTTCAGAAATGGTGCGAGGGAGTTAAAAATATCACCAACGCGAGGGTTTGTATCCCTATAAAAGTTGAAATGGACGTTATAGACAACATTCACATTGACAAGATGTTTCACACTATCAGACAAGAATGACGGAGACGGACTGTGCAACAAGAAGAGTGGAGACAGACTTAAAAACATTAAAGTAGAGTAACATTTAAAGCATAATTAATAAAGACAATAAAGTGAACTAACCAGTTTTGCATTCGTTCATCAAGTTTTGGCAGAAGAAAATCTCGATGAAACTGGTTAATGGCAGTAATATTTGAAAATATTTCTAACAGTACTTCTTTTGGCACGATGCCTTTTGCTCTGCACTCATTCTCTAGTCTGAAGTGGAATACCTACAAACGTAAATAATAGGGCCATTTATACGAGGAAAAATATGTCGCGACTTATATAGGACGCGAGGCTGCGAAGCTTGTTTTACGTAAGACATGCACGTCTCCCTATTAACGCCGTTTTAACGCCGTTTATCCAATTGCTCAATGCCAACAATTTGTACGAATAATTGTGGGGGTCCGACCTTTAACTATACAAGGGCTACAGTCTACATAATCATAACAAATGGAGTGTGGTGCGAAGAGGCGGTTGAACCCCAGGATTTGGAAAAATATATGAAATTTGGTCCAAATGAAAAGTGAGGAGCGGGTCATGCAGTCTTTCTATTTAATATGGCATAGTGTATGGACTATGGTATGGGTAGTCTAGAAGTAGAACGGCAATTCGAATCACCCAAAAGCGAGACAGCACATTTTCGCTGAACTCTGCAAAGCCAAATAAAAACACGTGTCCGAATTGAACTAAAATTAGATCATTGTTTTACCTCATCAAGGAGCTTGAGTGTTTTCACGTACCTTTAATAAATAACAAAAAAAGAGTTCAAACCCTCGACCTTCACAAATATAGTATGGGACGTAAATTTCATAGTTTAAGAGCACAACCGAAGTTTCGACATTTTTAGGTCATAGACAGCTCGCCCTCCCCGCAATACACCTACCTAAATTTAGTCAAATATATGATGAACTTACGTCACTTCAGTGGTCAGAATTTCCTTTGCGATATTAAACAATTTCTTTTTCCGTGCATCCAGAAAATTCTGAAATATTTAAAAGGAATAGAATGTTTAATGGATGAAATGGAAAAAAGGAATGGAAGAAATAAATTAAGTATGCATTGTATAGATTGATGGGTATCTAGTTCATTAAAAGATACACATAAACTTTGCATTTGAATTCTGAACTGAATATTTTCAGTCGACGATTATAGTAAAAAATACAATTTTTACAGAAAAACAAAAATTACAAATAGGAGCTGGAGAATGGACATTTTAAATTGAAGGAAATTTAGGTGATACAGTGCAGTCCGAGAAAAAAGCAGTACTATCTTAAAATGCTTATATATCTTTAAAAACGCAGCTTGAGAATAAAATGCGACATACGACCATGCTTACCAGATCAGGGATATGCTCTAATTCATCAAAAATAATTCTACTTTGTCGTTTATCTGCGAGATTATTATCATGATCATCACTGTCATTTTCACTCTCAAATTCATCTGAATCCCATCCATAATCTTCATCATCAACTTCTTCATCATCTTCTTCATCACCATCCTCATTAGCTTCGACATTGTCATCCACATCTACTTCTACCGTTTCTTGACCTGTATATCAGTGAATTAATAATTATTAAAAGAAGGATTTTGAAAAAATCTATCATATCTCTACTTTTCTTACCATTTTCATCATTACCACCTTCTATTTCATCATCCAAATCTATTCCTATTTTTTCTTCAATAACAAGCACCTGTTCTGACTGGTCTTCAAGACCTATATAATTAAATAGTTATATGCAATGAGACAATTGTATAAGCAATGAGATAACTACAAAAATAACTTTTTGAATATCAGCAACAATCTTCACCTTCTTCACCACCTCCCATCTTAGCATCATCACCCAGTCCTGTTTTTTCTCTGATAATAACCTCATCTGTCTGGTCTTGATCACCTGTAATTAATATTTAAAAAGAAAATTTTACATATTAGAAATTTTGTGTTCTTCTCTAACATATTTTTTGCTTGGAAAGTGAAAACATTGTAACTTAACAGTATTACTAACAACTGAAACATTAGAATGCTGCAAAAAATTGGCATACCATTTTGGTAAAAATCTTGTTCATGGTTACTCCTTAGTTTACCACACTGTTCTTCACTGTCTCTTTTCTTCACTGGTTTAGGAGCAATGTCTGGGGGGCTTGAATCGCAACTAAAACCTTTATGCTTACCATTTTTTGCAAGAATTGGTTTTGGAGGAACAGCTGGTTTTGGTGTTTTACAAGTCTGATTACTGTTTTGGTCTTGGTGGTCTGTTTCAACATCCGGTTTATCTGGTGTTTGAACTGGTTTGGCAGGAGGTGTAAGATCCTGGTTGTGAGGTGGATGCACATTATTTTTTAAATCACTTGTGCTTAGACTTTCATAAAAAGTTTTGAACTTGTTTACATTATTACTAGCTGGTAGATTTCCTGTACTGCTGCCTTTCTGCATTTTCCCTCAGGACACTGAAACAGGGATGATCTTTCAGCCCACTAGAGGGAAAAGAAAATACTAGCAATTTGGTGATTTTCCACAATAAAAAGATGGTGTGGCATGTCATTTGCCATTTTGTCAATAATTATTGGACTAGGGAGCTAGAGACACCCTTTGTTTCATGAATCACAATCTAGCTCATAATATGTAACACTAACATCTCATCCCTTTGTCAAGATGTTACAATTCAAAAATTGCCCTCCATCTCCAAAAGCATTGCATATTTTGTAAATGGCTTAGCTTATAAAAGGTTTGTAGGCTGTCCATATGCTAACAATTGATGTGTTAAATCTAGCCTTCGTCTATTTAGTAGGAACCTAGCATAGAAATATATTACATTCAAAATCAAATAATGAAATATTCATAACTTGCTGGGAGGCTAAAAAGGGAAGTTTGAACTAAATAGTGAAAGTGGGATACTACAATATATATTGAAATATTATATTTTGAAAATAAAAGGCTTTTGCAGAATATAGACAGCTAGCACATCAGATTAATTTTATTTAAGCATAGGGAATGTAATAAAGGGTGAAAAACCTAACTAGCTGACTGACTAGAAAAACTACAACTAAACTAAATATTTGCTAGAATGTACGTCTATTGCGTATGGTGATATGCACGGTTAAGAAGTGAAAATTAATAATAGACAATCATATTCTTCATGTTTCTCAGATGCCCAAAACAGCCTGTTTTTGCCCCATTTGTTTCAATATTAAATATACAGTACGGTTTTTGATATTTTCATAATAATTTAAAAACAACAACTTAATGTATGCGAATATGTCTCGAACTTCAAACTTCCGTGTTTAATAGTTAAAAATGAAATGCATAATACAAACTACCACGTTTGCTGTTCACTGAAACAAACTTGCAGAATGAAGACCTGTATTTTGTTTTGAATATTGGGGAAATATTGCAGAAGTGGATATCTAAGGGAATCGGAGATAAAAGAAATCGCCATACTATATAAAGAGTCCATAACCATTGACGGCAAATATATATTGGCAAATGGCAACTTATTATGAAAGTGAACGACTATAGTCAAACATAGGGAAATTGGCATAGTTCCTTATGTAATTATCTTATAAAATGTGTGTAAAGTAATTTTTTGTTAGCCTATTATAATGATATAGGAATCCGATTTCATAAAACATTTCAAGTAGGTACACAGGCTAGTCACTTGTGTACATTTGCATAGTCTATATTTTCACAACGATTTAGATGTAAACTTACACAAACATTAGGTAAAAAGCTAAATTTAAGGAAATAGCAGTTGTCTAGAAGCTACTGACCTTGATTCCACATTAAATATATTGTGATAAGAATTCGCGTCTACTTTTGTACCAAAGAGCTGAAAATATATAAACAGTACCGAAGAAGTTTCTTTAACATTCCGATTCGGGAGCCGAAGTAAATCACTCAATTAGTTAGAATAAACGTTATTTCATTAAAATATTCTTACCAATAAATTGCTAAGCATATACACTCGCATTACAACTCACGCTGCACCAATAGCATAAAAATTTGCCTGAGAAAACCATAATAAAATTTAGCTTGGTTTCGCCATGCTCAGACCAAACAGGAAATTGTGACATCTACAACATCCACAACAATTAGAGTAAATTGCAAGCGCGCTTTAGCCAATCAGATTGTAGCTCTCTGACGTTCTCCTGTTAAATGGAAAAGTATCAATATCGTTCACCTACATCTCCCGTCCCCCAATCTTCAAACAACCAGCAACCACCAGGAAATTATGCAAGTTAGTAAAAGCTATAACCTGTGTACAAGACGCATCTTATATTTAAAAATTACTATTTAACTGTTTGCGATAGCGAAATTCAGTTGACAGGGAAGTGTGGAAACGGAAACAGCGAGGTACTTTGGTCGGTAAGGAGACACTTCTCTTACATACTCTACACTGCTAAGATACGAATCGCTGCATACGCGTCTTACACACATCACGTCATACACGCAGGTAAAGTTGGTGGTGAACGTCTTATGGTCTTAATAAATCGATTTAAAAAAAACCTGTGGAAATCAAATAAATAAAAGAGTTAAAGAAATCATCATTCCGAGTATATATTTAAATATATACCCGGTATGATGATTTCTTTAATTCTTTTTTCTATTTGATATCGTTGAAATTTTACTGCATCATATGCATGCATAAAAATGAGTATGGTAAACATTTATACACCTGTGGGTCCCAACAGAGTCCTTAGGCATTCAAACTCTAACCGAATTGCATTGTTATGGGTGATTTCAATAGTTTTCGGTTTTTTTGGGACACCCTGTACGTATAGTGGACCAGGAACTGCGTGACCGAGTTTCTGAACTGCATTGTATTTACAACAATAGGGAGGACAATGTATTTCTAATCGTTTGCGTATTCTTACATGTGCGAGCGCGCAGGGGTGCCCACATATCTCTATATTACGCTGAATGCAGCCTTTATGTTTTCCAATAAAGCGCCTGGGTACGAGGCTGGTATTCTTATATATAGGCTGAATATTAATGATATATAGGCTGAATATTACCATTAATATTTATATATTATTTGCTGCACATTTTTATCACTTTCAACGAACACCGTTTTGGTTTGCCCCTGAAATAGACACTGTTTTAGCCAAACGAAAAGGAGGGAAACCGGAGTACCCAGAGAAAATTCCTATAAAGGTAACCTGAATTTCAGGTGAGGTGATTAAATTCGAGGTGAGTCCCATTACTCCCATGCAATGGACCACTTGCATAATAGACCAACTTTTGATTTGGGCGAAAAAAAGGAATTTCCGAAAAGTGCTTACGAAACTCAGTAAAATTGCCAAGTTTAGTTTCGAAATGTTGTAAAGTGCCGTTCGCATGGCTATATTTTCCGTACTATTTGACATTTTGCAGCCAAACTTGCCAATTATACTAATTTCGGTATGCTCTTTTTAGCTGCGGTGATTTATTTCCTTCTTGTTACTTCGATCACAAGTTAGTCTCTTATGCAAGTGGTCCATTCTCAAGCTTTGTTAATTCGATACTACTCATACTAGCTTTTCACTTGTACAGCAGTCTCGTCGTCCATCATCTGATCCTGCGACGATTTCCTAGAATCCTAGTACCAGTTAATAAACGTGCTGCGGTATTTTGGCCTCTCTGCAGCCTCCGGAGTATATATTTTGACACACTATAATTATAACAATGAATAACAATAGTCCAATCTTGAAGTTATTAAAAAAGCATGAATGATTAGTTCACGACAGTCCCGAGATAAATACTTCTTTATTCTTGAAATGTTCCTAATATGATAATAAGGTGACTTGATACGTTCTTCAAAGTTTAAAACAAAAATAACCCCCAAGTTTCTAGCCGAGCCAGTCGGCACAATTCTGTCATCTCCCACCATGATATAGTTCAAGGGAGGCATCGGACGATAGCGTGAGTGGACTAATATATTAAGTTCCGTTTATTCACTATTTGGTTTCAATTTATTCAGCATCAAGCAGTTCCTTAACTTCCTTTAATATTTCAAATATACATTTTTCCATGCGAGTCTTAGATGAAATCAATTCACCAGGATCATTTGTTTTGAATGCGATGTAAAGTTGTCCATCATCAGCAAAAAAATAAAAAGGGAGATCATGACGCCTAGTCACATCAGCAAGCGGAGCAGTGTAGAGTGAATGTAAAAGCGGACCCAATCAATCCCAACAGATCCCTGCGGTACACCGTACACCACATTCAAGATCACGCAATAACGAATCTGCTCCCTCAACCCGAACAAACTGTTTCCTAGATATAAGATATGAAGTAAACCAATCCAACACACGACCCTTTATACCAAACCGCTTGGATAATCGTGTCAATAAGAATATAAGGTCGAATGATTTACGGGTATCGAACGCTGCTGACAGATTGCCTTCGCACTGCACTCGCGAATACAAAATGTCATGCACGTTTTTGTACGAAATATTATTCATCGTTTTCTTGATGGTCTAGAGAAAATTAAAATACTCGACCATTATTCTCCTTCTAAAAATACAATTTCCCATGCATTTTTATGTTTTTTTAGGCGCTCAGCGAGATTTTTGTTCCGGACTATTGTCATTCAAGAAAGAAAATTCAAGTAATGGGGTCCCAGATCACTTGTATTCACTCCGTATGCACTGGACACGACCTATTATATAGCTCAGTGGACACAACCTTAAGATGCAAAAACCGCAAGTCGTAAACTTGAAATCACGGAGCTAAACAGAAGAGTGCTCAGCATATATCAAGCAAAAAAGCTAAATCACATGCATATTTACATTGCGATGTTTGCTGCATCTATAATAAGACTTTTTTGCCCGGCCCCCGCAAAAAAGTCTTTGACCCTTCTTTAGCCCCCTTTCTTTTTCAAAGACACTCAAGGGCCACAGGACATCAGTCTTTCCCTAAAGATTACGCCATAAGCATGTCGTTCGAGTGTAATATGCATGTGTACCGAAATAGGGAAATTGTTTGCCGTTTTGAGAACTTGTCTATATGAATGGGAGCATTGGAATAACACATTCGTTGAACGAATGCAGGCAAATGCATTGGCAAATTCGCACAATAAACAAGAAAAATCAAGCATCAAATCTTCCATGAAACCCCATGGAATCCATGCTCTTAGTTTGCCCTCCCGTCTTACTAAGACTTATTTTGATACCTTAAATTCTTCTTTCGTTTCGCTGAGTCTCGGGTAACCCGGCTCATGTAAGCGGCTGTTTACATATAATAATTCAACAGGAGGAGGTAACTTGTGTGTACCTCACATGCGTTTTGATATTTTGATACTATTCATGTCTCTATATGCATTTTTGTCTATTAAATATTGATTAAACCTAGTATATTTCATGCCGTGATCATGTTTAAATTGATGGTGGAGGTCTGAATTTGTGGGATGTCCTAATGGGTCCATTTCTCTATATGCGTTATGTCGCTACGTGATCATCTTAATTTAATTTAATGATCACATAAAAGTTACGAGAAAAGGCTGGAAAGAGAGACCTGATTGCAGATTGTCTTTGTGGGCTTTAGTGCAAATACATCAGGGTCTGTCACTATCATATGCACAGTGTTTCTTTCTTATGCTCAAGGCCAATCAAGGTCCTGACTTTGGTTTGGAGACCTTTTATACGCATGATGCTGAAACAACATGACAGAATATATATATATATATATATATATATATATATATATATATATATATATATATATATATATATATATATACCTTCGTGAGGTGGTTAAAAAAACAAAAATGTCACACACAATATGTGCATTCACTTGTCACCAAAACAGCAGCTGCTAAAATAAAAGGAAGATCTGCATGACGTTTCGTTCTCAAAAAGGCCTAGCTGTGTCAAATCTTGCAATTTTCTAATAATGGTATTAGATTTGCAGTCCCCAACTGTATGTATAGTAACAAGAAGTCTGTTTTGTAGCTGGTTTTAAGTTTGCTAATTTTCAGGTCAATCGCTAGCTCAGGTCAGCTCGGGGCGAGTGTGAGTCCCTTAATTAACGCTGTCACACCCAGATCCAAAACAAAGACACCTTGTTGAGTATCGAAAATCGAGGCTATTATTTATTCACAAAACGACACGTAGAAAAACCTTTGCCGTCTCAACTACATAGTCATTTGCGTCGCGTCGCCGAAACAAAAAGACAAGAAAGGTGAGGTCAGTTCAATTTTTTTCAATCGCTGCATAGGAATACGGTTATTAATTCATTATTAACTTGGGTTAACATCTGTACAATCTTAAAAGATTTCTGAATTTAGGTAACCCGCATACCACACGTACTTATAGATATGTATTTCTCCAACAGCAGGATTAACTGAACTAAGATTTGACCCTTTTTATATATATATTTTTCAAATCAGCAATCGGCATCTGAGATTTTTACAACTCCAAGAAAGCTTTATCTAAGTGTAAGACGTTTTCGTATAAAGCCATCGAACATTCAATAAATGAGATATTTGAAACTGAGAACAGATTTAATCAACATGGAATTGCACTACGGAATTTATGGTCAAGGGAGGTACGCCCTCTTCGAATTGCTCGCATGTGAATTTCACGAAGTTGAAAATGGGATGAAACCATCATTTCAGCTTAAATCGATTAGTTTATCTTAGTTTATTTTCCCAACGTAACAATAATAAAGCAAATTGTCTTGTGTAATCTTCAATAGAAAGATGGACACTACAAGCGATGAAACTCAATGTCCGTTTTCGGACATTCCAATTGATAAAGCCTATGGGCCAGAAGTGTCAATGTTTCTGCATTGTCATTTGCGTGGGTATGATCGTTATGGAGAAGGAAAGGTCGCAGATAATGGTAATGATATTTTCATTGGCATATTTGCGCGAGAACGAGATTACTATATTAATATTGCGCACATTATAACCTATCCCCAGTTCAGCTCGCATGATTTCCGTTCAAATCGACAGGGATGCTGTAAATGAGAGATAAATATAAACATACACACACGTTGATATTTCCGGACCACCTTAATTTTTAAAAGTTCTTTGAATACCTTTACCGACCATATCGCTAACTATCTATATATAAGAAAAGAAACAATTAAGTTCGCATGCAAATGTCTTTCGAGAGCGATTTATAAAAAAATCATGCACTATGCATTTCATGAAACTCTTCATATACGATGTTTCCTTCAGCGTTTTTAAAATATCACCTGGCATGACGTGGATTTGATATTTGCCACAAGAACACATGAGTAAATATAATTTCTGGCCATTCGCAATCATTAATTACTCTTTTCCTTTCATGTATGACATTTCGTGGAATCGAGTTAAACTATAGTACAGGTGAAAACATCAATCACCCTTGTCAGAATTTGCACATCTGAATCAACAGTCGTATATCGTTGCCGAGTCGAGAATTCTTAACTAGAATAATTTTCCTAGAATTTGTTGTGAAGTAAGTATTTTAAGCACAATTTTGCTTAAAATAAGTAAAAAGAGATAAATTATTCTGTCAAGAATAAATTTTACTTGAAATAAGTAAACTTGTTCGAAGCAAGAATATGACAGTTTCTTAAAACAACTAAATGTTGTAGCTTGTATTCTCATTATGAATTTTGGTATTCCTAAAACAAGCAAAGCTTCTTTGTGGATTCTGAGCAAGAAAATATTGTTAACTTATAAAACATTCAAAAAAGCTTTACACTCCTTTGCCAAGAATACTAATTTCTTTAAAATATAGCTATCCAAAGGAGCATCTTAATTGTTAGCTTCACAAAAAATGAATTAGTTCAAACAAGCAAGAACATTTTTAATATTCCTACTAAATAACAGTTAATAACCGAGCGACGATTCCCAGGTGTGGATCAATCATCAATGCAAAATAAGCAACGCTCTATCCAAAATTCTTGTCAAAAAGAGTTTGTTATTTGTTTATATCTTTCTATTCATATTTAGAAGAAATGAAGGTTTTTATGCCTACTTCAACATCCTGAGTGCGCTTAGTTCGTTTATTATGAAAATATATTTTTTAAATCCCGTAACTCGTGCAAAGAACTGTGGATAGGATAGCACCGCGCTCTCGATGCGTGCCGGGAAACACGCGCCAGATACGGGGCTGTCCCGGGGTAGCGTCGCTTCGCAAGAAGCGGGTTGTTGTTTTTTCCTTTTCGAAGTATAAATCGGAAAGTATTTTAAATCGCTTATTCGAATTTATATTAAATTTTACTGGGGCCGGTTGTATCAAACCCGTTTACCTTAAACGCGGTTTGATAGTCAAAATTATAAAACACTCTTACAACTCTCTTGAATCAGCCAACTTGAATATTATGCACTCAATTTGTAGTTGTAAGCTGTATCCTTGTATTAAGGTTAAAAACATTTAGTTGCTTGTTGAATAAAACGATCGACTTGCTTTCTATTTTAAACTTAACCACAGTTTAAGCTAAACGGGCTTGATATAACCAGCCTCTGGCCATTATGTCGCAAGATTTCCTGGGAAAGATTGCGGAAATTGTTTTACAGTGACTGCATAAAAATCTCAATCTTCTCAGAGGTAAGGATTTAAAATTATACGCGCAAACAGACGAAAGCTATATTCGAACTTGCCGCGTAAAAGTGTACGTATTAAACAGATATATTCATAATTTTAATCCTCATTCCCACTACTACAACACTATAAAAGGGCGGCCGCGTGCATAAAACAGCCGAACCTTCAGTGGACACACGGAGTAAAAATCATGTGAAACGTCGGAGGAAGCTCAGCACACAACAGAAAACTAACGAAGATCCGAGGCAAGAGCCGATCCAGAAGAAAACATTAACGAACATTAGTTTATTCATTTTGCGAACATTGTATAAAGATCCTACTACCTCGCGTATAAATAAACATGCAGCTATACTTAACACAGGCTTTAAAAACTTTCTGCTTATGTTTTCTATTTTCCAAAAAAAATTCTATTTATATCATTTCCATTGACATGTATGATATAAAAATACCTTAACGGCTTCTTAACACAAACATATACCAATAGTGATTATAACATGCATGTAGAGTTATCAGATACTTCGCTGAATGGCTAAAACAATTATCAACTGCATGACTGACCAAATATATATATTACCTGACTTCGATAACTGCAAAAAAAAGGAGAACTTGGGAGGCTGGAACAGCTTGGGACGCCGGAAACAACTTTTTCAAAGTCTCAATCATTTTTCAACAGTTATTTACTGAAAAGAATAAAGACAGAAAATGAAGACAGCAAGCGTAATTAAAGTCACTCAACATTTGTTTAGAATACTACGATAAATATGGAGCTCCGGTGAACAAGGAGAACTCCTGGGAAGAGGGCTATCATGTGGTCGAGACAAAAATAGCAGGTGTAAACGATCTTATAATGGCGCTCAAAGATTTGGATTTCCCCCTCTTTGCTGGAGTGGGGGGAGGAGTTCACATTTACAAACCGATTCACGATGAAAAGCCATGGAACTGGACTGGCTGGGTACCAAGAAAGAGACGTTGGTGTAATCAAGGAAAGTTTTTCAGCAACAGGTAGGCTTCAAAATGCTTGAAATATCACCGGGTAACGATTTTCACTGTTGCTTTACCAACTAAAATCGACCCAAACGCTGTAGCCTGTACGCTTAGCGTTAAGGTTAATGAGAGCCCATAATGAGAAATTGTAAATTTGGAACATTTGACTAATACACTCAGTAAAACCAATAAGTGTCCCTGAAACTAAATCGTAAATCCAAAGGACAATTTTCAACAATAAAATGTTTAATCACTTTACCAATATGCTCTGTATTATCTGCAAAGGTATTACCTAACTCTCCGTGGCAATGAAGTCCAGAACAATCTCTGGGATTACCACCCTCATGAGGAAAAGGAAGGTGCAGCCATCACTGATACAGAGTTTGAGCAGTTGGAACCAAACGATAGATACAGAGGGGGATATTGGTTTCATCGACAGCCATTTGGTCGTTTTCTGCATATCATTGCCTTAAAGTCACACGAGGTGGACCCAAAGGTACGGAATACTTAATCTAAAAAAAAGGCAATGCCCTATGTCTTTCATATCGGTTTAATGCTTTGTAGACTAACCTTTGTCCGAGATACAACTACATCGTTCATCCCTTGGCATGCAGAGCCTCAATTCATACAATCCCAGACAACAGCGTGGATGCAATGCAATGGTGCATTATTAATATGCCCGAGGAACAACATTTTGGAAAAGGAAAACCGTGGGGTGAAAAATGCCACGGTTTGGAAATATTCAATGATTTTACGTAAGTCTTTTGTCTTTTGATCTTTAAATGAAACTTATTATGTTGTAATGTAAAAGTTAAAACCAGAACCACAAAACCTAAGTTCGCAAAGCATCATGTTGGCGTAAATACACAGACTTACTTCAAGGCATAAGGAAAGTTTTCTCTGTACAATTTTCGATTTTTCTTTATATGATCAAAAATTATTATACTCTGCATGTAAAAATTTCACTGTAACATTCAACGAGAATGTAGTGAACAATATATTTTATCATTCTTATGCTCCAAACTCAACAACATGAAAGATAACTTCAATATTTTCGACTAAATATAGGTACTATTACTCCTACCAACCAATTGAGGATGGTGGAGTGCAAAACAGTGAACTCGGTTACGACAACGAACGCTCGATCGATGATGACCACCAGTATTACTACTGGTTCGACACCTACCCAATGGAGTTTGCAGTGTTTCTTCTAGATTCGGCGCTGGCCAGGGGAGTGTATTTACATACAATGGCCGCCAATGATGCTTTTTACCAAAGTCATGACGAGACGAAAGAAGACGATCAGGATGAGGGTTAGTACAACAGTTAGTGCACTAGCACTGCCACTGGCACCACCATGAATTCTTTGAGGCAAATTTTAGGAAGATCGGTGATAAATTGAATTTTTTCCTCTTCTCATTGAATTTTAACAGTTTTAAAAAACGTATACTGCAATAATTCGGTAGTTGGCCATTATTAGAGTAAAATGTCTTGTGACATCTGTGTTGTGTGTTTTGTAAATTCTTTCTTAAATCGTGAAAAGGGAAAGACTCGAGGAAGGAACAATACAAGAAAGGAGATCCTAAGGCGGGTGTTCTAGACCATCCTCCACTGAAATTTGAGGAGCGAAAGGGTGTGAAAGAATCAATTTCTTCAACACCAGCAAGTACAGGTAGGTTCCGTTCGTACTCAGCATGTGTATGCCAGCAATCTCAATGGTTTTGGTCAAAATAACGTTCAGCCCATGACGGTTACTATCTATACATACGGCTAGGAGCCGGAAAACGTTACGTCCGGCGGTTTTGGTAAATATCCCTACTTCTCGTTCTTCTCGTGTATATTTCTCAAGAAATTATAAAATATATATAATCACCCATTTGCAAAAACGTGGGCCGCAGATAGATAGATAGATAGATAGATACTCGAAGTCTAATTAGAATTGCATATGATTACATTTGCATGGGATTTCAATCATATTACACAACATATTCAATTCTAATTAGATTTCGAGTATCTATCTATATATCTATCTATCCGCGGCCAACGTTTTTGCAAATGGGTGTATATATATATATAATATATATATAATATATATATTATATATAATATATAATATATATATATAATTATATATTACTACAGAAAGCGCAACAGAGGAGATTACTAAAGAAGAGAAGGCTATCCAGAAATTTTGGAGAACATCACCGTACAAACATAGAACTGTGTTTGGTTATGTTACACTGATCGACCCAGCTCGTCACATAAAGGAGACAGTTTTTGCAAGACAAGATGGAATCCCACTTATGAGACTCGATGAAGGGGAAAAGGCGGTGTTATTTCTCTGCTACAGGTACGAGCTAGCATTTTGCAATGCAACATGCAGCACAGATTTTTGAAAACATTTTTACGTTCTTATTTCAGGAATTAGTAATTTATTCAATTATGATAACCCATCACTTGATCAGAAGTTGCCTTACAAGATTAAAAATCAACCAAACCCCAAAGAACTCTGTCATGAAATAACTGGAGACATGGAACTGTTGTTTACTTTTCTGCCGTGTACAGAGAAGAACGCTAACCTGATTTGGAGGTAAGCTAGAAAAAATATACCCTGCATGTATATACTTGAGAATTCAATTTTTCAAGAGTTTGGACAAAGTTGTTTCGCTTTGTATTGGACTTTTTCATTTAAAGATGGTTCAAAACCAATGTTCTGGTATATAGGTATACTATCATGGTTGAGACTTCAGGCCACGAACTGGAAACAACACATGGCTACTTTAAGTTGGATGATAAAGGCCCAACCAAACTGGACTTAAGGTCGTATGTGAAATATCAAGTAAAGTGGCTGTATTTCACTGCTATCAAAGCCAAGAACCCACAACACAGGGCGTGGCTACATGCCATTAGAGGACCAGCGTTTGGACCACCTGTTTTTCATGGTGAGATTAAATAAAGAATGCGTTTGCAAAGAATCAAGTTATAAATGATTTCTGAAGCAATAAACAAGTCGGGAAATGAGCAAAATAAACGAAATTGACCATTTCCAACAACTAAAGGGTGCGTGAAAAAAAGCCAAAAAGCATTGAAATAATCATGTTAGAACTTAAATGTCAAAGCATGCACTCTGTTTTGACCCATGATAGTATAAATGTTTGGCATATGATAAACCATGCAGTGCTAGTTCCCTTTTTTATTGCTTTTGTCGACGCGAGCGTCAACCGAGAAGTTAAAAACAATGGAAATGGACTAGCACTAGTCTCTTTTCTGATTTGAACTGGTTTCAAAAATTGAAGGTCGAGTTATCGTTACAGTTTTCATAAGTTTATAGCAGTGTCGTCGTTGGAATTGTATTTTATTCATATATCTATTCATTCATATATCTATTCATATATGATTCCGAAAACATTTGCTTTAAAAAAACAATATAGGAAGAAACGAATCATTGAATATTCACCTCCGAATTAAGTTTTCAGCGAAGGCCCTGCCTATACAATCCTCTTCAACACAACAATTAAATGAAGAAACTACTCTGTGAGGGACCTCAGTGTGTAAGGGACCTATTTTCTCAATCGCAGTTCGAATCGCAACTTACACTGGCAGCTAAAATTTAAATCAATACGCGACTCATCGTGCTTTATTACGTCATGTAGATCGCCAAATATTGGTGTAGTATAAAATATTTGAGATCTCTTCAAAACTCTATATGTATACTTCAAATTGATTTTTCTTTCAGCAACGCTTCCTCCACTAAAGCACCGTGTTGAAGAAACAGAACGGAAATATAATACAGTTCTCCCGAAAAATGTCATCGTCCCAACAGCTGTCGATCCCAAAGGCCACTTAATGAGAATGACATTTGTGTCTACTTCATGCAAGTTTATCCCCTTCAACAAGACTTCACAAGCGATAATCCAGACATTAAAGAATCCTCCGATCTCATCCCGCCCAGAATATTGCAAAGTGTTCATGGTTATTTCAATTTGAGGAATGACCACCCAACACGGCTGATTCTTTGCGCTTCTTGGGACCAAGATGCAATGGTAATAAAATCCTAAATGTTTTTTATATCCGTTTACAAAAGAGCATAGCTAGTAGTTTGTAATTTCGCATCTTTGTGAATGCGATTATGCACCGTGTTCGCAGGGTTGCTTTTTGGGATAAGGCACTCTTTAAGGGATGAGGGGTCTTAGTGATGACATTTGCATTATCTGAGCTATAAAAACCATAGAACGTCTCGTCATTTGGAAAAAGGCCTGGCCTATTTCTGGGGCCGGTTGTATCAAGCCCGTTTATAGCTTAAACGGTGGATAAGCTCAAAATAGAAAGCACGTCTATCGTTTCTAAGCACGTCTTATCGTTTTTATTCAACAAGCAAACTAAATGTTTTTAACCATGATATAGGGTGTTCATTGTACCACTGTTACCGTTTCATTCATTTCTTATTCTATAGAAAAAAGGTGTAGACATGGTCAATTTCTACACCATTGATGCTGAAAATGGCCAGCCGAAGCCGATGCCTCCAGAGATGTTCAAACCATTAAAAACCTGAACACGATGTCTGACTGAAAGCTTGTTTGAACTTTCTTATAACTTTATTTCACCTTATACTTGTATTTTAGGTTTAAAGATTGCTTGCATTTAAATGTTAACAAACTCTGTTTTGCAATGAATAAATGTAATTTGTCTAAAAAACCTTTTGTGTGAGAACTGCTTTGATGTGCCAGCCTGGTATAATTTTGTCCTATAAGTGTGCATACCATATGAATGGAATCATTGGATATAAAAGTTTAGAATATTACAAACATCCGCTCAATTGATCTTGTTACGAGAACCGCAGTGCCGGCGTTAATGCTATGCATATATATATTTTCTTTTCTAAACGCTATATCATTATTGTAAGCTACGATAGCTACGCTACATTTAGATTAATTACTGCGGACTTTCGCAGCAGGAAAAAATCAAGAGGAAGTCACAGACACAGAAATCTTTTTCCAAACTGTAGACTGTAGTACGAACAAGTACGTGTGTGTTTAAAGACTTCCGCTAGAATTTTTTTCCTACTGCGACTAAATATATATACAATAATATATTGATAGCGTTTATATAATTATAGAAAAGAAAACATGACTGAGTATATATAAAACAATTATCGACGGTCAGAGACTCAGCTCAGGATCTCTCAGTCGGCTGAAATCGAGTGATCACTAAACTATGCATGACTAGCGATAAATGATCCGCAATCCACACCTATACCATGCACCGACTGTTATAAGATCATGTCATGTCAAAACGAGTTTTATCCCTAAATGTATGATACCATGATTGCCCTAACATGTTCTGCCAGATGAAAAAGTTCTATCTGAGGACAGAGATACCGTAAAACAACTTAAACTGATGTCGTGACCATATGAATCCGTGCATGTAAGACTTTCTTTGACAATTATGAATTCGTGATCGTGATCATGATCATGCGAATCCGGTATAAACAGTATAGTGTAAACAGGGCCTAAATAAAAACTACTGGAATAAGAATAACTGGATTTAATTTTTGTCAAAAGGCAGAAACATTCGGTCATGCAGCTAGACAGGGCTAGACGGCTTAATTGGGCGGGGGGGGGAGGGGTGTATATATATATATATATATACATATACAACGTTTAAGAAGGCTATATTTACACATAAAAACTACAAATTTGTTTCGAAACCACTCCAAAGTGAGTGCTCTCTCGTCAGGTCTGACGTCAGACCTTAAACGTTGTATATAGCTCCTTTTGTTGAGCACTTTTATGACAAAGGAAACCATGCATGCACCTACCGATATTATATATATATATATAATATATTATATAATATATGTATATATATATATATATATATATATATATATATATATACCCTCGCTACGTGAGTGTGAGTCTCTATATATACCCACTACGTGAGTGTGAGTCCCTTAACGCTGCCACACCCAGATCCAAAACAAAGACACCTTCTTGAGTATCGAAAATCGAGGCTATTTTTTATTCACAAAACGACACGTATTGCCACGTAGAAAAACCTTTGCCGTCTTAACTCCGTAGTCATTTGCGTCGCGTCGCCGAAACAAAAAGACAAGAAAGGTGAGGTCAGTTCAATTTTTTTCAATCGCTGCATAGGAATACGGTTATTAATTCATTATTAACTTGGGTTAACATCTGTACAATCTTAAAAGATTTCTGAACTGATTTTTTCAACTCAGTAATCGGCATCTGAAATTTTTACAACTCTAAGAAAGCTTTATCTAAGTGTAAGACGTTTTCGTATAAAGCCATCGAACATTCAATAAATGAGATATCTGAAACTGAGAACACATTTATAATCAACAGGGAATTGCACTACGGAATTTATGGTCAAGGGAGGTACGCCCTCTTCGAATTGCTCGCATGTGAATTTCACGAAGTTGGAATTTGGAAATGGGATGAAACCATCATTCCAGCTTAAATCGATTAGTTTATCTTAGTTTATTTTCCCAACGTAACAATAATAAAGCAAATTGTCTTGTATAATCTTCAATAGAAAGATGGACACTACAAGCGATGAAACTCAATGTCCGTTTTCGGACACTCCGATTGATAAGGCCTATGGGCCAGAAGTGTCAATGTTCCTGCATTGTCATTTGCGTGGGTATGATCGTTATGGAGAAGGAAAAGTCGCAGATAATGGTAATACAATTTTCATTGGCATATTTTTGCGAG